TATCCTGAACTCGTACACCCTCAGTAGTCGTACGTTTCAAAGTGTGTCTTTGGAGAAAACTAGAGACGTTTTTGCCGTGTTTGCATGGCCTCAGCTGAATCCGACTAGTTTTTTTCACATGCGCAGGTCACTCTGCCACTACCTGCAAATGTGTAAGAGAAGAAGAGGGGCACTTCCTGCTTACCTGTAGAAAGATGGATCCGTGTCATGTTTTGTTGGGGACGCTTATTGTGTTGTGGTTACATTTATTTACAAGTTTGTCTCCTCCACCATCCAGGTTTTCTGTTTGTTCGCCATGTTTGTTTTCGTTTGGGCGCGCTCTGCGTACGTCACTACGTGCCTCTTACGTACTACGGAGCACCTGCGAACAATTTTTTACATGATTTGGTACTTTTCGTTTAGAAAGAGAGGAGACAGAGACCTTGGACTTCCTTTTTTAATTTTTATTAATGACATCCTGTTGACACTCTTAATTATTCAGGCCCCTACTGTCTCGTTCCTGGAACGGAGAGAAAATTTTTAGTTGGAGTACATTTCAAGTTGTGACGTGGCAGCTCTCCACCAAACATTACCTTCTTTTCGTCGAGCAGTTTCTCCACCTCAAGCTTGGTCTTCTTTATTAGCAGCTGCTTCAACTCAATATCAAACTTGAGGTGTCTTTTGTAAATTGCCCTTACGTTGTCCGTTCCAGGCTGGGGACGAATAATGCTGTTGAGATCCTTTTACATTTACACACTGTCAGTGATCAAAGCTCAAAATCCAGGTTTCGTCAATACCTCCCGTGCTCTCCTTGGCCTTGGGCTGGGGGACGGGGTCACACGCTCCGGGAGGGACATGGGGATCTCATCCTGCACATCATAGCATGAGAAAAAATTGAGACAACCTGAAGCAACACGTGGTCCTAAACACCGTCTTCAGTGTGGTTACACCCCAAGTGTGGTAAGGTTGAATAATAAAATGCTCAAGATAATCTGTCATTGTTCCTGCAACCATGATGTGTATTCTTTTGTTTAGCAGATACCTCTGGAGAAGTCAGCCTGTGACTTGGTGGTGGCAGCAGTTTGACGATGCCGGCCTCGACTGGTGAGAGAGCGAGTACCTGTTATTTTTCACCGGGGGGGGGGGGGGGGGGTATTATCTTACCTTGGGCCCGGAGGTGACTGCTGCCACTTCCACATGGATCGGAGGAGACTCTCCCCACTATACCATGTATTGCGGGTCGAAACTTTCTTTCCTGCTCTTCGTTTGTGAAGTCCGCGGTTCTTCGCTCTCCGGCCGACGCTCCAGACTCGTCCATGTTCGCGATTGGTCAAATGCGGCAGTCTCCGCTTTATATGCGTGCACGCGCTCATAGCAAAGCTGGATCCACTTAAAAGGTTGATAACCAGAGTCGTAAAACAGTTCAGCGAGGCCCCTTTTGTCGAACTTGCTTCGTCGAACAGGCCCCTGAACAGAGTCTGGGAGCTGTTTGCATTCTTCATTGAGACCCAGTGTTTACAGAGCAGGGCTGCTGTGGAGAGGGATTATCACAGAATAAAACAATGCTAACAGTGTTATGTATTTATGAGAGGGATTTGATGTTATGTAGAGGTTCATTATGCGCCCCTGGTGGGTATGACATTGAAGGTGGAGTAGATTTACACAGTCAGGCCTCATCAAGACTGTATCACTAGAAAACTTGGGAGCTGTTTCCCTGTAGGACCTCAAAGTAGGATTTCAGCTGTCTCACAGTTTGGGCTCATCTTTGGGGTCCCTCTTTGTATGGTTCAGCAATAACTCTGTTCACAGGCAGCAGTTTTTAGATGTGGATTTTCGCCCATGCAGTGACTTTCACTACAGCAGTGGTTCTCAATCCAGTCCTCGAGGCCCACTGTCCTGCATGTTTTGGATGTTTTCCTGCTCCAACACACCTGATTCAAATGATCAGCTCGTTAGTAAGCCATTACAGAGCTTAATAACGAGCTGATCATTTGATTCAGGTGTGTTGGAGCAGGGACACATCCAAAACATGCAGGACAGTGGGCCTCGAGGACTGGACTTGAGAAGTGCAGTGGTTCTCAACTGGTGGGTCCCGACCCAAAAGTGGGTCGCGGACACCTTTTGGATGGGTCACGAACAGCTGTTCAAAAAAGTAAAGATTTAATGTGATATTTATTAGATACTTGAAATTTTCTGGATAAGCAACTTGAGTAGTTGTCGTCCTCATGTTGTCCCCTATGCACTTTACTCAATAAAACAAGTAGATTTATGTTAAAGATTAGTCTTTTTTTTTTTTTTTTTAATAAAAACTGGATTTTCTTGGTTTAAATTCTATAAAAGTGGGTCGTGACTTAAGGACCATGGGAAAATGTGGGTCCCAGAGTGAGACCAGTTGAGAACCACTGGAGTAGTGTGTCTTGTCAGAGTCTCTAAATCTTAAGATGATTGTTTTTCAGTTTCACACCAAGGAACATTATGAAAACGGAATTTTTCTGCTGGTTTTTGCGCAATTTTCAACCAAATAATTAGCAAAACTGTTTCTACCCATGTTCTCCAAAGTGTCCCTGTTTGATTGAAAGTGTTGCAGAATGGTTAAAATCATAGGCTTTCACTATAGAAACAAGTCCTGTTTCTCTTTTAATGTTAAAAAGAGACTTGTGGAGTCTACATTTTCACCTCTTCTTGATTATGGTGATGATTTATACATGAATGCCTCCTCCCAGAGTCTGCAAATGCTGGACAGTGTTTACCATGGAGCTCTGAGATTTATAACAAATTGTGGATTTTTAACTCATCGCTGTACTTTATACTCCAAAGTCAGTTGGACTTCTTTAAGTACTAGTTGGCTAGGTCATTGGTATGTTTTCATTTACAAAGGCATTCTTGGAAAAATTCCAGACAACCTGAGATCATTGAGATTTATACAGTTTGTTGTCCCCACAGTCCGAACTGAAATGGGAAAGAAGGCTTTCAGGTTCTCTGCACCCTCTGCATGGAATAATCTGCAGACTGAATTTAAGCTGCAAAACTTTGTGTCTTTGTTTTAAATCTGCAGTTAAAAGGCTAGCGTACAAACTCTCAGAGTGTCTCTGTTTTAACTGATGTTTCCTCACAATTCTTATTCAGTATTGAGTCTGTGTGACTTTTTGTTGTAACCATCTATTGCTGCCATTCTTGGTCAGGTCTCCCTTGCAGATGAGATCCTCAGATCTCAATGGGACAAACCTGGTTAAATAAAGGTTAGATAAAATAAAATACGCCGGCTTGTTCACGCTCAAACACGAGTAAAGAATCAGAGGCGTTGTACTTTAAACACGTAAAAGGAAATATATTTTTTTTAAAAATGAAATAACAAAAAAGAACAACATTTCATACAGAGGAGCTGCTTTTGTCATCGCAGAGGTAATTTACACAGGACTTGAAATGAAAAGGCTCCACCTGAAGGGGATCGAGCAGCAGCCGCACCTGACAGCTAAAATAGTAATTTTTTTATTTTATTTTAAGACCTTGTACCTGCCTACTTGTAGATGAGTTCCTGCAGGTGAGGCAGCGGTGAGCCGCTTCAGGTGGAGCATGAAGAGGTTATGTCACATACCGAGCTTCTTTTAAGGATTAATATACACTGGCTCTTGGTAATTCACTCGTATGACGTACGCACCATTGAAACATTTACACACAAAATTTAGAGTTATTTTTCTCTCCCTCAAAACAAGAATACTCCTTTTTATATTTTTAAAGACAACAGTTAACAGTTCCAAAACGGTGGCTCTAAGATTGGATTTAACCCACCTACATGAGGCCCTCCCCTCCCACACAGACATTCCTACGAACACTTTTGATTCAACAAGCATGGCTCACTTTTTTTTTCAGGAAAGAGGAGATTTGTTGTCGTGGCAGCCTGCCTGGGAGGAACCAGGGGTGTGCATAGGTGTTACTAACTTCATCCCCGAGGCTCTGATAGTGAGAGGGCAGTTTTTATTTCTCCTTTCCGTTCAGTTTTTCTCTTTTTTTTCTGTTTTCAGCTAAAGGAGCCATGTTTAGTGGTCAATGCAGGTGCTTCTTCTTCATTTCAGATCATGCCCACATGAACGATAGTCCAGGTCCACTGATTAGCATTTCATGTTACGGAGGGACGCGGGGTGAACACAGCCAGAGAAAGTAAAAACGGTGAGGTGATGAGATGCCGTCCGCGTCTTCTTCATCGTCCATTTTTGTGCAAACTGAGATGTAAACATCGGAGATTAGGAAGGGAAGCATGGTACAAGAGGCTACAGCAACACATGGAGAGACAGCGTGGAGGGATGCAGTGTGCTCCTTCGACAGGCTGACAGGCACAGAGAAATAAATAGAGGGGGTGAGGAGGGCGAGGGAGGAAGAAACTGCCAAGTTTCCTGTGCTTTTTGCTTCTCTCAAACTTGCATTTGTTGCTGAGGGAGTTACTTGTCGCCACTATAGCAGCTTCTAATGTGCTTCAGAGCTCGGCGTGTTTGTCACAGGGGCCGAGGAGATTAGGGGGGACTTCGGAGAGGAGGACACAGTACCACGAGAAGTGTCTTAGAAGGTCAACACACACACAGGCACCCACATAAGACTGCTTTATGGTCATGCTCGCTATTGCCTTTCCAGGATTACCACCCATCCGTCAGTTAGAAAAGAAAAGTACAAAATATCTACCACACTGCCCCTCCACTCCCCACCTGTCGACTATGTAAGGACAGAACCATATTCACGTAGTTTTTTTATCATTTATATATATATATGTATATATGTACACATCAATATGCCTTTGAGGCTGTTGAGAAAAGTCGGGCAGGGGCAGGATGAAGTCTCTGTAGTGAGGCGTCAGAGTCTTAAGGTTCTTCATTTCCCTCTTTTTCAGCAACAGTTTATCTACAGAAATGCATGATTCTGATGAGGGCGATGTGACTCCAGGGGGGGTCTGACCAAAGTTTAGTATCCGTGTCGGATCAGAGATGATGATGGTCGTTCAGAGGGATGAGCTCGTTGTCGTTGAGTGTGTGTCAGTAGACCCAGGTGACGGGGACCCACTGGGCGGTGGTGGACACCAGGTCCACGGCCTCCTCCAGCAGTCGGATGGTGTCGTCGATCTCGTTGTTGATGATGGTCTGGTCAAAGTAGTGAGCGTAGGTCCGCTGGAGCATCTCAGATTCCTTCTGGAGCCGCTGCAGGGAGTCGTCCTGTAGAGGAGGAGAGGAAGGGAAATGTCAGTGATCGGGGTCTGTGTCTAGGTGAGATGCTTCAAGGCTTCATTTGTGGTCTTGAAAGTCAAAGTCTGGCTTCTTCTTGAATGGTAAGGGACCACCAATAAAGTCTTGAAGTTTGAAGGTGAATAAATCTAAAAAAACAACTAAAAGATTTCCTCGAATTTACCCAGGATGCAGAGGGAGAAGGAGTCGAGGGTAGGGATTAGGGCCCGACCGATTTATCAGCGAGCCGATTAAAGACTAATCGGTAATTGGCCAAAACTCGCCAATTTTCACCGATATTTTCAGAAATAAATGCGGAGAACAAGATTCGGTTTCACTTTGAAAATGTTCCGCCATTTGAAAAGTTCCCCGACTTATCCTGTAGATGGCGCAGCGACCTCATGCACCATGTAATATGCAAGCTAAAGTTAGAGTTATCCGTCTGCTATTAGCCTTGCTACACTGTTAGCCATGCCAGTAATGGTAGAATAAACAACAGTACACATTATGTGATCGAGCTTCTTCTCTTACTGAGGCAGCTGCATGTCTCCAGATGAGATCGGACCAGAAATGAGTAACGTGAGTTAAGACGCGGAGGCACCGATCAGCGGGGGGGTTGTTGAAAATGCTTTTCTGGTCCGGGTTTGATCAGTCGGTCTTCCTGTCTGCGTGAAGAGCAGTAGCCCACAGTATATAGTATACTGTAGATAACTACAGTGTATATATATTTTTTATAACTTCCTAAAAATTTAAAATATCCGCTGATTAATCGGTAATCGGACCCCCCCCCCCCCAATAATCGGTATCAGCATCGGCCCCAGAAAATCCATATCGGTCGGGCACTAGTAGGGATGGGTGTGAAGCTGCACCAAAAATGAAGATGCCCCACAGAGCCAGCACACAATCAAGAGGATTATTGGAGGGATTAGAGGATTTCGAGGAAATCAGGGGGAGTGGACAAAGCTAGACAACCACTAGAGCTACACAAACACAGAGGCCACACACACACACACACATATGCCTCCTACAGTCTTCAAACTCAACATTGAACCAGTACTTACAGGCAGCTTCCTGCACCACTTTGGGACCTTGAGTGCAAATGAAATCAGGCGTGCCAAAGAAAATACAAACATGCTTAAAGCCAACAAGACACGTGCAGTTAGAGAAACATGAAGCAGAGCATAAAAAGGGATGATAGAAACAAAAAAAGATGATTTTGTTTGAATTCTGCAGAATTCAGACAAAAAAGGTGAGACTGTTTGAGTGAGTTAGTCCGTGCAAACTGAGTGAACCTGGAGCTCTAGATAGAGGGAGCTGCATCGTTCTGGGGACTGTACCTCGGTCATTCCTGGGGTGATGGTGGGAGCTGCGATGAAGACCACATAGGGAGCAAACTCAGCTGTCCTGAGGATCTTAAGTGCCTGAAGAGAGAGTAAAATATCTCTGTTATCTCTGTGTGTTTGTCTCTTGCCAGATATTCTGTTAAACTTTCAGTGCATTTGATCTCTGACGTTACCTGCGGTTCAACGTCCAGGATGGAGATCATGCCCTGCCCGTGGATCTGCCTGATCGTCTCCAGCCTGGTCCCGTACATGGCGTCCTCGTGGCTGCCGTACTCCAGGTAGTCGTTGTTGCTGATGTCCTGCATCATCTGGTCATGTGACACAAAGTAGTAGTTCTTCCCGTTCTCCTCGTCCTTCTTCGGAGGTCGAGTCGTGTCTGAGAAGGAGAGACGGATGAACGCAAGGTTAGTCTTTGAGTGTGTGTGTTGATGCGTGTCTGTTGGATTGTGTGTGTATCTGCTTACGTGGGATGGGGTAGGCGAAGCGGTCGGGGTGTTTGGTGATGAGCGTGTTCTTGATGTGCCTCCTGCCAACTCCATGAGCACCTGAATGAACAGAGACAGAGCAGAGACAGTATGTTCTCAATCCTCTTGTTATTATGATAATGTGATCATGCCTGCACATACCGGCATTTGAGTTTTACACTTAAGGCTCAGAAAAAAAAGGCTGCCGTGGAAATGTGGTGAGCGGTACAGACTCTTCTCCTCTAGGGGGAGCTGTTCTGCAGGTGATCCTTTTTTGTGGTGTTGTGTGTGTCAGAAGAACAGTTCATTCTCTGCCCTTAAATATTTGATTTGGACATTTTATTTGATGCATCTAAACTGGGTGTTTGTGATTCTATGACTGAAATTTAGATTTGTTCACCCCTCAGACTAAAGTGAAAGTCACTAGAGAAGGAAAGTTAAAGAAGATCTTGATGTAAACTGACAGAGGCCTTCAACAAGTTTTTATCCAGGCTGTTAAATCTGGAAGGCGGTGCAGCTTTTCATATGAGCAGGTAAAGTCTTGTATCCTCTTTTCTGACTTCTTTCAGACGACCTGCTTGTGTATCAGAGGTTCTGAAAGCTGGTTCAAATTCATCGAGTGGGTCTTTGCACCCTGAAAGAGGGTGGCGAAGGAGCTTTGCATCCGAACAGTGAGTATCTAACTCTCACTTTGAGGATTAACATGATGTTAAAACAATTAAACAAGTCATGCCATAAATGATGCTGTGCTTCTTTGATTGTATTGAAATTCTCATGACTAAAATATCTATGAAGCATTTTAGAGTGAAGGAACTCAAAATGGTCTCGAAACAAAAAGCAAACTGAACTCTGGGTCCTCAAGTACAACATGGTGGCTGTCTAATATGAGTCTGGTCCTTCCCAGGGTTTCTGCCTGTTAAAAGGAAGTTCTTCTTTGCCACTGTCACTCATGTTAGATGAGATGGGTCAAATCTGTCCCATCTTAAGGTTGGGCCTTGGTAATTCATCAAACAATGAGCGTGGTCTAGACCTGCTCTTTTTTGGAATGCGTCTTGGGTTATCGATTGTTGTGATTTAGCGCTGTATTAATAAAATTTTACTGATTGAATTTGAAGTCTGATTTAATTTAAAAATCACGTTTTATCCTCCCATCATCCATAATCGCAGGAAAATGAAGCTACACAGCAGATTTGCGCGGTTTAATTTGACTTGAAATGTGACACTGAAACCAGGATTTGATGGGAGCAGCTCAGAAGCAGAAAGAAGAAAAAGTTCAGTATTGCTTCAGTTCTCGTTTCTCTAAAAGGTTCAGATTGAATTCAAAACTGTCAAAATAAAAAGACCTTGTGGCAAGATGCTTATCTTGAGCTCACCGACATTTACATCTCTTTTTTTACTGAGCGAGTTGCTGATCGACCACAGCCTGAAAGATAAGTAGCAGCCTGTTGCAGAGATGCTTACTAAATCAGACTCTGCTATGCAAACAAGAACGAGTTCAAACCTTTTTCTGCGTTCACTCACCGAGCAGAACCAGAGTTTTCCTCTTGAACGACGGCAGTTTGACCACTTCCTCGTAAGTCACCAGATCTAGTTGGTCAAACACTGCAGAGCGAGAGGAAACATCAGAGGTTTAAGCATCTGCGAGAGCTGACACAGGAATCTGACTTAATGTTTGACAAAGGAACTGATCAGATTAAACACAGAGAGAAACAGCTGAAACAAACTTTGTATAGAAGTCCAGGACTGCACATGAGTTTACAGGTTGTTAATCTCCATAAATAAATGCAAATCCAGTGTACAAAGACAATGCTAGTGCAAATGAGACCAGCATTAATGCCGGTGCGTCGTCTCTGTGGCTTCAATAAAGCGCTGAGCTCTAAATCAGGTGCATTTTTAAATCCACAGCAGAGTTGTTTAAATCATGATCTTGTCACATACACCACAGCTGGTCGAGAAAGCCTCAGCCAGACCTTGAGGAGGCATTAAACCCGCCTCATTTGCACTAACCTTGCTCAGGTAGGATGACATCGGCTGAGTTATTCAGAGCTGACTAATAAAAAAACCAACAAAGCAGCTATCACTCAAAGTCAAGGAGACATTAGGAGGAGGAAGAAAAACACAGAAGCTGGACACCAGCTGTCTGCAGTTACTTACATGCAGCCATGTCATTGGGTAAGAGATAGCATGAAATATGGACAAAGGGTGGGAGCGGAAGGGTTAATAAACAGACAAACTCAACTAAAAAAAATCACCAATCACTAAAACCGTCAACATCAAAAGCTGTTAAAAGCAACACTGTTAGTGACTTAAACCAAAATGCAAACTGAGGCAGCAGTAGGAGAGGTCTGTCAGAGGGAAACAGGCATGCAGCAGTGGCACAAATCTGCTGTTACAGAGGCGCAACAGGGGGGTCATCGTACACTATGTTGCATCAGTCGTATCAAACACTCGCTGTTAGCATTAGCTCTGTTGGATTATTGATCGGGAAGCTGTTCAGTGTCTTCTTACCTGCGTTGTGTTTGGCCATATACTTGTCTTTGTACTGTTTCTTCTTCTTGCCAAACCAGGTGCAGCTGGCCTGTTGCTCCTGTTTGGTCTTTTCCATTGCTATACACGCCACACGCCTGGACGAGAAAGAGAAACACACGGACAAGTTTTAAGGTGAGACTTTGAAAATGAATTCAAGACTCTTCAAGAACTAAATAGAGGATTTAATACCAAGCCCATCATTAAAACTGTGAACTGTAACTTTTATGACAGAAGGAAGAGTGTAAAACAGGGGTGGGAGAAAAAATGTAGACAGCATTGTATCGTGATAATTTGTCTGGTGATATATCATATCGTCTCATTTACCAAGTATGGATTTCTCTATTTAATTGGAATTATAAAGTAAAATCTATGATAATGGAAAAATAAAATCAACCGTTTGTCCAGTAAGGCTGACAGAAGTGACATCATAGAGCAAGAGAAAGTTAGTACAACAAATAAATATATAAGGTTTGCAAGATGTGCTACATGAAAATAAAATACAGCGTAAATAAGAAGAAAAGGAAAGGCAAATGCTAATTTAGCTAAACAGTTGAAAAAAATTCTATAAATCATAATATGTTGTATCGCACTACTTACTGTATTGCAAAATGTTAAAAAATCGCAATAATAATATTGTATCATGGCCCAAGTATCGTGATAATATCGTATCGTGACCAAAGTATCATGACAATATCTCATTGCGGCCCAAGTATCATCGTAAGATCGTATCGTGGCCCAAGTATCGCGATAATATCGTATTGTAGCCCAAGTATCGTGATAATATCGTATTGTAGCCCAAGTATTGTGATAATATCGTATCGTGGCCCAAGTATTGTGATAATATCATATCATGGCCCAAGTATCACAATAATATCGTATTGTGGTCCAAGTATCATGATAATATTGTATTGTGGCCCAAGTGTTGTGATAATATCGTATTGTGCCCAAGTATCACAATAATATTGTATCAAGGCCAAAATATTGTGATAATATTGTGTCGTGGCTCAAGTATCGTGATAATATCGTATTGTAGGACAACCAGTGATTCCCACCCCTAGGACAAACTACATTGTTTGTCTGGACTACTCACCACTCCTGCAGCTCAGGTGAAGGGATGAGGCCCGCCGTGCCGTTCTTCGTGTTCTCCAGCTTCCCCTGCCACCAGTTGTGGTCATCCTTGGAGATGATCTGGATGATGTCGCCCACCCTGAAGCGGATACCTGCCTCCTTACAGGGGATGAGGTCATCTTTGGCCGGGTCATACTCAAACTGAGCGCGTACGTAAATCTGCAAGAGCAGAAACAGAGAGAGATCGAAACGTTTTGGTGACGATACAGAGGGAAGGCTGTGACAGGAGAACACACCACAGGAGAGGAGGCTGCTAACGGATCAGAAATGCAGCGCTGAGGCGTCTAAGAACAGCAGAGGGAGCGTCGAAGCTGAAGCAGGAGAGGGCACAGACACAGCAAGACGACAATGATCGGAAAAAGCACTTTTACCACAACTCTGCCCGCGGCCCTTTAATTCACTTCTTTTTCTGGTCTTTTAAAGCTAGCATGGGGTCTAGACACGGCTAGGATGAGGAACCAGACTTTGCGATGGGGGTGGGAGGTGCTGGGATCTACTTCTACTAAGGGTCCACTTAGAGACGTCTTACCTTGATGGACAATTTGTCCTTGAGAGCAGGTCTGGAGATCTATGGGGTTGAGAGCATCACACACACACTTACACATAAATCATGCAGTAGAAAATGTTGGGGGGTCTAAATTAAGAGGGGTGATACAATGGGATGCTGACACTGATATATCACAGAGTTTGTACAGTGTATGTGCTATCTCAGGGTATGATTAAGACATCACAAACAGATGAAAACCCATAAATAAAAAGTTTTGACTGAGACAAAAAGGGTTGCTAACAGTTGATGTTCTCACAAACACAACTCACCCACCCTCCTCCAGCAGCCGCTTGTTTGTGGGGGGAGCCCTGACGAGTTGATCACAAAGTGCAGCGGATCATTTTCATGAAGTAATAATCACAAATGTTCTTCCTTGAGCTGCGACACTCCGCTGCACTCGGTGATTGACTCGTCAGGGTTCCCCCCACAAACAAAAGGCTGCTGGAAGAGAGTGGGTGAGTTGTGTTAGGTCTCTTTGCTCAAGAAACCAGGCAAAGCTAAAAAGATGTTTGATGGCTAGTACTATGGCTGGGACCCTATATGTACCGTTGATGAAGTTAGGTGCTGTTCTGAGCATTATTTGTGGCTATAGATTGGCTTTTTGGTTGAGGTTTGCGCATGGAGCCATAGACCACTGTGTATTGCTATCTTTTGGTCGTTACTAAAGTTGGTATAACTAGAGAAGCAAGCAGTCGGCTACATTCAGCTCTCCAGGGGGTGTCTAACTCTGTGTTATTGTGTGTTTTACCCTAACTTTAATTTATGCTGGAATATCCCTTTAAGGTCTGACATTTGGGAGTGTTTGGATTTAACAGAAAAAGACTTTATGAAAATGAGGAAGGACGCGGACAAGCATGCAGACGTGGGTTTGTAGGAGAGGAGTGTTAGTGTGTCATTAAAGTGGCTGATTGTGAGACAAAAGGAAGGAGCGGAGGTGAAAGTGCACAGAGGGAAGAAGACATGCTTACCAAGCGGCCTTTGGGCTGGATTGTTGATGGCAGGTCCTACATTGAATCAAATCAAAAACATGGGTGAGGAAGTGAAAAGGCGTTATCATTAGCATCTGTGTTCAATAGAGGAGGGGGAGGAGCAGACTCCTACCAGGATGGAGCTCGTAACACTGGCGTGACCGTTTGCAGGCGACTGTCGGGACAAATCTGGCGACTCTTTCTGCAAAAGGAAAAGAAGAAAACCCTCATCGAAATCTGTAAAAAAGTGATAAGTGTGTGTCTGTGAGTGTTTTTTGAACCTTTACCTCACAGGACATGGACTGGGAGCGGTAACTGGGGACTATCTTGAAGGTGATGCTGCCTCTCATCTCCCTCTGTGAGGACAAAGAGAATAAAGTTTGAAATTTACTTGCTTCTAAAAAAAAATCCTGTTTGTTTTGAGAGCAAATATATATGAAGACGTGTAACAATATCGGATGGATCTGGTAAATTTGAGGGATGACTGACAGAGAGGCGGTCTGCAGTCCAAGTGTCTGCTCTGCGAGTCTTACCAGCATCTTCTGGAGCTGTTCCACCGTCTGATTGGCAACGCTGATGCCGTTAATCTCTCGGATCTCGTCTCCTACGTGCAGAGTCCCTGAGGCGAGGACATAATGTATTAATAAACTCTACAAATAAGGCTCCTTAGAGGTATAACAACAACAGGTGAACCCTGGGGGTTACTTCAGATGGTTCAGAGGGAATCAAAGCAGAGACACTGGACTGTTCAAAGAGTGTTAGTTCATCTGATAACTCTCAGCTGCTTTATTGTCTTTTTAGATATTACATTTGTGTCTGTGGTGTCTGGCTTTTCACCTTGTCGATGGATCATCCCTCCATGCATGATGCGAGCCACGATGCAGTGGTTAAGTTCGTTCATTTTCAGAGTAATGCCCTGAAAAATAAAAGAGGAGCAGGGTCAGAGAGCTTGTAGATTACAGTCTTAACTCATTTGTGTTTGTGATATTTGGCTTTCCAGATTGATTAATAAACCCTTTCCCTGTCCGGCTGATTGAATTAACCCAGATGGTTAATTCTGGATTAACTTCCCCGCCACTTCGAGCTACTTGAGTTTGACTAGCGCCCAGTTTGATACCAGGAAATTTTTGGATTTACACCAACATCAGGCGCTCGGTTTCAGCTGCAGGCTGTTTGTCCATCTGTCTCCAGTGAATGCTGGTTTCACTTTATCTTGAGCCGGTTACACTTTGGCTCAAATCTGGCCTCATGCAACAGTATCAACCCAGAGGACACAGAGTTTCTTGTGTTTTTACAGCAAAGTTTGTCTATGCTGCTCATATTTAATACAAACTAATGATGTGCTTATAAAAAAGACAAACACAGCATCCAATTCCCTGATTTAAATCTGGATAAGTCTGTCTACCCACCATGGGCTCATCAGTGTTCTTCTGGAACTGCACAAGGCGAACCCGGGTGACGTTCTCCAGGTCCATGTCTCCGTTAGTGCTGTCTGGAGAGTCTCCGTTCAGGTAAGGCGAAGTGGGCGGGGGCGTCACCCTCAGGGCCTCGTCGCTGTACACCTCATGGGCGACAACATCGTGGGTCTGCAGCAAAGCCTGTAGGGTCAACACAACGTAATGACTCATGAGTCCAGCTCCACTGTTATCCAATGTCCTCGAACAGTGGATCCCCGGTTGGTCTTGAAAGACTTCGAAAATCCAAATAACGAACGAAACAAACCGGTCAAACAGTTCCTCGGTACGTGTGCTGTTACTCACAGTATCAGTGTGTGTGTTTGTGCGTGTTTTGCTCCAACATCAGAGGGAGTGTGGCTTACACTAATCCTCTTTGGCCTCTAATCATGTTACTGACATACAGTGTGGGTTTCTTTTTTTTTGAACAAACACTTCAGGGAGTACTGTTTGCCAAAAGATCAGACACTGTAACAAACATTTTAAGTGTGTGAGTATGAATACATCTTTGGCTAGAGGTACCTGTCAGCGTGCAGAAGTATGTGTCAATTGTGTGTTTTTGCGTATATTTGTTATTAGGTTACTAGGGGTGGGAATAACTAGTGGCTCAACAATACAATATTATCACAATACTTGGGCCATGAAATGATATTATCACGATACTTGGGCCATGATACGATATTATCACGATACTTGGGCCATGATACGATATTATCACGATACTTGGGCCATGATACGATATTATCACGATACTTGGGCCACAATGTTATTACGATACTTGGGCCATGATACGATATTATCACGATACTTGGGCCACAATATTATCACGATACTTGGGTCATGATACGATATTATCACGATACTTGGGCCACAATATTATCACGATACTTGGGCCATGATACGATATTATCACGATACTTGGGCCATGATATGATATTGTCACGATACTTGGGCCATGATACTATATTATCACGATACTTGCGCCATGAAATGATATTATCACAACATTTGGGCCATGATACAATATTATCGCGATTTTTAACATTTCGCAATACAGTGATTATTGCGATAAAATATATTGCTATTTGTGTACTTTTTTCAACTGTTTAGCTTATCCAGCATTTGCCTTTCTTTTCTGTTTGTCCTATTTACACTGTATTTTATTTTCATGTAGCAAACCTTACATATATTTGTTGTGCTAACTTTCTCCTGCTCCATGATGTCACCTCTGCCAACCTCACTGGACAAACAGTTGATTTTATTTTTCTATTATCAGAGATTTGACTTCATATTAGCAATTAATCTGAAAAAAACCATACTTGGTAAATCAGACGATGCAATATATCACCAGACAAAGTATTGCAATACGATGCTGTATCGATTTTTTCTCTCACCCCTAGAGGTTACTCATTCAAACAGGTGCAGGAACAAACATGCCCATATCTATACAAACATACCAACATACACTCATGCAGAAATGAAGACTTTGCACTGGAAACAGCATAAATACAAACATACTTCATCAATACATGCATTTATATCTAACAGGCAATGCACTAGTAGTTCATTCATTCATGAAAAATTTTATTTTTTAAATGTAAAACATTCAAAAATGCATGAATGCATACGTTTAAAGGAAAGTATGTTTGTACTCTTACTTGTATGTTTTGCATTATTTTGCTGTTTTATGTTGCAGTGAAATAAGTGAATCAAGCCAGGTTTCAACATTTCTGTTCTGCATTGTTCATTTCTATTCAAAACAAAGAAACTAGAGCGTTTCAGAGACAAGATGATGGCATCTTTAAATACACACAGATAACAGCTCTACTGTATGCGTATGGCGGGATATTAAGTCCCAGTCAGTCAGGTCAAAGAGCAAAGCTGACTAATTGGATTGAACCAAACCTGAGGCATGACAGCTCCGGTAAGTGACAGAGACTGAATCAGCAGGGAAACACCTCGGCTTGCTGTGCCCCTAACCCAGTCCTGCAATTGCGCTGTCCTACATTTCTCTGATGTACACGAATACAACAGCCTACAGAACTACTTAGAGGCCTGAATAATACATCCCCAAATCAAGCAGATCCCGTCCCCCAGTGATGTTTTACCTTTACATGGAACCCTCCTCTGATTTTCTTCCTCAGAATTCAGTTCCCAAGCACCTTAATAAAATCCCCCCGCTTTTCTCTGGTCTGCTTTCGCAAAAAATAAAAAAAATAAAACAAACATCTGGCAGACATGGTGGTACTGACAGTCGGAGCAAAAGGGGCCAGTAAATCCACACTGAGACCTGGCTGAAGCTGTTCACTACACTCACTTTAGCTCCTCTCTCCCAGTCGCTCTAATGCCTCTGCCTCTCTCCCCTACGCGCCTCGATCCCCACCCGAGGGCTCGCCAAGCTCAGGTGCTAAGCAGCTTTATGGCCGAGGGAGTTATGTGGACTGTCAAAAGAGCTCCTCTTCTGACACATTAGGTTGTAAGTACTCACAGCAGTAAGCCTGCTCTACATAGGCACAACAAAAATATGACCCTCTGACAAACATGGGTCCTCCTGTGTATGTTTGTGTGTGTGTACATATGATATCTCACCATGAAGTGCGGCTGTGTGAGGATCCTTCTAAGCTCTTTTGCCTCCATGTTCTCTGGGTAACATGAAATGGTTTCCAGTACCTGATGGGAGAGGCAAAAGCAAAAGTTTATCCTGAGAATTAGAAACATGAGTGGAGCAATGACTGGTCTTCCGCCCAGAAGTGAGAAAGCTGGTCTTGTGCACCTTCGTGACCTGAAACAAGCAGAAGTTTTAATTTCAAAGTCTGAATCTCTTTCTTCTCAGAAGCACAGTAAAGTGACTGATTTTTCAGTGGAGTCTGGTGGTCTCTGTAACTGTCTTTTGATTAGACATCCTTGAAAATCGTCTTTCCCTGTGCGGGTTTTTTTATCTAATGTTTTCATTTTCTGCACCATTAGTTACAATCTGTGCCTGTCAGTTATGAAACAAACACAGCAGCAGCACAACTCATGTTTTTCCAGAAACAGCTCCCTTAAAATCTGCATTTAGATACATTTGTTTAATTTGAGTGATAAGAGGTGCAAAAGTCACATAAACTTCTTGATTAGCGTGCGCTTCTTACCTCTTTGGCTCTCTGAACTCCATCACTCGGAGGATTTCGGATCTGAGGGGACGACCTGGTGTTGATTTTATCATAAAGCTGAAAACGCACACAAAAAAAAACAGTCACACACTGGAAACTGAGACTGACTCTTGTGTTTTCACGCCCTCTACTGGTCATTTGTGGAACGATTCACTCACATCTAACAGGGTGTGGAGGTGCTGATCCTGGAAGACACTGTGGAGGAAGTCCATGTCTTTCTCGCTGCAGTCCGTCAAGGCATGAATCTCCTCTAGACTGTCCAAAACCTGTGACACTGCCCCTGTACACACACACACACACACATGGAGGTTATACACTCAAATCTGGGCGGAATCTCTCATAGAAACACTCACAAAAGTACACCAAGCAGTCCCTGCAAACATCCAGTAACACCGCACAGAGTGCAAACACTGAACACAAAAAGACAGACAGACAGGCTTTAGCACCAACACACCACCTAGACACATCCACAAACAAGCAGAAAAAAAACAACAACACAAATAACACAAGAGGAGACAAACAGTACGAGGCACAACAGAAAAGCACAGAAAAACACACACAAACACTCAGAACTATTTAACCCCAAAGTACCTGCTGCATCGCCCACACATGCAGCAAAACCAGAGAAACAGCGGTACATGGCATCAATACAAGATCAGGGAAAAGACTCTTTAAAAAGTTACAGTAAAGGTTAAAGGGTTAGACCGCAGAAAAATGAAAAATGTACTTTAAAGAAGAAGGAAAATGTAGAGGTGTAAATAAATAAAGAACTGCTCAAAAGTTCAGCCTCAAAACTCGAAGGCTTTAAAAATATGTGAGTGAAGTGCAGATTTTCAGTTACTAAAGACTATCTTAATTTGAGATTTTCCAGGAATTCCTATATTCATCATCTCAATTAAATTTCATGTGTTAAATTTAGACGCCGCAGATTTCTCCACTGTTGAAACTGTCTAATCCTGCGCTGAGTAGGACGGCAAACACTGCCTACCAAGAGGCTAAGTAAAGCAAACAAGAAGACTCCAACAAGAAGTGCTGCGATAACAGATGAAAGGTGAATACGAGGGAAAAAATAATCCTCATTACAAACATGAATTGAATTACGAATTATGACAAAATATGAGACAGTGATTCAGCTTTTCTGTGAGGCATGAAAAAGACACAGCAGAGTGAAAGACATGCTATTAAAGTGAAACAATTCTGAAACGTGTCTGTTTACATGCATCATATGCTCTTACTGAGAAGAGAGATTTTAACCCATGAACAGATAAAAGGTGTTCATGTTTTATATATTCATATGTAAGCTATTATTAATGCCAAAAAGAGAAAGACTGGATTCCTCAGGGTTAAATTATTTGCTCTCTCTCAACTTGATTCATAATTTTTTCTCTTCATTTGTGACCCTAATGAGTATTTCATTTCTTTTCCTAGTATATTACAGTTCTGTCTCACAGCTCTCTCTTGTAAGTTAGAATAGTTGTGATTTATTTTTATACATAATCAGGCTAAGGGTCTCTCTTTTATTGTGCCTGATAATCAAAATTTTTTTATGGCTGTTTAATTAAGATTAATCAGACTGTATGTTATATAATACCTGCAGAGTTTCATATTGTAAAATCCAAGGCTGTCTCATGTCTAATTTCCTGGATTGTTTCTTGTGTCTTCTTTAAAATTAGTGAAATATGATTAAATGCATTTTATGACCTTGACTATTTCTGTGACTACAAAATAGAGGAAGGAAATAGTTCTTTGTGACTTAGAGGAAGTGTTTGTTTTTTTTTAACTTGATTTTGAGGACAAAACTTTAACAGACTACAAAATAAAACATAGTTCCTGTTCATGTCCAATTACCAAGATAGTTTGCATTTATTTTACATTAACTTTGATTACTCATTGACATCCATTCATTCCTGGATAGTGTGATGGGATTTTTATTAGGCAGAGCTTTGCTACGGTTGCTCTCTTTGTTTCATCAAGTTCTGTAAGAGAAAAAAAAAAGTGGAGTTCCGCTTCAGTTGCTTTTTGGTTTCTTCAGGTCATGTTGTGAAACTGTGGTTTCAATCAAATTTTGATAACTTATTGACATGCAGTGATTCTGACAGGTTTTGTGTGAGTGAACTTCTGTTCCCCTGCACCAGGCAGATATATGACTGGTCTTAATATGTCAACCTGAGGATTTTTTTTTTTATAACACTGCAAACACAGCTAACTTCTTTAATTTAGTTTCATCCATAGGTCTGTGGACACCGTTGCGCTCCAAAAAATGCTTACCTGGTAACAGGTGACTCAAACTCAATGCGCTTTGGTGATATTTTAAGTCCATATGGAACAAAGTCGATAAGGTTTTTGACAAGTTAACTGTAGTGGGAGTTTATGTTATGTTATGTTATGTATTCATCTTAATCAGCAACTGACATGTAAACACTGATAACCCTGCTGACATAGCAGGGGCATAAAAGCATCTTTCCTCCTTCAAGCTCTTTATCTGAATAAATTTTTAAAATCTGTAGCACCAGGATTAGCCAAAATAATTCAGATGCATGCAGACAGAGTATCATCTTCAGGTCATCTGGATTCAAAGCACACCCATTTTTCAGAAGAGGACAGGAGAGGAGACAGAGAGAGACACAGAGGTAGCCATTTTTCAGGATTAAGACCAAACATCATCCCACACCGAGGAGTAGATGCTCATTATGATGATGTTCATGATGATGATGATGATGATGATGATGAGGTCATGATGATATCACACATTGATTTCTAAGGGTGGGGAGGGGGATACGTACTTTCGGCGGCTAGCAGTCCTAGAGACAGCACGGCGGGAGGAAAAAAAAAAACAACACCAAAGAAAGAGAGGCTGAGATTAGAGGAGGGTCAGAGCAGCTACGAGTGCAGAGTTTGAACAGCTCACAATCAGAGAAAACAAAGAGAAGAGGCAAACACGGAGTTAAAGGAGGGAAGGAAGAGAGGAATAGGAGAAACACAGGAAAGAGCAGCCAAGTCTGTGAAAAATCTGCCAAGCATGGACTACACCACATACGTCTATGAGCGGGCACACGTCTGGGGGTCTACAAAAATAAACCAGTCACCAGGAAGCATGACTGCGCCAGACTGCCAGCCTCAGCAGAAAGAACATACGTGTTTGTATAAGTGCGTCTGGCTGCAGCGGCTCCCTCTGAACCCGAGCAGAAAAGATGCAGAGCTTAGCTCATTGCTCTGATTCATGAGGGGGTGATGTAACACGCTGCTCATTTTCTGCTTTTTTCATTCCAGACCCCAGAGGTCTCGACGTGCTGATAACTATTGGCAGGCTGCAGTTTTCTTATCACGGGAAGTGAAAGTCAAGAGCTGAGACAGGGAAGTGAGGCTTGTTGGGCAACATCTGTCTTCACCCAAACAAGCGGGAGTTCACTTTCGAGGGGAAACCACCAGAATAGAAACTGAGGAAGAAAAGTGAACGAGGTTTCTGCTGCATACACTTGTGTTAGTTCTCACCTTGCACAAGGTTGATGCAGCTTTTTTTTTAAAAGTGCAAAACTCATCAAAAAAGACAGTTTAACTATTATGAAGCTTCAACATCTTGTCCAAAAAGATGCTGCAAATGTAACAGGAAGGAATGAAGTCTACAGAAGTAGTGAGCATTGATTATTTGTTGTGGTTTTCCTTGCTGTGGATCCTTTTCTAAGTCAACAGTTTCTGTGTTAAAGTCCTGATGAGACCTCACAGACCTCCCCTACCTTTAGAGCTCCTACACTTACTATACTGTTACAATCTGGTTTAAAACACAGGAAACTGAGGCAAACAGCCAAAACCTCAAGTCTATGTGACCTGCATCTTGCTCACCTGGATGACATCAGGAGTTTCGTGCAGCATTGTATGATGCTTCAGTGACAGCTAGGTAAACCCTGTTGTTCTCGACCAGGCTCTCTCTGAGTGAGGTCGTAATTTCTTGAGAAAAAAACAGTCTCAATGTGTGAGTTACCTGAGGAGGTAGGGTCATCTGAGAAGTCATGGAGCTCCTCTGGAGGGTCGCCATAGTACGAGTTAAACTTGTGGCTGGAGACGGCAGCAAGCACTGCACCCTGGGATACAGAGGAGGGGTTACATTTGTTGCATAAAGCCTCAACAGTCCATTACTGCAAGGTCAGTTTGCATTGATGTGAGACTAAATCAGGTAAAATTCCACTTTTTCTGAATGGAGTTTGGTGCCTTTTTTTACTTTAACGTCCAAAATAAATTACACTGAAAAAACTTGGGCTAGGATTGGGTCTTTCCCTTGATGAGGATATGACATTTATCTAGGTCATTTATCAAACCCGGCTGCACCGCGGAGGAGGCGACACTTCCTTTTTGACTGTAAAAACCATCACAGTGCAAACCTTCAGCTTCCTCCTGGCGTTGAACTTCCTCAGCTGCTCCACTGTTTCGGGCAGGTGGATCTTGTAGGCATACCTGTCCCTCTCCTGCAGACAAGAGTGACCGACATAAACACAGATTTCTGAGTAAATAGAAGTAAAAAACACGCAGAGAATAGAGGAAACAGAGAGTACATGTAGAGTCACGTAGCGGATGTTCAAGCCTGGCTGTGGTTTATAAAAAAAAAACAAAAAAAAACAACATGTTTTTCAGTCAGCATTAAAAAAGCCACTAAAGCTTTGAGGGTGAGTTCCATTGCTAAAATTGTATCTGCACGAAACTTTAATTTGTTTCTTTGTAAACGTATTTCTAGCAGTGCAATCGTGCTCTTGCCTTCAGCCAGGGGTGGTTGAGGGCCTCGTAGACGGTGATTCTCTCAGCGGGGTCCAGCATCAACATGCGTCTCACCAGGTCCTTGGCGCTCTCTGAGATGTGGGCCCACTGGCGAGGGTTCATCTAGATGACGAAATGCAAACGCTTTTAGAAACAAGACTGTGACAAAAAAAACTGTATTTTTCTGTTTCACCAAGGCTTTAACGCCCTTTCATAAAAAACCCTTTCTGCAGAGACGAAGCTGCAGTGATGGCGGGGGTTTTCATTTTTCAAACAGAACCTGCAAATATAGCAGCAGCTTGATACATGATACCACAGCACCATCCGTCAAGCTGCCTGCAGTGACTGCATCTGCCACAGATTAGAGCACCGAGCAGGAAACTCATCCTCTCAGCTGAAAATCGAACACGGCTCTATCCTGGTTTCTTCTGCTGACAGTATCTCTTTATTCTTCCCCTTCAAGCTGAGGTCAGAGGTCAAGTAAGGGTAAGCAGTATGATGTAGTCATCCTAACAGCTCAGAACAGATGTTTCTAATTCACTGAATCATGCCCGGTTTGCAGAAAAAAAGCCCAGAAAGGAGAGTCGTCATAAATATCACAGAGATCCATGACTGATGAGAATGATCTGGCCATGTCGTTAAGTCTGCGACTTTAAATTAAATAAACGATGAAGCGCTGATTCTGCTCCTACCTTGTATTTCCCTTTGATGATGGCCTCGAACAGACGCTCCTTAGTGCCGTAGAAAGGAAGGCAGCCAGACAGAAGGATGAAGAGGATGACTCCGCATCCCCACACGTCCACAGGTTTGCCATATGGCTCCCTTTTCACCACCTCAGGGGCCATGAAGTGGGGCGTGCCCACCCGACCTGAGGGAATCAATCAAACACGCAAAATGAGCGGCGGCATGCTGGAGCTGGGGGTACGAGGTTATAGGGCTGGGCGATAAACTGAAAATTTACCGATATCCAAGTTTATGACAATAATCAACGTCATTTCGCCCAATATATTCGGTGACAAATAAATAAATAAATGAAAGTTGGTTTTGGATGTGTGTAGGTAGGCTATGCTCTCATGTCCCTTTAAGATGCTGTCCTACGTCAGAGACTTGACTCCACCTAGGGCTGGGCGATATGGGAAAAAGTTCATTGTGATGTATTTTTTTTCATATCAGTCAATATCGATATATATAATGATATTTAAAAAAATCACTTGTCAATATTAAATGTTCCCTGTTACTCTTAAATGAAATTTAACAGTGCTCACTGGTAGCATGTCGTTCGCGAAACAATAAGCTACTGCATGCCAACTATCAAAAAGCATATTGACCATGTTTTATATTGATATAGAGGGAAATTAATTTTCAATGTATATATCATTATCGTTTTATCGCCCAGCCCTAACTCCACCCCATCCAGTCTGTAACAACGAGGGAAAGACGGGTAAGAAGATGGAGGACGATTCAAAAGTTGTAGCGGCTGAAGTAGACAAAGTTAATGTGGGAGGGGGTGAGCAGTGGAGTAGTTATCGTCCATTTATCGTTATCGAGGTGCACTGCTCAATATATCGTGATATTCATTTGAGGCTATATCGCCAAGCCCTACGAGGCTATGAGCTAAAGGATGTTTCAGTATAATGAATTAAATCCATACAACTATGGGTATCAGATGATTATTGTTACACTCAGTGAGTCCACAACAGGCAGTTTTTATGCAGCCGTGTAGCTTCTGAAAGTATTATTGCGACTTTATACCCAGCATGGATTGTTCTTACTCAGGGTGAAACATCCCTCTGCACCTTCCACACCTGTACACAGCTCACTTTTTAGGGGACAGAAAGAGGTACTAAAAGTGACTAACTTTACAAGACATTGCTACTTTCAAAGCCTCCGAACTTCTACAAAATGACCCGTCGCACGTGCACATCTGGACTGTGGGAACCACTCGAATTTGCTTGAGTAAACACAAAGCAAAGCACTTACTCAGGTCTGAGATGTTGCTCATGTTCAAACCACAGTCACATGTTTTCTCTGAACACCGCTTACTAACTCTGATCCACAGCCAAGGTGAAATATGGACCTTTAAAGGAGCTACCAATCTAGATAATGGATTTTCCATCCTTAAACTGATGATCTAATGCTTCGCAAGCAGTAAATGTGTACAGTAGATGAGTATGCATGGGTGTTTTTTTGCCTGTTAAAGTTAAAAAAGTGCAAACTTTACCTCCAGCGACTAATCCGGACTCTCCAAGCTGGATTGCTACTCCGAATCCTCCCAGCTTGACTGGAGCAGAGTTTTCCTTTGAGGCCAGCAGCACACAGTGAGGCTACAGAGAGAACACAGGAGACGGGTCAAACAGATGCTACTATGTTAGGTTCAGGCAGATAGGCTTTAAAGAAGAGTGAAGTATCATTTAATCTGAAAAAAGAGAAAGTGAGAATTTGACAAGCTTTGCTTTGCTTTGCTTTCTGTGCAAGAGTGCAAGATCCCATCTTTTCATCGCTGGTTAGCGAACCTCAGTTTCACACTGACGAGAACATGTGAACATCTAAAACCACAGGTCTTCACTTTAATGTTGCTAAAGGAAGGAAACTCGTCCTTCTACAGGATTTAGTCACACATAAGCAAATGATAATGGTGCACGACTGTGGTGATCACACGATTTTAAGCGCTGACAAAGACCTACACCACAGAGTCGATGCAGGATGTTAAGTTGCATCCTTTTTATGAGAAATAGCGTCAGTTGAATCCTGCCAAACCAATAATGTGTGATGCTATTTAGAGCCTTTACTTCATGAGAGGATTTGACTGTCTTTACATTACATCTTTTCCGGCCTCTGAGCATGCAAAAATACATTAAGCACAAAAAAAATTGAACTGAAATCACACCTGAGAGTCTGCAGCCTGCATAACTTTGCATATTCTACTTTAATACGTGAGCAATTTTCATGTCAGCTCTTTTCAATATGTGGGTCACAAATTCTTAAATGTGGAATGACATACAATTAAAAGGAGTATAAAGGGTTGGCAAAGTCAAACTGAGGCTGCGGGATCAGCAGAAGGCTAGACAGTCAAATAAAAGGTTTCAAATGTGACTGACAGAGAGACAAAAGCCCTTTTCACACATGCACTTCACTCCTGAAAATGTATTAAAATCATTCAGGCTGGCTGCATGTCAAACAGCTGGATTTGTTAAATATTTTCTGCCATCCCCTGAGCAACCTTTGCAGAAGTTTAAACACTTCCTGTCCTCTTGTGAGACCACACGGTGCTGGAGACGTATGTGCTGAGCTTGCATTCAGAGGGTACCAAAGAGCTCAGGACCGATGCAACTACCACGAGACAAGGCCGAACTGTTTGACACATCTGTTTGTGTTTTGAGTTACGCATCAATTTGCATTATTCCAGGAACAGCTAAGGTGACAGACAGGTGGGCAGGTAAAGCTGTTTGCGACCAGGTAAAAAGACACCTCTGCGCTAGCCTTTGGGTTGATCGAAAGTTAGGCTGAGTCATCATTTCCAAAGTGGCCACCACCAACAGTGGTCTGACCACATGAGATGCATTTGTGAAAGCGTGATAAATTCTGGAGATTTTCTGAGCTGCACCTGTCAGTTAAACCCAAGTCTGCCCTGGTATCCCTTTCTCCTTAAACTGAGATGAGATGTCGCTGATTTTCCTCTTGAGCCCTATTCATACAGGATTAATATTGTAGGGGAGGTGAGGCGATAAAATATCTGCTGTGCCCTGCAGTTAGTAAACCCACAGGATAGCATTAGCCGAGGCTACATTTGAACAGGTGGTTCATAAAACACAAAATCTATGTGAGCGGGCCTGTGAAGTAACTCAATAGATGTTCTCAATATTAAAGTCTATTTAACGCTCTGTGCTTAAAACTTTAATGGCTCAAAGAGCACTAGTGTCCTCAGATGACTTCACTCTTTGATCCTGCAGGCTGTGGTCTCTCAGTTTCTTTTCTGGTCTTTTAACTTGAGTTAAAAAAGTGTCATTTCCTCTGCAGACACATATAACACAAACTGAAAAAATCTGAGATGCAGTGAAGGGATCTGTCTCTCCTGGATGCAAACAAGCTGATCAATACTTTAGGAAACATAGTTCCTCGCTTGCTAGATCTAACTGCTTTAACTCAGGTTAAGCAGTTTATCTCAAAGGGGGAGTGCAAAGTGACAGATGCAGGAACTCAGGAGAGTGTGAGTGTGCTCTGCAGTGGTGGGCTCACTTCCTCTCCACATTCTTCTTCTTCTCGTAATGGTGGTGATTCGGGGAGGTGGAGCACGGCAGATCACGGCAAGGCAGAGTGAGAGAGAAAACAAGAAGCAGAGCCGAGAAGACCAGCAGACTGAACAGACTTGTGAGTAAGAGCAGGAGAGTGAGAGAGAGAGAGAGAGAGGGGTAAGAAAGAGCTTTTCAATAAAGAGGAGGAACGAAACAATCTAAGGTACACAGGAGGACAGAGAGCTGAGAGGAGGGCGAGGAGGAGCAGGCACTGTGGAGAGGTGTCCGCAGGATTTATGACTCATCCCGTGACAGGAGAGAAAGGTGAAGGTAGAAGAATAAGTGTTAAGACAGCGTTATATAACTCCAGTTCTTAGCCTTATAATGTATTTTTTATCACAGTTTAATGGAGGAGAATAACAAACAGGACTGCTCTGCTGTCACACCTCCCTGCACATCTAGACTACAGCTGTGCTGAGAGAAGACGGAATACTGATGGTGAGTGTTTCTGCCTTAATCCAAACATCTGTGTGCAGCGCCCACTCTGTATGAGTGTGTACGTGAGTGTGCATGTACACTTCGACTCCGCACTTTAGTGTTAAACCATGGGAGTGGAATGTATGTGCTCAACAGGCATGAAATGTTAAATTAGTAATAAATCTCTCTCCTGCTCTTAAAAAAACGTCATCTTTGAACCGTGATATTTAACTTCTGGAGCTGCTCTTTTGTACGATGCTGCACTTTTTACATGGCAGCAGCATAAATTACTATAATTTCCATTACACACTGAGTATTACACATGTGGCCTTTACAACTTTAACCCACATATTACTCACAGCTCTGTGTCACAAGGTGTGTAAAGGTAGTTTCACACTGTGGGTTTCTTGGACTTTTCTTACATTTAAGTCCTCAAACTCAGCTGTAGAAATGCTTGGACAGAGTCTACGCTGGGATTTTTGCTGACCACGGTGACATTTCTTGGGGTTTTCTTCAAATATGTCACATCCCTTAAACCTCAGCTGAAAGTTTGTCACTTGCTGCTGTATCTCAAAACATTTATGAAATTTAGGTTCTAAATTTATAATAAATTAATGAATTAACAACATAAAGGATGTGAGTCAGAAGTGTAACAGGACTAAAGATGCAAATTTTGGAGACACAAGTCATTTCGGGTAATGGTTGATCTGCATGTGATGTAGACAGAGAAGTATATTCTTAGAGGAATATCAGAGGGGCAGCCAGCCGCCTACACTGAAAATAACAGCTTCACTTTGGGCATCTGTGAATCGGGGTTTTTTGAAGAATTTCCACTCATTACTGAAGAAATATTTATTGACCTGCAGCCATGCTGTGCTATCAAAATATCAACTGTATCGTTTGTTCTGTTTTTGCTCCATACCATGTGATCAAGGTCTGAGCTGCTGGAAATAAATGAAATTCAATGGTAAACTTTTGATGGTATCCTAGTAAATTTGGAAATTTGTTCTGATAAACTGTTTTTATTATTATTATCGTAAAAATGTTTATTTTGTCCTGGTTAATTTGTGACTTTATCCTGGTAAATTTGTGACTTTATCCTGGTAAATTTGTGACATTATCCTTGTAAATTTGTGACTTTATTCTGAACGATTTGTGAATTTATCCTAGTTAATTTGTGACTTTATCCTGGTAAATTTGTGACTTTATCCTTGTAAATTTGTGACTTTATTCTGAACGATTTGTGAATTTATCCTAGTTAATTTGTGATTTTATCCTGGTAAATTTGTGACATTATCCTGGTAAATTTGTGACATTATCCTGGTTAATTTGTGACATTACCAAAGTTAATTTTTTATCCTATTTAAATATTATTGTGACTTCATTCTGAAAAACTTGTGACTTTACCCTCCAAAATTTTACAGCCATGTAAAAGTGAAAAACGCTCTTCAAGTATAATTGAAAGACTTTCAAACACTCATAGGAATCACTGACTGAAAGTCTATAACAGTGAAATGTGAAAACTTAGTCTGACACCCACCTCCACCTCTGGTTTCAAACTTTCTAAAGAACTTTCCTCTGTTTTTTTAAAGGTTGAGTCAAATTTTTCAAGGTCATCAATATTAATTAGTCTTAGTTAAAAATTCATTTTAAAGGCTGAGGTCTTTCTTGATAAATTCATTTGCATTAGAAATAGTGTTATTAGTATTTATGCTTGTTGTGATGTGATTTGTTGAAGTTTGTCTTCTGTTTATAGCCTTTAAATATAGAATGTTTTTGCAGTAAACTTTTTCAAATTGTATTTTCTTTATTTATGATTATTTTGACTTCACTTCAGCTATTTTGATGACACCTGGTGTTTTTTTTTTTGTCTTTTTCAGAGACAATGGCCACCTCTGCCTCCTTAAATCTTTCAGCCCCTTCATCACACAGCACCTCTCTTCCTGTCACGATGACGCCCTTCCTCTCTGCCACCTCCATCTCCTCCTCCTCAGCAGTCTCCTCAAACCATACTTGCTCCTTTGATGACCCAGCCCTGCGTCTCCCTCTGGCAGTCATGTACTCTCTGTTCTTCCTCTTTGGGCTCGTGGGGAATCTCTTCGCCTTGTGGGTTTTCCTCTTCCTACACTCAAGCCGCAACTCTGTGCGGGTATTTCTCATCAACTGTGCTGTGGCTGATCTGGTCCTGCTGGCATGTCTGCCCTTCAGAGTTTTCTACCACTTAAACGGGGACAAGTGGTTGCTCGGTTCTGTGGCCTGTAAGATAGTGGGGAACCTGTTTTACATGAACATGTACATCAGTATCACGTTGCTGGGGTTCATCAGCCTGGACAGATTCCTGCGACTGAGGGGGAAAGGGAGGGCGCGCAGAGGCATGAGGATGACGTTGTGGGGGTACAGCTTGCCCTGGAGCTGGGTGGCATGTGGGGCTCTGTGGGGTCTGTCATTGATGGGGCTGGTGCCAATGATCGCCGCCGCAGAGGACAAAGAGAAAAGTGACCAGTGCTTCCAGTACAAGCAGCGCCGCGGGGGAGCCAAAGGAAAGGCCTACTTCAACGCAGTGCTGGTGGTGCTGTTCTGGCTCGTCTTCATCATGCTGGTCGTCTCTTACGTTAAGATTGCTTCCCAGCTGCTGAGGGTCTCCAGGGACAAGCCGGACCTCCCAAATGCGCAGAAATATGGAAGAACTGCTAAGAAGTCCTTCTTTGTCCTCTTCCTTTTCACAGTCTGCTTCGGACCGTATCACGCCTTCCGCCCCGTCTACATCCTCTCACAGCTCAGCGGATCAGTATCCTGTGACTACTTACAGCTAGTGGATCGCACCAATGAAGTGATGCTGTTACTGTCCGCTTTCAACAGCTGTCTGGATCCTGTCATGTACTTTCTGCTGTCAGGCACGGTGCGCAAAACCGCCTTGCAAGCGCTCGGACATCGACTCGGCCAGCGGCTGGTCTTCCTGAACGACGCGACATCGAACAGCTCCACGGCGGACTTCAGACGAGCGTCTATGCCCATGATTTTACCCAACTCTGAGTTCAACACCCCCAGAGCAAGTATCTGCAACGTCAACCCCAACCTCCATCGCACAGGGCTGACAACACTGCCGCCTACTGGTAGACAGTAACAAAAGCACGAACACCAGAAACATTTGACTTTTTACATTTTGTCTGAACAGGTTGCAAGTTTCTGTTAAGTTGTGCAAAGCATTTATGCATATCTCTACTTTTTTTGTTGAAATAATAAATAAATATAATCACCGCATCCTTTGTATGTTTGCAAAAACAAGTTCCGGACATCAACGCCTGAATGATAGAGCGAAAAATCAGTTGAGTCTGAGAAGACACAACATTGCTCTCTTCAAGGCCACCAGAATGCACTGAAGGAAACAGTCATTTAACTAGTGGACTACTGCAGATGCATGTCTACATTTGCCATAAATGTGATTTCCTAGCTGTTAAGTAAATACAGGATCACCAGGTCTGCTAGTATTCAAGGCTAAACTGGTTTGCAGAGTGTGGCTTCAGTAGGCAAAGCTGGCCCTCCTCAGCGGTGTGAATATTGGAGTGAGGTGGTTTTCGTTGAGACCGCATGCAGCCTCATCTTCATTTCTAGTTAAACATACTGCTAAAACCACACCACACCACAAATGTCATCTGTGTTTGTTCACACGCAGGAGTGTTGCATTAGGATGGTTACCATAAACCAGTCAACTGCAGAATTAACTTGAACCGTGTTGAAAACCACCCATCTGCCACAAACACCAGTCAGCATTTTACCCAAGTGTGACCCACCAGCACACAGAGCTATTAGTTTACGCTGAAAACAAGGCCGTGTTTATCCCTTTGGGGAGTGTGTCGTTAAAAGACTGGTGTGTGTGGATCAAGGGCCTGGTTCAGGACTGCTCCATCTGGTGTGGTAGTGTTTGTCGCCTGTGTGCGATAGCTAATCCTGCTGAATCACTGGTTGATGCTAATCTACGGTGACCAGACGTCAGTGTTTGTACAGGATTGTCCTGGTTTCAAGCTGGGAGTCCTGACAAATACCACACTAAAACACTTAATTGTTCCTGTTTTCAACAGATGCTACCAGACTGACACAGATTTCCTTTTTTCAACATAGAAAAGATGTTTTTTTTTTGCGTCTCATAAGTATTCATCAAGTTTGGCTCTATAACCTGATCTAATATAAATCTAAGAGTACAATGCACCAAACCCCGTGACTCAATCTCTGGTTTGACTGAAACAAATCTGCGTGTTTTGGTGTATTTATCTACTGAGCGGTAGAATTGAAACTCCAACTTTTCTAGTTTTTGAACTAAATTGTCAAACATTTAAAAGCTCAAACTTCTCACAATAACTGTTTCTGCCTTGTCCTTAAATATATGGATAATCTTCAGAAGACTTGTTGTTTGTGAGAATTTTTTTTTTGTACTTTTTTCCAATATATTCAACAAACAGTTCATCGACCAGCTTAAAAAATAAGGGCAATCATTTTGGCATGCACCCTTATCCTGTTTGTCTCTTTAATTCTACATATACTACATCTGTAAAAGGTGTTAGCCAATGAGTCACATGCAAGTGTCGTAGCTGATGACGTCTGCAGCTTTTCATGTCAACAGTGAGCAGTAAGGCTGTGTTTTCCTTGAGAGCTCCTGAGGCTTGAAGGTTATTAAATCTGGGTCTTCATTACCACAAAGGCGGTTCACCGCTTAGCTTGAATGCAACCTGCTCTAATTAAGATTCTACCGATTTAAGTTGATTTGTTTTAAATAAATTCAAGATTCCTGCACATTTTCTTTCTTTTCCTGCAAATTTTCCAGAGATGTTTGACGTCACAGGGCACCAAACTGCAACTATTTTGGTCAGTTTAACTCCCACAATTTGATCTGTGCATCTCTGAAATCCATTCAAACAATAGTTGTGGTGCAACCTTTTTTTTTCCATTTTACAGTGAAATGTTTGGCAATACAATGACTGCTGATTGATTAGTTATACCAGTTTTCTTAAAGTGTATCAAGAGCGACACTAAAGCGGGGCTGATTTGGGGCCTCAGTCCCCCCACCAGATTATCCTGTGGTGGTGTGAGTTGTGCGAGAAGCGATTTTTCTACTATGATCTGGGCAGAAGGCGATCGGAGCGCCCCAACTTAGAATTATAAATACTAAAAATGTTCAATATTCATGACCCGCAATCCTTCTGTGAGTGGGAATCTGCAAGCTGATCGAGCACAGTGTCCACTTTCATGTGGAACAATTCAATGGCCAATAAAAAAGTGAGCCGACCAAAGCTGGAAACACAACAAATGCAACCATGGCAATAATAGCATAAACAAAGATGGGTGTCAGAAATACAGAATCCACTCACTGCTGGCGAAAGTAGTCTTCAAGTGCGTGGCGTGCTGCGTTCATCACATTGTTGCACACCACACACTCAAGGAACAAACTTTTTCATTCTGTCATTATTTGTTGTCGTGTGTGTGGTCTCTGACATTTTCAAAATCGGTTCAGATTTTAAAAATCGTTTGATTTTTTTCTGCACTGTTCAATCTAACGCTTACATAACCAATCACATATCCCTTTGACAATCTCGGCTTTCAACACTGATAATCGAATAGTTAATTTTAGCCTTCAATCGCTCCCTTTCACTGCGCTTCATTGTCACATGACAAAGAGCTTTCACAACAGCAGAGGAGCGAACATTGAGGGGTTTCTTTTGTAAGCCGCCCTGATGTTGCAGAAACTGTAACCTCGGAAGTTGGTGTTGTTGATGTGGTGAATGCAGATACAACACAAGCAGCAAAGACGGTTTACAGTTATCAAAGAGTGTCGCTGAAAGATTTCGAAGGGCTCTGCTGTGAAACAAGTTCACTGTGAGTCCAGTGGGACAGATGTTACTGGAGGCACAACACGGGCAATACTCTGACATTCTTATTGTTAGAAAAACGGTTCATTTGCAACCCTGCATGACTCTGAACTGCTTACTACTCAGGATTCAAAATACAAAGTGTTTGCCACATTCTGACTGTGTATCATCAGGGCTGTCAGGCTTTTATATTGAAAAGATAAAGATGCTATTGTCAGAGTCTGAGAGATCTACCTGGATGTTTTTCTGTTGAATAAATTGTTTTTCCTACATTTTCAGAATCTTTTCATTCTTTAAAATCAAAAATAATGAGTTGGAAAAAAAAAGTGCAACGACTCAATTTGAACAATATTTGTGCAGCCTTATTTATTCGATAAAAACAGCGATGACTGCAGCCACAAAGAAAAGACGCTTCATTAACTTTCCCATTTAGGAAACATCACTGCTGAAGTCATTACTGTTCAGACAAGCTGGATATTCAGGTTTTTTTTTAAATGCTGTGTATTTGAAAAACAGCAAATATTGACATACTCTGTTCCTTTTTTAAATCTATTCAGGCTTGCTCATAACTGAAATTAAATCGTCCGAACTTTTGGGAACCCTTGAGTGACTCATTTTCTGGTTACAGGGAGAAAAAAAGCTCACCTTTACGTCACGATGAATCACGTTGTTGTCATGGCAGTACCGAAGTGCCTCCAAAATCTGCCTCATGTAGTGGCTGGATGCACAAACAGGCAAAGGGCAGATTGTTACGAGTCGTTAATTGTTTATTAATTCAAGTTTCATTATCTTTCGACGTTCTGCATTGAGGTTTACCTTGCTACTGCTTCGCTGTACACGAACCCAGCATCAGCTCTCTTCACGATTTCAAAACACAGGTCGGCTCCGTCCATACTGCGAGGAAAGAGAGGAAGGAGATATCAGAGAAAGGGGAAGCCAGCGTGGTGATTTACAGAAAGCAATTCACAGAAAAAGCAGATGAACAATGACAACTTCCAAACAGAGTGTATCAATCCACGCCTGTCAGGAGTGGCTTTACAACCTGCTGTCACTGCATAAACACGGAGGCATTATATTTTCATTACAGCACTTGAGAGGCAGTCAGATCCCTGAGGGAGGCTTTCAGGAGGATATGGGATACAGATTTACACCATAAACTCCACACAGAGGGAACTAATTAAGCAGACGAGTTGATTAAAAAATTACATTTACTACATTAGCTGGGGGGGGAGAGCGGCAGAGAGCCGTTGTCTCGTTCTGAAACCATCTCCTGTGGATTTTTATATTGAACAGTGATGCTTTAGATCACAACATGTTCAGATCATCGCTGTGTAATTAGGCAAAAAATATTTTCTGTGCAAAAGTGATTTGCACAGAGAAGGGGAAGGGGAAAGGGGAAGGTAAACATAAGTTAGCTTCTTCTTTCTCCTTTTTTGAGGATGTAGAAACATTTAATTTCATTGATTTTTTGTGAGAAATACTGTGTGAAAAATGCTTCCTTGTTGATTCTCATGTTCAAAAATAAATTTCATTTCATTCATTTTTCTTCATCGTCCTGCATGTTTTGGATGTTTCCCTGCTCCAACACACCTGATTCAAATGATCAGCTCGTTATCAAACTCTGAGATGGCTTACTAACGAGCTAATCATTTGAATCAGGTGTGATGGAGCAGGGAAACATCCAAAACATGCAGGATAGGGGGGCTCGAGGACTGGATTTGAGAACCACTGGTTTACTGAAACAAATGGAAAATATTTAAACACTAGATTACAGTCAGGACCGCTGTTTTTTTTTCACGGGTGTACATGAAAGGCCGAGGCAGGAAGAGCAGCAGCAAAGATCCTCGGGGTACAGACCAAAGCAGACATCAGTGACATACGCCGGTGGCAAAATAAGAGACGGCATCAAAAAGGAAGCGCAAAGGTTGCAGGATGGTACGGTGGTTTGCGGGTGACACAGGAAGAGCAGGCAAGATAAAGCAGTTTAAATCGAACGCCTGTTTTGACATTTGCCAACTGAGTGCGTAGAAAGAAAATGGCCGAGCTGTCAGCTGATATGAGCTGGCGTCAAGATCAGCTGATTCACTGTTGGCTGAGTTTGACTTTACGGCCTGTATAAACAAACACTTCGCTCAGTTTCATCCTGCGAGAAACCTGTAAGAATCTGGTGCAGAATCAGCATTATACACCGAGGAATCAATGCATGTTCTTTTCTTTTTTAAAGCACCAGTGATGATCTTTTGTTTTCTGTTCATTTTGGCGGCCCCTTGGACAAAGTAGTCTTAGTTTATCTTGTCCTTCTGATAAAATATCTCACTGTTGTGACTTTTGACAGTCAAATTTATGGTCATTCAATTATTCCATTCAATCTAGTAAACGAAAAACAAAAAAACGAGTCAATATATATATATATTTTTTTCTGTATAACCAAAAAAATAAAAACATTAGTGTTTGTTTTCGTATTTTTCAGTTCAAAACAGAATATATAATAGAGATGGAAACAAAAACAAAATAATAAATCTTATTTACAATTATTGATTTTGGGGGCGCCTGTTTTGAGGCTACATGGACGCTACATTGGCCTTCCCATGATCCTCAGCGACAGTTACCATGGCGAAAGACGTGACAAAGCGGTGAATATTTTACGTGGACCTTTAAGACATTACCAGACATTGCAAAACACTCTCCTCAGTGTTTTAAATCAGCTATTTTCCCCTGCGTAACATCAACACTTGATATTTTGCTCTAGCACAGCTGCTGCTGTAAACCGAAACGACTCCAATGTTGACTGTTTGAGCTTTAATACCTTACACGGTGCACATTTTTGCTTCAGTTAAGAGCCTTAATAAGTCTGTAACCACTTAGATGAGGGGGCTGGTAGTGTTAGTGAGAGGGTGTGAAATAAGCAGCAGCAACCTGCTGCTCTGTGCCGTTAAATTTAGTACGTAGCTGTTAGAGCGGCCTACATTTCAGGCACTTCAGGTGGCCCACAAACCACCTATATGTTGTTTTCAAACCTTTAAAATAAACAAAGCATTTAAAGAAAACAGAAACTGGTAATGGGAGTGAACCCAATTCTCTGTGGTGGATAAAACAGCTGTCCTGGCCTGGTTAAGGACCAAAATGAGATTCTGGGAACTCTAAATTAACGTGAAATGTAAAATGCACTCATGCACGTGTAATGCATCACGGCTGGTGAAGTACTCACAATTCAAAGACCATGTAGAGCATGCCATCAGAGCTGTATGTCTCCAGGAGCTCCACGATGTGGGGGTGTTTGAGCATGTGGCAGATGCTGGCCTCTCGCTTCAGATCTGGAAGCAGAACACAGACAAAGTTCACATCCAACAGGAAGGATTTCATTTGAGGGTGAATTTAATTCCGGTGAACAGTTACAAGGGGAGATGTTGGTAACCCTCATGATTCTTGAAGTTTGTGAAGCATGGATCCACAGGGGAAAAAAACAAGCTCCAGAAAAGTCTAAAAACCTGCAATACAGCTGCAAACAAAAACCATTACATGATGATTTATCCTCTGCACGCTGCTTAGACCACAATTTACCAAGAGGGTTTACCGAAATGATGCAATCACCAAATGCCAAAAGCTAGAGTTTCTCTTAAAAGGTAAATTTTAAAAGCAGTTTTGCTGCAGAAATTATACCCAAACAGAAATTACTGTTGATATAATAGGATGCAATTTGCACAAAAGCATGCATTACATTGCAAAACTACCTAAATTATGCCTTTAATTTCCTAGAATGTTTGTGCATTCTCTTCAAACACACATAAACACTTCATGTTTCCACTTGCATCAGAAGTTTCACTGTTTTGCAACAAATCTCACCGCAGGAATCACTCCCAATGTCCTATCAGATCTAAACAAATGTGGCTCTAAATGTCAGCACTGAGGAAACGCTACAGCTTCCTCTAGAATGCAGCATGCAGAGCTGTGAAAAGATGAGGTGGAAGTTCAGGTTCAGGAGCATATACTTAGTACAAAGAAGTGTTAGAAACGCCCTGTTTGATTAACCGCAACAATGATTGTGCGGCTGTTCTTTTCCTTTTTCTCACGGTGAGTTGTGAAGTACGACGAAAATAGACTGAAACGGCTGCACACACCATCAGTGTGAAGAGAGCTTTCAAAACACGCATGATTTGAAGCTCTTATAAAACAGGAGCTGCAGGTCAACTGCTGCTTTAACCAATGAGTTTGTTTTAGGGATGGGACTTTCAAAGCAAACAAGTGCAGACGAGGGCTGGACAATGTTGAATATAGGGGTGCACGGATCGGATATTTGGATCGGATATCAGCGCCGATATTGACAAAGTCACTGGATCAGATATCTGATGAATGACGCCGATCCAGGGTTCCGATCCAGTCTTTTTTTTCTTTTAATTAATTTGATATACAGCATGTCTGTTTGTATGTCTATCCGTTTTCTTCTGCTTCATCTGGGTCCGGGTCGCGGGGGCAGCAGCTTCAGGAGGGAAGCCCAGACGGCCCTCACCCCAGCCGCTTCCACCAGCTCCTCCTGGGGGGATTCCCAGGCGCTCCAAGGCCAGGCGAGAGATATACTCCCTCCGCCTGGTCCTGGGCCGGCCTCGAGGTCTCCTCCCGGTGGGACATGTCCAGAACACCTCTAACGGAAGGCGTCTGGAAGGCATCCTAACCAAATGCCCGAGCCACCTCAGCGGACTCCTCTCGATGTGGAGGACCAGCGGTTCTACTCTGAGCGCCTCCCGAGTGTCTGAGCTCCTTTCCCTGTCTCTAAGGCTGAGCCCGGCCACCCTGCGAAGGAAACCCATTTCAGCCGCTTGTATCCGCGATCTTGTTCTTTCAGTCATTACCCAAAGTTCATGGCCATAGGTGAGGGGTCGGCACCTAGATCGACCGGTAAATCAAGAGTCTCGCCTTACGGCTAAGCTCTTTCTTCACCACGACTGATCGGTTGAGCTCCGAACAAGCTCCCGAGATACCTGAACTCCTCCACTTGAGGCAGGACCACCCTCCGACCTGGAGAAAGCAATTTGTTATGTGTTAATAAATAATATTAAGTAAATTTATATCTGTGTTACTATTTTTCTTTACAAGGCTAATGTCAAAACCTGATGCCTTCACTCACATGGCAAGGTATACAGTCCATTCATTCAACAGTAGTATTGGATTGGTATCGGATATCAGCCCGGGTATCGGTATTGGTATTGGATTGGATCAGAAAAAAAGGGATTGGTGCATCTCTAGTTGAAAACATTCAATATTCCAATATTTTCTTTTTCCTGCTACATATATCACAAAAAAATCTAGGTAAGAGACGAGTGTGGACCTGTGTAGAATGGTTCTTCAAGGCCAGAACTAAATACTGACACAAACTAACACAGAGTGCCTCCCTCCTCCTCGAACACCCTTCTACTTCCCCACCAGAGGGAGCCACAGAGCATGAACGCACACAGGGACTCAATTCTGTGGAGACACTGAGGGGAGTGTTCTGCTCCACAAGATGCATCGGCACAAGGATCCGCTTTTAATTGCAACACATAACTGCACATCTGGCTCACACTCATCAACACAAGCCCCTCTAATTATCACCACATGCAGACGACACTGCAAATACAATTACAAACATGACACCGCCATTCCTTCTGTTTGGATTGCCTCATTAAGGGAAACGGCACTAAAGGGGACATACAGTGTTGTTGTCTCTTTGAAAAGACAATATTGAATGTAATGACCGACGACAGGCCAGACCAGCGATAAGACGGAGAGCGCTGAGGAAGCAGACAGACATAATGTGCAGTTGTTGAGCTCCTCACTCCATAAAAACCTCATTTACACACTCCACTCCCCATCTGCAAGTCTACTGATCTGTGTGTGTGTGTGTGAGTGTGTGTGTGTGCGCTCATAGTGTCGTGACAGACCAGTATCATTATGCAACACAGAGAAACGACGCTGTGTCCCTACTACAGAGCCCCCATTCTGCTGTTCCTTTGCTTTCATTATTCCTCTCCTCTTTACGCTCGTCCCCGGCCCGTCTCATCGAGTATCCATTCTCAAATTTAACAATGCTGCCCAGTGTCGGCACGGCAACGAGGACGAGGCTCAAACAGAGGAAGGCCGGGGAGCTGTCTGAATGAAACCAATGCCACTCACTCGGCTGGTTCCAGGATCAAGATCAAGTCGGGGGCTAAACTCTGCTTTGTGACGTGATGTGGAATAATTTCACTCAGTTTAACACACTCTTTATGACTGTGACTCATAGAGAGATCAGAGGAAAAAAATCCAAAATAAAGACCAACACATGAATGCTGTTCAGCTCAGGATGTAAACAAAGATAATTCAGAGGCCCGACTGAGATTTTGAGAAGCTACCTGCGGACTTACATCATGATTTAAAAATAGCATAACGCCGTGGAAGGATTTCCCTTCAAATTTGAGTCACTGCACGTGCCACTATTACAACATCTTTTATCTACAGTCATTCAGATATCATGTTTTATCCAAGCAGCAACCTCCAGTGTTCATAACTGAGGCGCCAAAAGCTGCAGTGCCTTTGAAATCCACTAGAGATTTGCTTCATGCTATGACATGGAAAGGGGGCTTCATGATAGGGGTGAAGGTCGAAAACTTTCAGATTGATTCTCAGTTTTGAAATCGTATGTATTTGTCTTTATTTAAAACAATTAAGAACTTGTAGAAGTCATCTTGCATTAAGGGATGTACCTTTACGCCTCCACTTCCAGCACTGAGTCCATGCAATAAAAATGCAATGAGCAAGAGTCGGACGATTAATTGTGTTTTAATCTCGAGTTCAAATTACAGCTCCCCACGCTCATAAAACAATGATAATCAAGACTGTGCAGCCCGCCGTGTCTCGCTCACTTTGCACTTTTATGTCATCATTACGAACTCATAATGGTGTGCAACTGTGTATTAAATCCTGGTCAACATTTGCAGCAGCAGTACAAACTATCATGCAGCCACAGGTGGAGAGAGGAGGGCGGGGAGAGGAGCAGAAGGAGACAGGTGTTTGTGTCTGAAAAGCCAAGGGACGGGGTAAGGATTAGGGCCCGACCGATATGGAATTTTTTGGGCCGATGCCAATACCAATTACTAGGGGGGAAAAAAATATGATTTCCGATAAATCGTCCGATTTTTAAAATTTTTTTATGAAGTAATAAAAAAAATAAATATACTGTAGATATACTGTAAGCTACTGCTCTTCACGCCGACAGGAAGACCGACTGATCAACCTCAGACCAAAAAAGGGTTTTCAACTACTCACGTTACACATTTCCGGTCCGGTCTCATCTGGAGACATGCAGCTGCCTCAGTAAGAGAAGTAGCTCGATCACGTAATGTGTACTGTTGTTTATTCCACCGTTACTGGCACGGCTAACAGTGTAGCAAGGTTAATAGCAGGTGGCTAACTCTAACTTTAGCTTGCATATTACATAGGGCTTTACCGTGAACTTGGCGTGACCGAGACCAGCACAGCGGGGAACATCGTACTGAAACTTGTTGACTTATTGTGTACTTCATTAAGTAGTTTATTTACCATTGAGGCGGACCACTGTCCTCCATGCGTCCCTGAGCTGCCTGCTTCTGATCCGTCACTCTGCTGTGCTGTGAGGTAGTTAGTGGATGAAGATTGTCATGAGGTCGCTGCGCCATCAACAGGATAAGTCGGGGAACTTTTCAAATATCTGAATATTTTCGAAGTTAAACCGAATCTTATTCTCCGCACTTTATTTCTGAAAATATCGGCGAAAATCTGCGAGTTTTGGCCAATTACCGATTAGTCTCAAACGGGCCCTAGTAAGGATCACAACAGAGAGGCTGCAGCGATTACTAGCTAGATTGGTTTAACGTTGTGTTGTGTTCAAGTGCTAGTTCGATGAAATACATCCTCAATCTGTGATCATTACCTAAACCGTCACCGCACATCTCCTTAATAATACTGAAAAGTGCTGTATTGTAATTTTTCTCTGTAATTCAACAGAGAACAAAGCCACAGTGTTGATTGAGAGCGCTCACCAGCTTGTTCTCTTTATTCATCCATCTAAAAAGCCAGACACTCGCTCAGTCTGTTTTTGTTCAATACTCCCAGACTCTTAATTACACCATTAATCATTTACACGTCCAACAACTCCCTCACAAGCTCATACAGACACCAACATATTCATACATAAATGCAGGTATTTGTTACTGGTAGCTGGTAGCGGTTCAGTCTCTTTCCCCCTCACATTTGTGCTGATGTATATTCTTTTTAATAAGCTATGTGGTCTCAGGAAAGCACTCTCCGTGTCTGGCTGCACTCCAGTTCTCTACTTTGCCCCGCACTCATTCCTGATCTCGAAATGTCAGAAATGTGGGAGTCAGTGGAGAGACTCATTGGTTAGGTGAAACTCCAGGTTAGAGGAGTCGTGATGGGAACTTCGACTTTGTGTTGAGGTTTTATGTTTTCACCGAGATGCATGTTCAAAACAGTCAAAATTCAAGTGAAGTGTAAAGTCTAATTTCTGTCTTTTCATTACTTAATCTCAAGAAATGCACAAAACGTAATCTGGGCTGAGGAAGTATTGCTGTTTTTTTTTAATGTTTTCACTCAACTGACGCACAAGGTTATTAAAAAGCTGCAACACTGATAACACAAAGAAAAGAGAGCTAACTTGCAGAGCTAATTAATTTTTCTTTAAGCCTCAAGACAATAAGCAGTAATTAATTATCAGGCATTTCAGTAACTTACTATGAGGGCTGGGTGATAAAACGATACAAACAAAAATTAATTTCACTCGATACTGATATAAAACATGGTCAATATGCTTTTCGATAGCTGGAATTCTGCCATGTTTTGTTAAACTATACAAACAGCGAATAAAAAGGGGAGTTGCTCTGGGTCTGCTTTGCGCTGAACCAATCATGTGCTGAATTAGAACCAAGTAGCAAACAACGGTGTAGTAGCAGGTGAAGCTGACAAAAAAAAAAAAAGAGTTCAGAAAGGCTGGGAAAGGCTCAACAGATGATGACATCATCGACAACACTGGCACTAAAACGTCGGTGGTGTAGAGGCAGTGTTTCCCCTAGAACTTTTTTCAGCTGTGGCAGGGGAGGTCGTTGTTACCTCCACTCTCTTGCCGCTCCAGGAGCTACACTGTTACATTCACGATATGTTACCCGCGCTACTCGCTATACAGACCGTGTATAAGCTTAAACGTTACCCTTCACGTTAGTGGAAGAGGGTCTGACAGGATTTGATGCGCTCGTTGATGACTCATAACAAGTCAAAAATAACGTTGTGTGTTGTTGTGCTCACACAGCACGAGTAGAGATTATTAGTGCCGCACTGATAATAATGCTACTAATGCTACTTGCTATATACACCGTGTATAAGCTTGAGGAGGTATTGGGAGGTATTTTGTTTTTTTGAGGTTGGACATGAATGACAGTAGTTTACACTGCAAATTATGTCAATAACATGTTAAATTTCATTTAAGAGTACCAGGAAACATTTAAGATTGATAAGTGATTTTTTTTTGCTAATCGATATTGACTGATGTGAAAAAAATATATAGTGATAAACTTTTTTTAATTTTATTTGTCGCCCAGCCCTACTTGCTACTTGGGATAATTTTCAAGTGTATTAAGAAGCAAAAATGAAAGAAAAACCTGCATTTCTCTGACCCATGCACTTGAGAACCTGCAGCGGCTAACCCATGCTCTGCAGGTGATCCTCTCCGTCAGGACCTCTTGTCTGTAATACGGCAGTGAGGAACCTCTGATGTTTTCATACTATTGTGTTTAACGTTAGGCCCCACGGGATGCTGCCGTCGTCATTTTGGATAATTCCTGGGCACTCCCTCTTTCACAGAATACCGAGTGAAAGATTACAAAACGTGAGCTGTGTTATTTGGAGGTCTTTATAAATGAATGCTGTGCAAAAAAAAAAAAAAAAATCAGACAAAGAGAAGGAAAACAGCCGGGACACTGCTGTGTGCATAATGAGAGTAAAGCTGCAGGTGTGGGTGTGTGTGTGGGAGGGGCACAGGGGAATTTACTGCTGCAGGTATCCTGTCTTTCTGTGGGACACTACACTGCTGCTACATTTAAATGTGACATCAACTCATCATGCACATCCCAAATAGAGGGGATGTCTTTTTAATTCAACATAAAATCCCCGAGAAAAAAAAAAAAAAAGCTATACACCCGTCTGAACAGGCTGCATGATACTCATGCGCTGTTATGTTTGGACTAAGCCTACTGTGCCGTATTATTGTCAGCTGAGTCCTGAGTCTATTTCCGTTTTAGGAATGTTTCCATTATTTATTTAATGACTTCTACGTCCATCTGGTTACCACATATTCTGCAGGAAAGCTACATTTTACATCTTACCCCAGGTTGAATCAAGCTGTAAAGTGAATACGTCATAAATCAAGCCCACTCAGGTGTTTAAAGAAGATAAATAAAGTCACAGGGATGTGATTTCACAGTCATATTTAGGACATTTTGGGGGGAGACACTGGTGCAACGGTTTCTCCTCCATTGGGTCATTTCCTTGTCTTGCTGTTATTGGCTGCCAGGCTAATCTCTGACTGGGGCATCGCAGATGGCACAAAGTGAACGCCAACATTAGCACCAACACACACACACCTAGGATGTGTCTCCATTTCTCGATTACAGACACACACGCACACACATGCAGACCGCAGCATGACAAAGCACTGAACCACATGGTGAGATGATTCAAAATCACCACTACAAATATACACATCCGAGCGAACAAATGTTGTTTTTGCACATCCATCTGCATTATTCCTGCAAGATTGACCCTGAATGCTGGAAGTGCGCTTTGAGTAATCTAAACTTTTTATTTTGAAGCGTTTGGAGATGAAAATGTGGGTGTAAAATTTCAAAAACAACTCAGGAGGGATTCAAACTTAATTAAGTCTGTCTAAAAGAATAAGTCTCTGTGATTGACAACATCCCTGACTACTATCCCCTCTCCTGGCTGCGTTAACCCCACCCATCTGGCGCTGCAAGAGCACAACAACAAACAGCTCCAAGATTTAATCAGAAGCAACAGTTCCAAGCGGGTCGGTGTTTTTCTCACCTTCTGTGCTGAGTCCAGGGCTGGAGGTGAAGCTGGCCACGTCCACGATCTTTACGGCAAACTGCTGGCCCGTGTCCCTGTTGATGCAGCGCCTCACCACGCTGAAGGGACCCCTGTGACACACAAACGCATTAAGTTAGACATGCACACACGCAATACAGCAACGTGATTTCTCAGGGTCAATCTGGGAACAGCCCTCGATTCAGTCTGCAAAAAAGGCATGTATAATCCACACACACACTCAGTTTAGCGCTATGTGCAGACATGATGCCACTCTAGAGGATATTCTAGCTTTGCAGCGCTTGGTTAGCTACGCGTCTTAGCCTCTCTGTGTGTGTGCCAGTGAGAATTATAGAGTGGTGGTGTGCAGCACAGCTGTAAAAGCTAAAATAAAAGCTTTATTATAGAGACCTGAGCGAGGGAGACCTACTCTCAAAGGTTTATTTCTGGGTAAATGAGGTGGCATATTTACTGTAAAGTCCAGACTCTGGGTAGAACTGTAGCAGAGCAGACATATGGAAGCTATGAAGGATGGTCCACATCCTGTATTCAACAGGCTGTATGTCTTTTTTTATTTAAAGGTGGAATATAAGTCAACTGTTATCATTTAGATTTAATATTGCCATCATATATCAGTCATCGGCGGACCTCCTCTGTAATTATCGACATTGGTATCGGCCTGTGTTTGACCTCTCAGTCTTTTCCTCCCTGCACTCTGTTGATGCGGAAGTTAAATACGTCTTTGGATGTCAGATAAAGTCACTGCTATTTCCTCTCCCCAAATAAGAAGGTGGTGTGAATCAGTGGGAAGATTTAATCTTTTATTCAATTCATCCAAAATCCATCGTTTCTGCAATAAAACCCACGACAGCTGTCGGAGTTCATTCAAACATTCGGAACAAGATTCTTACACAATAGAGCGATGCTTTCTCTCTCAGCATGGGAACGTTTTAGTAAAAGCCGAGCTTTCACACAGTTTGAATGCAGCCAAGTGAAGCTCGCTCAGCTAAAGGGAAATTCTAACGTAAAATTAAGTTAGGGTCAAACACACAGTAACACTGAGTTAGACACCCCCTTGAGAGATGAATGTTGCCAACTGCTTGCTTCTCTAGTTATACCCATAGACATAATATACGTAGACGCCTCAAAGCCTGACGCTGCCAATTGGAGCTCACGTATCAGCGCGGCCGCCGTCTTGGATGGGTCCCCCATGTACCTAAGGTGCATTAAAGTAGGTACGAATGCCCAACCATATTGATCATAACTCTCCAAATCTCTACCCGATTTTCACACTGTTCGTTTTTTTACAACGGCAGGGATGTAGCCATAATACAGGACAATGTCACACATTAAAAATAACCAAAATTATTTTCAATCCTATTTGTGAAATGTAATCCTACGTGATCTGGTTTCAATACTGCGTAGGGTTTTTCAACCATAGAGTGCAAAAAAACGTGCATAGTTGCTCGTTCTCCATTGACCCCGTTTGGCGACTTGCGTGAACCTGGAGTGGGGAGACCCATCCAATATGGCGGCGACACTGGATTTCGCTCCAGCACGTAATGAAGCATCGACGTATATAATGTCCATGGTTATACCAACAACAAAGTGCAGCCCAGTTTTACAGCTCAAGGAAGAACAGTTATGACCATTACTTCATGGAAATGCAATCATACCGCGATGCTAAGCCACAAGAACTACAGCGTCTGCAGTGGAAAATGATTAATATGGTGATTATTACTTCAAGGAAATGATAAAGTAATGATCATAAAGGTTCGTCCTTGAGCTGCGTAACCCCGCTGTAGTCTGTAATGGACTGGCCTGAGGTCTTGCTACAAACAAGCGGCTGCTGGAATAGAATGGGTGAGTTGTGTTTAGTCTCTTTGCGAAGAAAATTAGGCAAAGCTAAAAAGATGTATGATGGCTAGTGCTGTGGCTGGGACCCTATATGTACTATTGATAAAGTTAGGTGCCGTTCTGAGCATTATTTGTGGCTACTGAGTGGCGTTTTGGTTGAGGTTTGTGTGTGGCTCCTCAGACCGCTGTGAATTGCTATCTTGCGGTCGTTTCTAAAGTTGATATAACTAGAGAAGTAAGCAGTCGGCAACATTCATCCCTCGAGGGGTTGTCTTACTCTGTTTTATGGTGTGTTTGACCATAACTTAAATTTACGCCGGAATATCCCTTCAATGCCAACTCAGTGGAGGAAAAAGAGATATTTACCGACTCATCTTCTCTCATCCACACTAGCATTATCTAATCCCATTCACCGACACCACTGGAGCAGTTTGGGGTTAAGTGTCTCGCCCAAAGCAACTTCAGCAAGTGGAAACAGGGGACCTGGGATCAAAGTCCTTTCAATTGAGAGGCGCCTGACTCCACCGCTGAGCTACAGCTGCTCGATGCTGCGAGCAAAGTTTGTGTGCAAAACATAAAGAAAACCAGACAACGCAGGAAATGAGTTTGAGCTGATATGTAGTCTCTTTTTGTTAATATTGTTTTGGACCCAGGTCACTCTTGGTGGCTCTCCTCACGTGAACACAGAAACTCTAACGCCTTTTCGTTCCTCTACTTCTGCAGATGTAAATGCATGGAAATGAGCATGAGGTGCAGACAGTAAAAAGCCGAGGGAGAAGACACTTAAAGCTGAGACATTTGCACATTTTCTGTCCTCAGGCCTTCTGAGAGTCGCACACCCCTGCCGTGTTACAGCTGTCTCCACATCTTTGCAGTCCACAGGCCTCAGAGGTGGATGAAAGCAGAAACACACATGTAAAAAAACAAACAAACAAAAACAAAACAAAACAAAACAAAACAGTCTTTTAATGAAGAAACTTGCTGGAGTTAGTTTTACTTGCAGGATAGTGTTAGTTTGAAACAAAGAGTAAAGGATCCTCCGGCAGCAACAGCTGATTCGCTCCCACATTTGTCTCTCACATCTGCTGTAATGATTAACCCGCACAAACAAACGCGGCCAGCATGTGTTCAGGCTGTGGGCAGAGAGAGAGGCGTAAAACACAACACTCCTCTCTCCGGGGCCCATGAGAATCCTGCTGATGATCTGACAACCCCCCCTGACCTCTGCCCTCCACAGTTGATGTGCTGCAGCAGCTGTGTTTCTTATTAAAAAGGAGGTGTGGTGAGCAGCATGAGGGAGCCGCTGTCCAACCTTACCTTAGAGAGGACATGTTCAAAATATAACCGAATGATGCCCCCAGTTTGTTAAGAATCCAGATCCATGACAGTTTTTTGATCAGATTTAAAACACACCTCAAGGATGTATTAAGTGAAGTTCAGACGATCAAAACCAGTTTAACAAAGCTGTTTTAAATATTTGCTCCCCGTCTGTCTTCAAGCGCAGCACTTACAGGGGCTGCCGGCCAAACTGCTGCCAACATTAAGTCAGCCTGTTTAAAGGTTAGGATCCCTCCTGGGTCTCTCTTTCACAGGATTTTAATGGGAGCTGAATGTCTCTCAGAGGTCTCTCACTCTCCAAGATAAAGTGATCCAGTGATCAAATCAGTAGAAACACAGAATCAAAGAGAAAGGGAGTTCAAGTCTGTGTCTCGGGGATCCTTAAATAGAAACAGGATAACTTGATTGAGGTAAATACTCCTGATAGTTTGTAACGCTACTGCTTTAACATGTTAAAAATCCCAAATGGTCGACCTTTAACCTTAGCAGGAGCAGCAACTTCCTTGTGCTTCCAAATTTTGTTTCTCATTAATCTGAGCTTTTATGATTGAGTAAAGTGAGAGCCGTTTTCTCAATGCTCTGCTGTTAATGAAAAGAAGGAGGGTGTGCTTCATTCAAAGCATAGAGAGCAAAAACAGGCGGTACAATGTCGTCCAGTCTTGATTATCATATTTTTGAAATTAAAGGGGAACAAAATCATTCTCAAAATGAAAATCCGATGAATTGCCGTCACTGTTTCCAACCTGTGAGAAACAAGAGCGACCTGTGTGTTGGCTGTGATGAGGGGTGGAGCAGAGACCCACGAAGTAGGCGAGGATAACGGTCTTTTCACACCGGGACCGTTTTTGTCATGCGATTATTTCGGACATCAATATTTTTTTTCGAACCCTAGCCAATCAGAGGTGAAGGAGGTGGGACTTTCCGCGGGAAAAGTCTTCCCTGGGCACGTCTCTTTCTCCCTGGAAAGTCGCAAAATCGCATCTGACTTGATTCAAAATTCGCCTCCAAATATTTCGTGATTTCGCATTCTATATTCGTGTCTGCCCCGCAGTGTAAGGACCTTAAGGGCAATTTCAGCGGAAGATAAAGAGAATCCTTCACGTTTTTGCAAAGGTATGGATGTGTGTGTATATTGTTGACAGCATCAATCAGAACCTCCTTCTTCAGTTTCACTGTTTTGTTTACTTCCTCTCCCTCTGTAGTCGTCCTCCTTGTCATTGACCACTGCTTACTCCTCTCTCTCTCTCTCTCTCTCATTTGCTGGAAGCAGCTTCTGGTTGAAAAGACTCTTGTAGATCTGATTTTCCCAGGCTACGGTGCAACGTAAAAATAAAGATACTGTATGGCTCTTTTATCTGAAGAGGTTGGCAGAAGTTCAAGTTTACCTTTTATGCCACTATCAATGCTGAACCTGTTGGTTATCATCCTCAAACGGTGGGAATTGTGACAGACTGTTAGATCCATCCATATTGAGTAAAAATGTCTACGTGCTTGTCTGGTAAAGATTTGGCGGAGTGAAGGCAGAGGCAGCGACTACAAGGATACAAATGATGCAGTGAGAGTTGGGCCATCTTGGCACTGATCTAATGTGTGTCAATAAAACTCATTACCGCCATTAAGCAATAAGGTGAGGTTGGGTGAACCTGCCAGATTTTATGCATCAACCTCATTTGTAATCTTGGCTGTCAGTTCAAGGGAGCTGCATAGAGAATCAATCCCCAAACAGGCCTGTTTCTAGAGCAGTTGTGTGTTTCAAATGAAAGTGGGGGCTGGGCGGATCTTTGATTTAATAAATTAGCGTGCAATTCATTTCATCATCTTGTATAAAAGAATAAATAGCCATTCAGCCATGTACAGTAGCTATTATAGAAGCATTATAAGGGTGCGAGTGAGTGTTACAGAGAGAGTGTGTGTGTGTGTGTGTGCAGGAAGTGGAGAGGCCGCATGCCGCTCTGACATCACTGCAGCTGTGCTGAGTGGGCTCATACAAAACGCCCACACATGGCTCACATCCGACAGCGGCAGTCATCAAACATTAGCCCAAAGTGGCAGTCTTTACCGACGGCTCCTCAGCTCATTTCAGCGCCCTGCTCTCTGTAAAATCAAAAGACTGGACGGATGTTAGTAGCGCCGGCCACATTTCAAACTCCCTTTCACATTTTGTTCTCTCCCCAAACAGGGACGGGACACATCTGGAGCTGCAGACTCAACATCACCGGTGCCGCTCTCCTGAGAGAAGCCATCCTCCGCCTCAAGCAGCATTCTGCTCTTTTAGCTGTGGCCAGCAGCTTGCATATTTCATCCTATTAGTTTGGCCGTTAAGTTTTAGAGGGGGGGGATTATGCTCAGATTGGAGCTACAGAAACAGAATTTGCAGGAGTTTCTCCAAAAAAGCAAACTCGTCTTAATCTCAAGTCTCTTATTGTGCAAAATAACTCCAGAGGCGCACAGAGATCGGCCTACATCTGCACTTTATCGCCATTAAATCAAGTTTTCCCTGTGAAATCTCACTGCATCCAGCGGCCCTCATTTGTCTCGGCTGTATTCAAACCACAGCTGCACACCAACACATAAAAATCTGACACACTAATCCAGACAGAAAGCTTCCCTCTGTTCCCATTCAGACGTGGAAAGTCATCGCGGAGGTGTTTGGAGTCACCCAAAGGACACATTTTGAATAATGTGGTAATGTGAGCCACTTTGGATCCGGGAGTTTCCCCAGTGATGTAATGTTGAAAGTATGCATCAAAGAGCTGTTATTCTTCTTCTTCTGTCGATACAGCTCAAGAGTGGTTAAAGTCAACATCATTTTATTGGCTTTAAAACACACAGCAGGAGAAAACCGAAGCCACGCCCTCCTGTCAGTGCACACAGGGCCAGGAAGAAAAGTGTAAGAAATCAAAAGAGTGAATCTCTATGTAGGGCTGGGCGATAAACCTGTGACAATGACCGACGTCATTTTGCCCATATTGGTATACTCAGTATCAAAAAAATAAATAAATAAAAGTTGAGGTGAGGTGAGGAGATGGAGGACGGTTCAAAGTTGGAGCGGCTGGAGCGGCAGCTAAGGTAGACGCGGTTAATGTGGAAGGGGGTGAGCACCTTGTGGAGTAGTTATTGTCTATTTATCGTATTTATCGTTATCGAGGTGAACTGCTAAATATCGTGATATTGATTTGAGGCCAGCCCTATCGCTAGCAAGTCACCCAGCTTGTTAAGGCCCGACCGATTTATCGGCGAGACAATTAAATCAGCCAATCAGCCGGTTCAAATCGGTAATCGGCCAAAACTCGCCAATTTTTGATGATATTTTCGACACATGGAGGAGAGTGGTCCGCCTCAACGGTAAATAAACCAGTTTGTGAAATGCACAATAAGTCAACAAGTTTCAGTCCAACCCACTTCACGATGTTCCCCGCTGTGCTGGTCTCAGTGAAGCACTGTGTAATATGCAAGCTTAAGTTAGAGTTAGCCATCTGCTATTAGCCTTGCTACACTGTTAGCCGTGCCAGTAACGATAGAATAAACAACGGTACACATTACGTGATCGAGCTACTTCTCTTACTGAGGCAGCTGCATGTCTCCAGATGAGACCGGACCAGAAATGTGTAACGTGAGGTAAAACGCAGAGGCACCGATCGGCACGGGGGGAGGGGGTGTAGTTGAAAACGCTTTTCTGGTCCGAGTTTGATTAGTCGGTCTTCCTTTCGGCATGAAGCCTACAGTATATCTACAGCATATAGTATACTGTAGATATCTACTGTATATATGTATTTTTTATAACTTCATAAAGAGTTTTAAAAATTGGCCCATTAATTGGAAATCAGATTTTTTTCCCCCCTAACAATCAGTATCGGCATCTGCCCCAAAAAATCCATATCGGTCTGGCCCTCCTGCTTGTAATGCAAACACATAAAACCAAGTTTTGGGATACAGTATTATAGCATACTGTCCTATAAAAGCTTTGAAAATAGCTGGATTAGAAGCGGTGCCTATGGATTCAGAGAGATTCTCCATTCATTTGAAAAGAGGCAGCTGCTTTCAATGAGAGAATAAAAACAAAACATAGCTGAAACGCCTCCTGTTGGACTCGTTTTTCTAAGTGCTGTCTGCCCTACTGGCCCAAACTGAGCTCAAGTGCAAAACTGTTAATTTAACAAGTTCAACAAAGTTCAGGGCTGTTCAGCTGCAGCCTGCGAGAGGCTGAGCAACAATAATCCAAAGTGTTTCCTTATGCAAAAGAGACACACACAACCCTTTGATTATTAGCAGAGAAATTAGCATTCTGGCTGCAGCTTGAAATTTAGAGCAGAGATACCCTCAGGAGGTTCTTAAGCTTTGGAAGAAAATCCTTCTCCCCTACATGAGAGGAAGAGGAGGATCCAGGTTTTTGAAAGCACTCTGTGGAGTCTGAAAGAACGCTTCAACTTTTACACCATCAGTTCACAGCTATTGATCTGGTGTGTGTGGGCAACTCAAAGGAGAAGATACTGTATATGAGAGTTCACAACAAAGACAGGAAGTGTGTTAGAGACAGAAAACTAAGATGACTATAGTGAATATCTCAGAAAGAGTTGAAAGAAAAGTGTCCTCACTGAAACACAGATATGACATACACTTACTTTAGTCTCAACCGGGAGAGACCTGACTAACTCGACCTCCTGTTGACATAAACATCCCTCTACCTTGATATCCTCCTCTGCCAAACAGATGGGAAGATGACACAAGCAATAATGTGACACTGTATTGATCCCAGCAGGGATTCAGCATCTTGCTTCAGGACACGTTGGATGAGCGGATGGGTGCCAAGCTGGGGGCTTGAACCCTGGATCCTCCTGCACAACAACAGAGTCTTCGGTTCTTCTTAAATAAATGCTCCACGGATATCTTCACAACATGCGATCCAAAATAGCACAAGAAGTGGCCTCACTAATGACTAAATGCAAGACTGGATGCCTTTAAATGACTACAGGTGTACCATATAACCTCCACAAAGCCAGATCAGACAACTACTGTTACTAAAACCCAACTGTTCCAGCTTTGAATCGGTTGTAAAAGCACTTCTTTTCACCCATTCTTGCCTAACAATATCCTCAGGCAGAGCACATAGATCCTCAGTTATATGCTGGCCTATATATGAAAGTCTGGATCCATAACATTATGTTAATAAACCCACACTGTAAGCATTGCTATAAAGGAGATTTAGCATTCAGTTAGCCTCATCTTCCTGTTTGCTTTGAGTAAAATTAACACCGATCATCCTGCAGTAAAAGAACGATAGCGGCACAGCATATTTCTGCACGATGTTTGGTTACAGTCTTGTGCTTGATCCTAATATGCTCACCTCTCCTGTTGGTAAAGAGACAGTGGCCTTTCGAGTAGGGCTGGGCGATATGGCCTTAAATCAATATCACAATATATTGAGCAGTTCACCTTGATAAAGATAAATGGACAATAACTACTCCACAAGCTGCTCACCCCCGCCCACATTAACTTTGTCTACTTCAGCTGCTACAACTTTGAACTGTCCTCCATCTCCTCACCTGTCTTTCCCTCTTGGTTGCGGACTGGATGGGGTGGAGTCATGTCTCTGACATAGGACAGCATCTTAAAGGGACATGAGACCATAGCCTACCTACACACATCCAAAACCAACTTTAATTAATGTATTTATTTTGACACCAAATATACCGATATCGGCAAAATGATGTCGGTTATTGCCGTTAAATTTTCGGTTTATCGCCCAGCCCTACTTTCAAGGACAAGAAGCTCTAGTGATGCATGAGAAGTATGATCCCTGATTAGGGCTGGGCAATAAACCGAAAATTTACCACAATTTACAACAATAACCGACGTCAGTTTGCCTATATCAGTATATTTGGTGTCAAAAATTAATAAATAAAAAAAGTTGGTTTTTGATGTGTGTAGGTAGGCTATGGTCTCATGTCCCCTTAAGACACTGTCTTACTTTGGAGATGTGACTCCACCCCATCCAGTCTGTAACAAAGAGGTAAAGACAGGTGAGGGGATGGAGTTGTAGTGGCTGGAGCAGTTATCATCCATTTATCATTATCAAGGTGAACTGCTCAATATACCGTGATATTGATTTGAGGCCATATCACCCAGCCCTATCCCTGATTGCTTAAAACCAGAACAAATTCGATCTGCTGCAAATTTCTACGTATTACCCTTTAAATTAGCTTGCTCTGATAGTGGTCAGTGGTTAGCCAATGTTTAATGCCAATAAGCATCGGATGATTTATGTAAGTTGTATATACAAGGACAGTTAAAAACATCTGATTGATGCCAAAAAAAGCTTCATATGCTTAATGAGGCAAACCGGAGGAGACGCTACCAGTAGCGAAACAATTTGGCTTTCCTGAGGTCAAACGTTTTATTTTCAGATTTGTGTTCTGAAAATTGCATCTGTTCAGGGAGAAACTAGCGTCAGTCCATTAAAAACTAAATAGCAATGAAAGAAAATTCAAATGCCGTCCGAGCAATTTAATTATCCATCTCAGAAAAAGCCAGAGGACTGATCACTTCATTGGTTTAGAGTGAGTCGCACATCCCAATATTCTTGGCTCTAATGAGCACCGCGGGGCTGAAATAAAGAGCACTGTGACTGGGATAGTGCTTCTCAACAACCTAAGTCCTATTCAAACAGAATCATTACAGACACAAATGGATTAAATTGCTTCAGCGCTTTGCCAACACTTCAACTAGAGCTGGAATCCCAAAAACAAGCCTGTGGTTGGGGCGCTGTGCTCACATCACATCATCGTCACATATTTACTGGGTAAACTACTGACAATGGGCAAATAATGAGGAGGGCCTCGCCGCCTACGGCTCTACAATAGCTTGTGTAATATTTTAGCTGAGTTAATCCAGTGAGGAGTTGATCTGACACCTGACCTGCATGCTCTTCCTCTTTTTTTTAAAAGGTACAGTAAAACCACAGGGAGTACAGAGGAAACTCACATGCATGAATTTACAGCTACACAGACACTTTGCATGTACTTCCCTCTGTTGCCATGCAACAATAGATGCTAATGAATTAAGGGTCCGATTTGCAAAAAGTCCAAATATGTCTGACTTTGTGTTCTTTGGCTCTCGGCTCTGAAACCTTTCTAAAACCTAAAGGCTGCCAGCAACACAAAAAGCACATCTAGCGCTGAAATAATGAGGAGGAGAAGTAGCCAGAGCTGAAAGGAGATGATCCCAGTGGACAATGAGCCTCGTAGTGATTTTGTGCACTTCCACACAGTACCCAGAACCTAAAGTGCCATATTATCAAAGAGAGCAGTCACATCTTTTAAAGCTAATCTTAAATAAGAGGGGAAAATGTCCACAAATTACACAAGAAGACTAATTTTCTAAATGAACTTACTGACCGTCTTTCTGTAGAAATCACCCTAAACATGTTTCCTTTCACAACCATGAGATGAGATGATTATTGGAGAGTGATTAGGTCTCCAGCGCTCCCAATCCCACCCAGCTGGACTGCCCCTCTCCCCACACAAGCCGATCAGGGACAATAATAGAGGACTTTACGGAGCAACAATAGGAGCCTAAAGGAGGGACGAGCTGGATAATAGGGTTTACGGACAAGTTTGAAAGGAGCTGAAGTCAGAGGTCAGAAAGAGACACGCGAGCCCACAAAAACAACAATCAGTCTGACAACTCCTGTGCTGTACGGCAGGAGCTAAAGGAACAAACAAATTACATCAACTTATTAGGGATTACGTCATCTTAGCCACTCTCATTCACTATGTTTTTCAATTAGTGTGACCTGATTAGATGACACTCTTGTCTCAGTGCCAGGCTTGATGATTGAAAAACACGACCCATACAACATCATCCAACATCGATCCCTGGAAAAAAAAAAAAAAATCAGCTTTCATTAAGTTGTTCTTAACTATTTTAATTAACCAGATAAGAGGTTTAGGTCATTGGATACCTTGAAAACTAAAGACTTACAACAGGAGTTTATAATAGCAGCAGCTCAGCTCACAGCCCCTGCTGTGCACCAATGAGCTTTAAAAAGAAACTCAATCTATATTTTTAAACCAGCTTTTATATGTGTCCTCAGAGTTTTAGTCACCATTTGTGTCAGAAAAAATGAAAGAATTGCCCCCAGTAGAGAGAGTAGATATTTTTAACTCTAAGCTAAAATTGATATTGGAAACTCAGCTGGCAGCCCCTCCAGTCTCCACTCTTCAAACTGGCAGCATTATCAAATATGGTGATAAAAACTGTTTTTTTTTTTTATCGGGCCATGTCTTTGTCCCCTAAAAAAGCCGAGTCACTCAGAAAGTCTCACAAATAAAGAACATGAAAAGAGCGAGTAATGAAAGCCTGACAGAGGGCTTAATCCACTGAAAAACCCAACCATCCCCGTGCCTTTGATGTATTTTATTACCAGATAAATCTGCCTTTCTCTAAGGTGACAAAAGACCTGGCTTCTCTTCCATTCTGGGTTATAACATATGAGCAGGTACGAATAGAAAAGACAACATTTCCTGACGCTTTCCTGCAGCTATATATCAAATTTTAATTAATAAGCGTCCTCAGGTTTCAGCTGCCTCTGCTATCCATGTTGTCCACTACCTACAGACACACATAAGGTTAAAAACAAAGTGGGAGATGGCAGAGTGCCGCAGTCAATGTCTGCTGGCATTATTTATATCCTTAGCCTCAGGGCCATCCCATTCCCAACTCCACTTGTCTCCATTGATCTGCTTCAGCCTCTCCTTCCCTCCCACCTCAGGCCTGAGGAAAAATGATCCCCCTCACCCACCCCCCTTCTCTCTCTTCCTGCAACACATCCCAAGACACCAGGACTCAACACACTTGATCCATCAACTGCAGTTTCACAAAGGAACAGGCAAGATAAGAGGGATTTTCTGGTCTTTTCCATGACATGAATGTGATGTCTTGCTTCATTGCTAAAGCCTTAGATATGCTCCAGAGGACTATTTGCTCATGTGTTACTCCTCGACTGACCCAACTGGACTTCATGAGCATGACCCGCTATAGACAACTTAGTAGTCTTTGCAAATGTTGTGTTTCTTATTGGTTGCAGTGACTAGTTAAAAAGTGCACTGTGCAGGTAAGACAAACTTGATAATGTTGGAAACTAGGACCAGGAAACACGGAAAAACCAACATGATTGAAAGTTTTTTTCAAACCTAGCCCTGACATTTAACCAAACAAATGTTATGATAACAGTTTAAAAGGTGGCAGAAAAGTAAAAAAATGTTCACTGCATCACCAGTTTTTAAGAGCTATCCTTCTTTTTAGAGTTCTGAACCACACTGTGATTTTTCACACCTTCTAGATAAACTGTTACATGGGGGGGCTGCAAGCTGAGCTGCTGCTTAATCGGCCATTTAATCTGTTGACCTCTGGTACTGTTTACTTAGATTTTACACCTGGTGGTGAGGATAGAGGAGTAAAATATGCCCCCTAGATTATCTAAAAGCCCACTTTCCCGTGCAAATTGTTATAATATACTCCACAATATCAATATGTGAAATCGTCTTGACTCTGAGTCTTTCCACAGTAAAGTGATCAAATAATTTTTGTAGTACCTTCACAGTCAGGTTTGCAGTTTTAAGGTGGTTCCTGCATGCTTAAGTCACAGGGTCGATAAGGAATTATTTAATTGTAAAGGCTAAAAGTGGATCCCAGTGCAGCAAGCAATTCTTGACAAGTTTCCCGAAACATGATGGAGTATTTCTGCCGGTTTACAACAGCCCGTGCCAGTATCAATAATTTGAGAGCAGGTTGACTGATGCCCAATATAAACTGCCAATATCACATTGTTCCATGTATACAAAAGAAAATACTCAATTACAATAATGTGACTCACTTCCAGCCCTGGCTTTTGGATGGTTTTAGTCACGCTGAGTTCATTGGTCGTGGGATAAATCATTTGCAAGAGTCTTCTCCTTCTCAAAACAAAACAGATCGTGTGACAAAACTCGACCAAAAACACTGAACAAAGCCGTTTTTAGGGTCTCTCCAATGCTTCAAGGGAAACTCAAGATGTCTGCTTGAGGGATGCAACCTCTGCTGCAAGAAACATCAACAAACATCTGTTTTTTTTTAACATCTGTGCCAAAAAAAAAGTCCTCATCTTCAGAGGATAATGGGGCTCAAATGATCACTTCTGCTTCCATGGCTCCTGGTTTTGCTGATTTTAAACAAGTCTAATGTGTGATAGGTTGTTAAATCTGTCCTCACTGAGTCAAACTTATCAGCTTATATCGAGTAAGAACCTTTTATCAAGATTGTTTGATCACCTCGTCCTAGTTTACACTCCAACTCTTTACAGCAGTTGTTATATCAGTTACCAGAACTCTTAGATAGCAGCTCTGGCCAAACCATCAATTAGTAACTAAGCAACAGGAAGATTGTGAATAAAGGACAGAGCCTGGGGGTCTGCAGAGTGCGCCTCTTTTCTCCTCTACCTCAACCTTAATGGACCCTCAGACCCTCAGTGAGTTAGGTTTGCAAGGGGGAGGGGACTGACTGGAAACCCAGGATTTTGACGGGTCTGTCGGTCTTCCAGATGGGAGTTGGGTAGCCATTTCTGACCACACTGAAGTAACACGTACGCTGCAGCAGTTTTCTTTGCATGTTGAATCTTTCCTTCACATTTAGAGGAAAAAAGAGATGGTGTCCTCCTATGACACCGTCACTATTTGCTCAAGGCCTCTCCGTTTGGTTGTAACAGTATGCGGGTATGGCTCCTGTCAAATAGGAGGGATTAGAGGAAACGCAATCCTGTCTGGAGACACTCGGGATGCGCAGCCAGATGATTCCTGCACATGTCCTGTGTTGCAAACAGATTGCCAGTCTGTCAGCTATCAAAACAGGTCTAATTTATTCACCCATAGCAACAAATAGTACTGCACTAAAGGTCCTGTCAAATCCCCAAGTTTTTCTAATCCTTAGGGAAATTTCTAATTTCAGTAAGAGACTTAAGACAAGTGTTACTCTACACATTCATCTTGTAATCAAAAAGATTTAAATGCAAAAAGGCCGTGATGCCAGGCACACTCTGCAGCTGTGATGCACATTAGGACCTCATTCACACAGTGAACTTTCCCCTTGAAAAACCTTCAAGATTTGACAAAGGAGCAGCAGCATCAAGGCGCTTGCAGCTGCGTGGCAAATGGGGGGGAAGCAGTGTAACACCCAAAATACTCAAAAGCAGCCAAACGAGCAGGACTTTATGACTGGGGGTTACCCAGACTGGATCTATCATTTACTGATCTACTAACTGATAAGTATCATACAGAGATTAACACCTTTTTGTAGCAACTGTGTCAGATTTAAGATGAATACACAAACTGATGAGTATTTGTTTAATACCTAATGATATCTGTATGATGATTAACATAGTAACATTTGGTGAGGGGCTAGTAACCAGAACACCATGGTTTGCTCAAGGAGAGAGTTGGACAGGAGGCGGAAATTGCTTTTTGAATGATTTGGAATATTATTTACAGAAACAACCAAAGTGCAGATATATACAGTGAATGTATGCCCATTTAAATGAAAACAATAGTAACAAAATATCCTTGGTTTGCAGTGTTGTTTTCGTTGACGCCCCTTTTTTGACGTTGACGAGCTACATGTAAGTCTTCGATGACTAAAATATGACGAGACAAATGTGCATTTACGTTGACTAGACTAGACGAAAACATTAGTGGTGGACGACGAACAGAGTTGCAAAATTCATGAGCATTTCGTCAGTCAAACGCTAAACATATATTCTGCAGTGTTGTTTTCGTTGACAATGACGTTGACGTATTATTTTCGTCAACATCATCATCAACGAAAACAACACTGTTTGTTTGTCTAATGAAACGCTGAAAACTGACCCCAGCATCATCAAAGGCAAACACTCACGTCTGGGGTGAGTATAAATCGGGGGGGGGGCTTGTGGAAAAAGTTTTCAGGGGGAATGTGTGTGACTGGGGGGCGCTAATTGAATGATATAAGCTAACCTCTAACATTGGGATGAATGGGCTTGGCTGAGCTATCGCTAGCTATCGCCACACAACACGTTCATTACACCATCGAAAACACAGGTAAAGGCACGGTAGAAGGCTTCTACAAGTTGATATATTAAAAGCATTTGATGACGGTTGTTGAAATGAAACTTTTACGATTGAGCTTAAACCAACCTGTAGCTTGTCGCCCATGCCGCTTCCCCACTGCTCCTACTCAGACTGAGGTGTAGCGTCTACAAACTACATTCAGTTGGTCGTGCCAACAAAGGTGACATCATGACGTAATTAAGGGCACGTTCACACCACTCTAGTTTAGTCCGGTTGAACCGAACCCTTGAGCGTTTACCCCCTTGGTGCGGTTTGTTTGGGTCGGTGTGAACGCTGACCTCGAACTCTGATGCGGACCAAATAATGAACTCTGGTCCACCTGAAGAGGTGGTCTTGGACCGCTATCAAGTGAACTCTGAAGTGGTTCATTTCTGGTGTGAACGTCATCCACACCAATTACAGGAAACGCACCACACACGTCAATAATGCCTGTTGCCGTCTCGTCTTTATCTGTCTATTGTTTGCAGCACGTCTACTCCGGAATGTATTAGTTAATGCCGCAGTTTGTGCTCGCTGGCTAATGAGCTGTTCATACGCGCAATCGACCAGCGTCTTTTGATACGCGCTCCAGATGAGTAGCAAAAGAAAAATCAGCCTAAGATGCTCCATGACAGGCGAAGACAGCAGAGCGGGGGTTTATATTCCCACATAAACTGATGACCAATAATTGAACGATATTTGCGGTCATGTGACTTCTGGTTCCGTTTTCTGGAGCGATTGAGTTTGTCCTTTGTGAACGCAAACAGGAACAGTTAAACAATCAAAAACAAATGTATTGTCTTGCCTTGGATTTGAATCAGGAAACGGACCTTTAGGACCAAAAATACTCAACTATGACTGGTCCATGCAATACTGCAAGACACCGCGAGATTAGATTATATTTACCGTGAGATACAACTGATGTGTGGGCATATAGGAGGAGCTGGCTGCACAGGATTTACCTGGGTTACATATGGGTGTGACAAAATCAACAAGGACAAGTGTCTAATACTGTCAAGGACCAGAAATTGTGAGTCTTCTTGGTGAAAAGTGTAGTTTATTTCAGCTGCAGCTGAGCAGAGCACAGGGACAAAACATTGTCTTGTGCATGTCCACCATCCTTTGTTATGTTAGATGTAGTACTGGACACAAGTGTTACTCGCAAAAGAGAACAGAGGGACACTTTTGAAACTGTGGATGCTCCAGAGGCTTTAAAATCTGATGGATGCACTTCGGTTTCCCCATGTCAAAAAATGAGAGGAGGAAATGTGACAGACAAACAAAAACAATTTGCAGACACTGCCAGAGTGCGGTGACCTATACATTGGGAGATACAAGTAATCTGTGAAGCCACTTGGTTAACCATCACCCCGAAAAAATTGAAGATAAAACTTTAATACTTTTTTTTTTGGCAGGGTCTGATGTTCCTGTACTGAAAGAAAGACTTGTATTGTGTACAAGGTCCATCTGGTACCATGATTTCATTTCATATTATCACTTTTGGCTGATTTGATCCTTGCCAAATCACTTCTCAATGTTCAATCACTGTTGAATAAATGGCATCATTTTCCAAATACTGATTCCCCTTTCTTTTAAATATCACAATAAATTCACACTGTGGACTTGCTATCAAAATATTACCATACAGTGACGTAAAGTTAGTAATATCTGTCTGCAGGGCTTGCGGCTGCACTTTCAGAACCTCCACTGTAGGACTGCATCTCTATGGACAATCAAGGTAAGGATTTAAGTTAGAAAAAAACAACCAAATTATGTATGCAGACACTGCAGGCAGCCCCGTCTATGTGTCTGGCATTGGGCAAAGTTTGCTTCACCTAAACAAAACACTGTTTTTTCCCATCCTAAATGACTGCATATCAAATCTTAATAGTTACCGGCTTGTGTTCATAGATGAATTATGTTATGATGTATGTAATACTGCAGTTTAGGGTTTGCATCTGACATAAATGCTCTAAAAACTATGGTATAACACAGTGGTTCTCAAGTCCAGTCCTCGAGGCCCACTGTCCTGCATGTTTTGGATGTTTCCCTGCTCCAACACACCTGATTCAAATGATCAGCTCGTTATTAAGCCATTACAGAGCTTGATAACGAGCTAATCATTTGAATCAGGTGTGTCCAAAACATGCAGGACAGTGGGCCTCGAGGACTGCACTTGAGAACCACTGGTATAACACAATGCATTATCCTCTATCATTAACTAATTACAAACCTGGCTCAGATAACTATGCATATTAGATTATAATTTGCATAAAACAATAGGTGTTAAAATTGTTCTGAACAAATGCAAAAATGAGAAAGAAACAATCAATATGTTCATCCACACTGTTCTCAAATTATCAGCAGATGCCCTTCGGAGAACAAAATCAGTGCAGCACTGGTCTTGAGGATATTTTCAACAATTTCAAGTACCAACAAAAGAAAAGATGCAAAGAGAACTACCTGCAGACTGTTCAAACAGCTGATTATAACTCAAGTCCCGCCTCTGAGAAGAAAGAAAAGCCAATCATAGTTGAGTATTTTGGGGTGGCACTTGGAGGAGGTCAAGCAGCTAAAAATGAGGGGCCCACGCCACCCCTAACCTCCCCCTGGACATGCCCCTGCAAAGAAGGACGGTGGTTCATTACTTACTTTCCTATCACCTCGCACAGCTCGTAGACATCCTCGAACAGCACGTCGTCGTCCGCCATGGTCATTCAGGTAAACGAGGATGCTCTCCTCGAGATATCCCACCCACACTGGTTTTAAGGAATCAATGATAACGTGTTTTCTTGCCGAATTTGGCTCCTTCGTTGCCCAGTAAGCACACTCCCGGTGATATAAACCTCACAATGTCAGTGACGAGAAAACCAGTGGCTACTCAAGAGTCCAAGTTAGCCGGCTAGCCACATTAGCTGGCGTCCAAGGCTGTCACTCCAAGGCGGCCCCACCTTCACTTCTCCCGGTAGGCAGGCTAGCCAGCAAGCTAGCTAAATAGTAACCACGGAGCAGACCCCAGGGCGTGGAGATTTCCTCGCTCGTTTGCAGAAAAACACCCCTCTTTGCATGCCTCGGGGTTGAATCTTACTATAGGGAACTGCCGGATACAAGCCTCCCTCAGCAGCATCCACAAACACTCCCCGCGCCGAAGAAGATGCTCGCTTCACCGCAAGCTAACGGGGGGCTGTCGAAAATGGTCGGCTGGTGGGGTTAATATGCGCTAGCTGTCGATGGAATAACCGGTTGGCTTGTGCCGTTATTGCGCCGTGCACACCCAGTGTCTCACAGATTGCTTATCCCACGGAAAACCTAATGAGACCGGGCTGCAATATGCTTCAGCTTCCCGAGCCTAAATGGAAGACCTTCACATGCATGTCGTTGATTTCTCCCCTGCATACATCGTCTGGGCTGGCAAGAATAAATCCAAAACAACCGACCCTTCTCCGTCCACCGTTGCTCTAGTTCCTCCGCTGGCTCAGATGCTGCCTGGCTGGCTTTGACTGGCTGCTCCTCCGACTTCCAGAAATGCCAGGCTCCTCCCTCTAACGGCCGAGGAAACTGGGCCGACCAGAGCCGAAATGGCCCGGGAGAATGGGTCCAGGTTCGTGTTACGGTTTAACTCGAGCCAAAATGGCGGACGGAGATGGCCCGATCTCGGTGCAGTTTCCTAATCTCCTCCAACGGTCGCATCCAGTGTGTGTCGCGCAGGCGTCGACCATCCAAACCCCATCACCTTACGTCAGCCTTTTCCCTTCTTATCTCCATCCTTTTAGGATTCAGCTCATTGCTTTGTAAATTATGTCATCTGACAGGAATTTCCCATATATTTACTGTCAGTTTTAATCCACAGTTTTTCCAGAAGACCACAATGAAGGCAACAGTGACATTTCCAGTGATTCCCAGATTCCCATGGGCCCTCCTTAGGGAGGTTCCTCTATCCCCACTGTGATGAGGGACGGTGTAGTCTCTGTTATATTTCATTCAATCGACTATAATTTTATCGTCTTCGACCCTGCCCTCTGGAGTTACTAAGATTATCTTGCAAATCTGGAGCTTTTTTTCTCTTATCTAAAAGGCAACAGTTTGGCCCGGGGCCCCGGAGAGTATTTTAAGAGGCGATTAGTGTGTAATAATGCGAGGATTAAGTCGATTTGGTTTCATGTAATCTTTCCGCAGGTGCGGGAGTTTCTCTGGAGCAGGTGGCAGGTGCAGGGGGGGACGCAGGTGCGTGTTGCTCAGGTGTGGGAAGAAGGGACCTGGCATGTGTTGGTGGTGCCCCCTGGAGGTGATGAGCGGAACAAAACAGAACCCAAGTGCTTATTTTTTTAAGGATAATTTTTGGGGGATTTTGTATGGTGGTCCTACAGGTCAACTGCACAGACATAAACAAAAAATAAATAATTTAACTAATTAATAAATAATGATAGTAGTAGTAGTAGTAGTAGTAATAATAATAATAATAATAATAATAATAATAATAATAATAACAATAATAATAATAAACTCAAAATGAAACTCAAAGGCAGTTCCTCCATAAAGTTCATAGAAAGACAAATAATACATAAAAATGCAAAAAGAAATCACTATTTTTTTAATTGCACAAAGAAGCAATCCACAAAAAAAGAAGAAAAAAAATGATATGGAACACAAATATTTCACAAAATAATAAAATGTCATGATACACAAAAACAACACAAAAGTCAAACAGTTCATGGAATGCGAAAACATTTAAATACAATTTTTATTAATTAATGTAAAAATTTTAACATATTAAGCATAATAATAATAATAATAATAATAATAATAATGATGATGATACTAATAAAAAAACAACAATAATAATAATAAACCCAAAATGAAACTCAAAGGCAGTTCTTAAAATCAAAAAATTTCCATAAAGTTCATAGAAAGACAAATGATACATAAAATGCAAAAATAAATCACAAAATATTTAATTGCACAAAGAAGCAATCCACAAAAAAAGAAAAAGAAAAAAACTGATACAGAACACAAATATTTCACAAAATAAAAATAAAAAACACATCATGATACACAAAAACATAAAAGTCAAACAGTTCATGGAATGCAAAAACAAGTTTTTTAAGAAATGTAATGCATTTAAAATTTTAAACATATTTGATAAAAATCATAGGACACCAAAATATTTATAAAAAGAAAAAAAAAGATATTTTATGAAAAAAAATACAGGTATATTTTTTCAATCTACAACATTTCATGAATTAAAAATCTTAAATAAAACATGTTCAAATTTTACAATTTAGAAGTCCTGTTTAGAAGTATTAATATTTCTGTAACCACATAAGCATTCATCAAACATAAGAATATTTTACACAGACCAAAAAACAAAAAAGATTTTAGTAATTACTTTTGCATTTTATGAAAACATTTGCATCCTGTGAAACATTTTTTTTGTTATTGTCATTTCACTTCGATGTTTTGCATTTTATTAGATGTTGTTATTAAATCCAACGTTTTATGTCGCTAAATAAAGTTTTTTTCTATTCTCTGAAGATTTTATCTAAAGTATATATATATATATTAAAAACTTGATAGATATGATTTTCTTGTCCCAATGATCAAAAACACACTTGTGAGTAGCACTTTTTGTGAGTATTTCCTGTGAGAAACTTTAAGCTGATTCTGAAAAAGGCTGAACATCATACCGGTGTCTCCACAAAAGCAAATGTACCTGTGATTAACAAGTCTGATTATTCCTAAACAACTATTTTTTGAGATCTACACCTGCAGCTCTGCGGTAGGTGTCACGCGGAGATAAATTCAACTGCAATCTGCGTTTTCCGAAAAAAAAAAAAAAATTCACAGCAAGTGGCGTGATTGAATCGGATTTTTTTAGGGAAGAGTTTTCATGTTGTGTCGACTGTGGTGAAATCTGTTGTTTTTCTGGGATGATCACAGCATTTCCCATGAGCCTTATCAGCCACTCTGGTAAAAATGTGGCTCTTGCCAAAGCGTGCATTTGTTGCAGAAATGCATGCAAATTACTGAAGTACAAATCTGTTGTAATATTGATTTTCTTTGCTCGAGAACACTGTATGTAGGAGTCTGAGTGTGGAGTGATTGATCTGTATGTGCACAAAATATTAACTGTAACACAACAACAATAAAGTGATATTTTACTGTAATTGTTGTAAAGAGACTACATTGATGACTAAGTGCTTGTAACTACCATTTTAATGCTTTTTAAAAAAAAGTATTTGTGCAAAATATCCATAGATCCAAGCTTATTTTGTAAAAATATATCAGGTTTTGAGACTGCAGTTTCTCACTGTTTTGGGATTTAGGTTGAAATCTGGTGGGTCATCTGATCAGGTTTCATTACAGACCAAGTCAGCCAAGTAGCTCGATAGATGCCAGGTGCCAATATCTAAGTGCCCAACATGTACATACAATATTTTAAGAGAGGGGATTTTTTCATTAGGAGAAGATACATCAGATACATAACCCATCTATGCAGAAGGAAATAAGCCCATGTGGTGCCACTAGAGGGTGCTGTGCTCACTGGGCTCCCTCTGCAGTTTCCATGGTGCTGCACCCCTTCTGCTCTCACATCATCCACAAGCTGCCTCTATTGGTTGAAGCCCACCAGCAGCTCTCAATGAGCTGATTGGCTGCTGATGTGGTCATCATACTGTATGTATGGCAGAGTGTGTGCTATTGAACTGCCCTCCATTCACTTAAATTTACAGGTGTCTGCAATATATACACCCATATGCACAAATACACACACAAGGCTTGGGTTAATAAAATGTAAAAGCAATTAAGGAATTAGAAAAATGAATATGGAGGTTTGTTTTCAAAGGGGAAAGAAAGAAAAAAGACACAGGAAAGCACCCTACATGGAGAAAAAAAGGGCACAGTTTCCATGGTAGCAGGGAGGGGAATGGCTCTGCTCATGAAACATGCGCTCACAGTGGCACAAACACACACTTGTTTTTGTCACCTGATGAAGCCCTGATTTATATTTTACCCTTAAATTCTGTTTAATATCTGTTTTTTATCACATGTAACACAAGTACACATTCAAAATATGCAAATTTCTTTTATATGACATGTATTTTGGACCCCTGTCTCCTTTTTCCATTATTTTTTATGTCCCCTCTGTCTTGAATACATTTTTGTCATTTCTAAAAAATTCTGTTTTGCAATTTAACATGTACCCTCTTTCCTGTCCTCTCTGGAGCACAAATTTATCAATAGCTAATCCATACTGTCTATACTGCATATTCTAACTCAGTGCTAACTATTTCCAGCTTTGACTTTATAGAATGGATGAGGACATAATTTCTATTCATTATAATGGAAAGCTCTGATATATTGGGCTGGGGTAGTCTTGTGACTGATGTTACCCCCCTTTCACCAACCATAACATTTAATTCACTGTTAAAAAAGCAAAGACATATTTAGTACAGTCCTCAGATGACACTGCATTAAAACCAGATATGAATCTTTGGTTGAAATCACCACATTAGTTTAAAATAACATCTGAAAAACAATATCTGTGAGCATATTTTGTCACTGCATCTACAAATGCAGCAGAAAATGACAATGAACTGTTGGGAAAAAAATATTAACAAATAATTAACTCATTTAGTATGGACTGGAGAGAAATAGATTCTGTCCTGGGGTATGTTGAATCAAAGTTCAACCATAGACTGTATATAGAATGGACAGCATCTGCCTTCTCGCTGGGTGAAGCCACTCCGAGAACAGCAACCTCTGGTGACAGGCTGCATTATAGGTCATAAATCCCGCCTCCACCAGCAAAGCTTATGGAGTTGTGGACAAACTTTAGAAATTTATTACACAGAACATAATTTTTTTTCTCCTCTGCTTGCGATGTTGATATGTAGTTACTGTAAGACTGGTTTGTGCTCAAGTCCTCTTTTTTCTGTGAAGCTCCGTTTTTAAAAATTATTAGGGGGTTCAAGTTTTCTATGATTGACACATGATACAGCCTATGGGTGTACAAGGATTGTGTAGCTCATCTGGGGGTAATGCTGTTTGAGCCGAGCGTCATCACAGCGACATGCATACAATGCTACTGCGCAAGTGGTGGAGTGCGTACAATGCTACTTCGCAATGTTGGTTTCAGGGCATGGAGAAAAAATGTTGTCCATAGTAGGCTATATACAGTCTATAAGTTCAACATTCCTTTTGGGAATCATGGACCATTCATGCTACACTATATATACAGGTTTAGGAGCAACACATGCTACTATCAAGGCAATGACTCTTTCAGGGAAGATCTTGTAATATACAGCAAGACAATGTCACTCTTGATATATCTGCAATCCCCTTTAATTTTTGTCTGAATTTGATTTACTGTGAAACTCTTCTATCTTAAAACAAAAACAACGCTTTCTTGTTATGAGGGCTCCGATGCTCGGCTCTGATTGGCCGTTTCCAACCGCGCAGCCTGCTGGGAAAGCGCGATGTTCAAATTGGTTTCCGGTTTTGTTCCCCTTCGGACGACGAGACAGACATGGAACGACATCATAACAGGTTAAAAAAAAACCCTTTTATTTCTTTTTCAATACTTTATTATATAGTTTTTTTGTTCGTTACTACAACATAAACGTTATAGTTTGGTAAATAGTATGTGATCATTGTCCGAACGTTAATCGTGAGCTTTTTCGTCTGCTCGGAGACGATAGGACCAAACATTACTCAACAATTGGATAACTTTAAGTTTTGTTCCTTTTGATAAAATAAACAAATCGTAAATGCTGTAGAAATACAATTTCCTTTAACTGTGAAGATTGATTTTTAATTCGGCAACTATATTACATCAAAGAGAGCACTTTTAAGAGTCAAATTGTCATCGTAAACACTCGCTTCACGTTCGCTCCATGCATTACTCTCAACTTAAAAGTATGCAAAAACTAAAATGGATTCATGTCAGAGTTATTCTTCCAGGATTCTACAGCAAAAAGCGCTTCTTTTGTACGGTTTTTGTTTTAATTGTACTTTTTGTTGCAATGTCCAAACATAGAAATATAAATCATATTGAACAGAGTGTTATTAGTCTTAGCAGAGCCTTGCAACTTGGCCTGTTATGCATTTTTCTCCTCACAAAAAACGCTCAATTTCGCCATTTAAGTTGAAAGAAATTCGCCCTTGAAACTTGACACACGATAGGGGGCTGCTTTTACCACGTTCTGAATTATTTTTACCAGTTTGTGCCATATAAATGACATGACATGAAACATCAGGAACTGTTAAAACCACATAAAGCTACAATGATTATTTTGTGTGTTTTGCAGTGTTACAAAGACCCCTCTGGACAGAGTTCAGAGGAGGAGCAAGAGTAAGAGCTACAGACAGTCGCTTCGCAGCTGCTTAGGAGCTACCTGTTTAACTCCAGCATTGACAACACGGAGACTCAACATCAGCAGAAGGGCTCCAAAGTCCCACAACATCACTGTGAGTCCACTCATACCATAGTTCTCCATGTTGACTCTCTAAGAGGAACACAGGTAGATGGGTAATCTTCTCCATGTTCCTCTTCCCTGTCAATAGGAGAAGGTGAACCCGGAGCAGCTGGCCTTAATGGTAAAAACAGAGTGGCAGCTGTCATACGTCACCCCTCTCTATCAGTTCAGGCACACGCAGCTGAAGAGCTACTCCAGGCAGCTCTCGGCGTTCATAGCTGCAGAGAAGCAGCAGGGTCTGGCGGTGGAGGTGGAGGGATCACATGGCAGCTTCAGGGTTTCCTTCTCTGTGGTGCAGGGGATGTCCGAGGCAGCTGATGATGCTGAGACTGTCCTCATCCAGGTGAGCAGAGAGGGTGCTTAGATGAACTTCTCAGGGCTCATTTTGACAACTTTTCCCCTGTGATAGTGCCTGAAAATGACTTAAGGTTTGCTGTATTTAAAGCCAACTAGAGTACATGCCACTAAAACACACAAAGCAGCAATATGGTATACATGTATGTTACAGAATAAAGAGAGAAAAACATATAGATGCACCAGTTTCAGATTTGATAGCTCAAAACTTGTATTACCTGCAACTTAAAATGTTTTCCTCAAGCCTCAATTTCATATGATTAAAAATACTGTATTTACAGTTTGCACATCTGAACCACCCTGTTAACTGTCCCAAAAGAGCACCAGTTTAGACTTTTAAAGACCAGAATAGATAACCTTGAACTAGTTTATGTTTTATATTGTTATGATGACTCCTAACTCTTCCCTTCCCTGCCGCAGATCCACTTAAAGCGTCTGTTCAGCAGGCAGGATGAGCCTGCAAAAGTAGTCTGGAGCGGCTTGCTGACCTGCATCAACGGCAGCCCTGATTACCTGCGCTCCCTCCCAAAGGACTTCACCTGCCTGCCACTGTTGTGCAGCAGTGGCGCCGAGGGTCTCACCTCTGCGGTGAAATCCTGGTTCCAGCAGACCTTCGATTGCTACTTCGGCCAGCTGGAAATCAGCCACACCAGCCTGCAGTGGATGATTGCTTTATGGACCAACTGCCAGACAGAGTCCGCCATCCAGTTCCTGAAAATGATTTGGACTCTACCTGTTGTGCCACCGCTAAAGGTCACATACACGGTTAACGGCCAAGATGCCTGGGAGCTGTGGAGCAGCGTGAGGAAGGACCCACAGAAGGAGGGTAACGGAGAGGACGAGGATGAGAACAGTATCGATATAGAGGAGGTGATGAGGTTCATGCAGGGCCTGAAGAGCCACTTCTACAGACACTTCAGGCTGGATCTGTCAGCAGGGAAATTGGACCAAGTCTCCACTGCGCTGGGGTCAGCCAAATGCAGCGGCATGATAAAGGTAAAGTGTGACAGAAGCAACTTTTCCTCCTGTGGAGTGAAGAAAATTCTGAATGTTGGACTAAATTTTTTTTTCTTTTTTTTTCCAGATCTCTAACAGCAAGTACATGATCTCCACTCTGACGCTTCTGACGGAGTGTGCCCTCCTCAAAATGCCAATCTGACGGACCAAACACTTTTTTTAACGCCACTATCAAACACAATATTACAGTAGAACTTTGATTTACTCTTTTCTAGACCTATGTGGAAGTTATTGGCCACAAGACTGCATTTGATCAAAGCAAAAAATTTTATTTTCCAAAGCTACAATTATGACCAGGAATTTAGCTGAAAGTGTTCCTAGTTTTCCTAATTTTCTACCTTAAATGCTGTTCTGGCAAACACACTGAGGTTTCACCCTCTCTTTTGTAAATACCTCACAGTACATATTAACCCAACTCTATTTTTGTCATTTATAGTTGTAAATAAAAGCAAAAAAAAAAGGATGCTGTGTCGTGAGCTAAGAGTTTCCTATTACAGCTTTAATATTTTTTAGCTGGGATGCCATTTCATCTGTTTCATCAAGTGGACAGAGTCGTCTACCGGGAGATCTTTGAGTCCAGTGGCTTTTCCACGATGACTAACCATAGCACCTTCCTACGGCCTCAAAGCTCCCAAAAAATCTTTTGTGTGACCATGCTTGATTTTGCAGCTTGGCATTTACCAGATTTTAGAGCACAGGTGTCAAACTCAAGGCGCACGGGCCAAATCTGGCTCATGGAACAATTATATCTGGCCCACAAGATCATATCATATTTGTTTTATTACTGGCCCACCAGTATTAAGTCTGCAGATTTTCTCCAGTATAATAATGTAAACTTTAGCACCATTATTTAAAATGTTCTTAATAAGCCACGAAAATCAGAGAATTCAAAGAGTAAGGAAGATTTGATAAATAGTCAAGAATGTAGGGGGAAAAATAATGTGTTTTATTTCATGTTTTCAATTTTGCATTTCAAGATTACAAATCAAACTTGAAACTTTATTTCATGCTTTGATTTTGTTCAACTCAGTATTTAGACTTGTGTCATTTTTATGCTTTAGATTCCAATTTTAAATTATAAGTCATATTTTGATTTTTACCTAATTTCAATGTTCTCCTCATGCATTTGCCCTTTAAAAGCATTATTTTTCTATTTTTAATATCATGCTCTGATCTTTTGAACTAATAAATAAAGATAGAATAAAAAATAAAATAAATTTTTCTATCTCAGATTGCCTTTAAACTAATCTTTTTTTAATTTCCAAATAATTTATAATTATTGCTGTTATTGTTAAATATTTTTTGAAAAGGAGGTTGAGAGTTTTGGTGAAAGGCTGACCCTGCTCGGCCTTCAGGTTAGACCTAAATCCAGATTATGGCCCTTGCTATGGTTGAGTTTGACACCCCTGTTTTAGAGCATCAAAATACTCCATCTGTTGACAAGTTTGAAGGGAGATGCTGATTTACTCTTCCACCAGGAGTTCGCACCTACCCACGATGCTAAATCTTGTGTCAAATTGTTCGGTAATTAGAATATTAGTGTGCTTGATTGGCCAGCAAACTCACCTGGCCTGAACCCCATAGAGAACCTTTAGGGTTGAGAAGTTCCAAATCCTGAAATATGGGCCACTATGAAAGCAACCTGGGCTTCAGTGACACCTCAGCAGAGTTACAAACTGAACTGAATTGAACTAAAGGAGCATATTTTTCAGAAGTTACCTTGTTACTGAAACCTGCTTAAATTCACAAAAAAAACCCTCAGAATATTCAAAACAGATCAGGCAGCTTTATTTTAAAATAGACAGCCAACAAATTTTATACAACTCTTGTAACAACATAAGAACAAACTGAAACTCTTGTGGATTATGAGCAAATAAACTGCAAGATAAAGACATAACAAGCACTTCAAAACCTGAATTAAACTTACATCTGTAACATATTGCACTGGTAACAAAAGGCAAAACAATAATAAGCAACTTGTGATCAGCTCAAGCGGATACTAGATGATTTAAATGAGGAAATAACCCCAGCAGCGCTCTGCTCGCTCTTGTGTTACTGCTACACACACGACTAAGCGTACAGTGACAATAGCGAGAGCTGGAGAGACAATCGTGGCTCTGTTGCGCTCTTTAATGACAGGACTTGTGTCTTTTTGGTGTCTAGCTCTTGATGGTGGTAATTATGGTACAACAGATGCTCGTCCTGTCATTAAAGGGCATTTTGGAGCTGAGGATGATCTGGAAAAAGGATCTGCATTAATACTTTGTCAGTGTAAAACAGGGAATATTCACACATGGAACATTTAGTTGGGTTTTTAAGCTTATGATATGTGTTGTATATTATTAACACCTCCTTCTTAGAGTGGGAGAATCTTTTTGAACTCCCAGGTGTGATAAACGTTAAAGCCGTCTACGCTCCATAGCACTTCCTCAGCTACATTAAAAAATACCTCCAAACATCAGATTGAAGGAAGGTTATGATGCGCTTCATTTGATCTCGGAAGTCAGAAGATGCCTGAAGGAAACTTTGCAGAGAACACCCTACTGAAGCTGGATCTTCATGGGTTATTCCGTTTGGTTTCAGTAGTTGTAAATTCCAGAACCCCCAACAAATGGGTCAACTGGAATGCCCCCTAAAGTAGGAATTCCAACTTGGAAACTTGGTGGAACTAGATGGTACATGTCCCTCTTTGATTCTGGAAATTGAGAATTCCAGAATGCTCAATGGAAAGGTCAAACGGAACACCCCCTGATATCGGAATTCTTTCTTGAAACTAGATGGATCTTTATGGGGTATCCCATTTGGTTTCGGTAGTTGTAAATTCCAGAACCCCCAACAAATGAGTCAACTGGAATGACCCCTAAAGTAGGAATTCCAACTTGGAAACTTGGTGGAACTAGATGGTACATGTCCCACTTTGATTCTGGAAATTGGGAATTCCAGAATGCTCAATGGAAAGGTCAAACAGAATGCCCCCTGATATCGGAATTCTAACTTGAAAAATCTTTTTGGTGGGCTCTATTTGATCTAAGAGGTTGGAAATTCAGAGATATCAATTGGCTCTTTCAGTAACCCTAATCTCAAAATCCAAGATGGCTGCTTCTTGAATCACTGGTTGTTACAGCTGTGCTTTTTGACAGTCATTGGCGTTGGCATTTGCATTAGCATAAGCAATTTAGTTTTGTTTTATATTGCTGAATCAGCCACACGGAGACAAACAACAACATGAGCTAATGGCTAAGCAACTTCCAGGCTTTATTTTCAACTCATTGCTGTGAAGCAGTCAACTTGGATTCCAGATCATTCCCAGTTCTGACTTTCAGGTTAATGAAACGCACCATAAACCTCCCACTATGTCACCCTCCACCTTCTTCATATAAGAGTTTCTCACTCAAGAGTATTTACATCTCTGCAAAGCGGTTGGCTATTTATTTACAACAGCGTGAACACATGCCAACCTTTACAAACTTCAGATCAGCATCTGCCAGGTGAACACATGAGCAGAATATGGACACCAAGGCATTCAGTTTGTGGCAGCTTGAATTATTCAGCCACCTGCAAATTTCCTACAGCGAAAAGTCTTCACAGTTGAACCAAAACACCCCAAACAATCCCACTTTAGAGTCTTAAAAGAAGAAGTTACCAAGGGGGAAGATGTAACACAGTAAACACCACTGTCACAACAGGTCATGCTATAATGTTCAACCTAACCCCCCCATTCCTCCCTGTTTTGAGCAGTAAAAGGAGAATCATGTGGAGCTGAGAGGTAAATAATAGAGAGGAAAGTGATCTATGAATACAGTAATGGGATTCAAAGTAAGTAGAGTGTGTGCAGCAATTTTAGGAGGCCAAACCCAGAAAGAAGCCACCAACGAAGCCACTGGACAGGACGATGTTTCTTTTGATGAAGTCTGTGGCCTGAAGACGGAAGGCAAAGAATGAGTCGACAAATCTAAAAATCTAATGGTTTGATTGAAAAGAATATGACATGATAATAAGGTAGAGGTTTAAAATGACTAGAAATCTACTTTAAACTTGCTGTGTCACAGTTTATAGGTGTAGTATTGCTAACAGCACACTAGAGGGCATTGCAAGCTTGCAGAGTGCAGAAGAAACCCTCCACCAAAACAAGGACATCAAAGAGTGACATTTAGATCGAGCTAAAGAGGAGTCAGGAGTGAGTTGGATGCAGGGTGTGGAGCTTTTTCATTGCTCTGAAGAAAATACATGAAACTGTTCGGAAAGTTTTTAGTTTCAGCAGTTAAGAAAAGCAAAAGAGCAAGCTTTGGTACAGGTACCTTTACCTCCTCAATGAATGTGTTTATTTCAGGGGCTGCTTTGTTTGCTTTCTTCTTTAGGTGCTTCTTTGCCTTGTTCACATCCTTCTCCACCTTCTTCCAGTCCACCTGTACGTAGCCGCTATGATTAGCAATCTGGGGAGATATTAATACAGAGATAAGAAATATTTCAGTCTATCTTTCAAAACAGATTTTGAAATTTTGAAAATTGCACGTTTTCTTATACATGCTGAAAATAATACATTTGTTCTGATTTGTAACCTCATTGCACTCTGTCTGTGCTACTGACCTCACTGCTGGTCTTATCAGCTGAGCTCCTCTGAGCTATATTGCACCGTCTGGCAGTTTATGACATGTCCTACTGACACATACTCAGTGTGCATTAGCAATTATATACACCGGTCTGCAAAACTACAATATGCATGCATTAGATTAACCTTTGCAACCTTTTTGAGTTATGCAAAGTGACTATTTCTGCTGGTAAAATCACTTTTTTTTTAGTTGAAGGGATTCAGGTTTGATGCACAAGCAAACCTTGAACAATGAGAGAGAGTTTTCAGGGACAGTTTGGTCAAGGCACAAGGGAAAACTGATGAAAAGGACATAGTGAGAGAATGAACCAGCATAAATTCTCCTCTCAGCCAACCAATTAGTGAAGTCTGGAAACTGTGAAAGAATTTTAAAGAGGGAGAAGTTGAAAGGCTTTGTTAGGGGTGCAGGATTTTGCAGATTTTGAACGCAAGGCCTTGATAAAAACTAATAAAACTGGAGTGAGAATCAAGGTTATGTTTTTTACCTCCGCCAAGGAGGTTATGTTTTCGGTAGCGTTGGTTTGTTTGTCTGTTAGCAACTTAACGGAGAAAGTAACAGACGGATTGACCTGAAATTTTAACCAGAGGTGCGTCTCAGCCCCAGGAGGATCCCATTAAAGTTTGGTGGTGATCGGGACAAAATTCTGGATACTGTGATCCAGAACACACAAAAATAAGGGTGTCGTTGGAATTGTCAATGCTGAAAGATAACCAATGGGCAGCACAGGGGTGTAGTGGTTAGCACTGTCGCCTCACAACCAGAAGGTCGTGGGTTTGATTCCCAGTCAGGGCAATCATGTTTAAGGGGGGACAAGAGCTGCTTTTCTAGTAACTATTGTTTCTATTTAGGCACATTTTGTACTTTACCTAGAAACCAACTCTGAGCAACAACCCAGTCTGTGAATCGAAACAGTCTCTGGTGTGATCTTTGTGGGAAAAAAAGTCTAGAGATGCTTTTAAAAACAAATTGATACACTGATAACAGACAGTTAGCACCCAGATGGCACGCTACAGCCACAATGCTAGTCTTTCTGCTGCAGGGAGGACACCAGCTGAGCATCATGCTGTACGGCTGGCATCTTCAGTCGTCGAAGAAGTCGATGAATTTGAATCTTGAAGGTCTTACTTTTGTATCATACCTAGCTTAAAGAAGGAACTGACTTTAAAGGACGAATAGCACAGGAGAAGATCTTTATTTAGCAGCACTATCTCTTAAAGGTTCTGATCACATTCATTTACTAAGCTATTAATGGATGGAATTGCATTAGTGCTGAGCCCAGTAAAATACCATAAAAATAGCTGTGCCACACGCTGTCATCCATCAAATCATTTACCCGAAAGTTACGAGCAAAACTTCTAGGATGAGCCTCCTGTGTATACAAAGAGATGTGACAAGTCTTCTAGTGACTAGGAAGACTTGAGAAGGAATGACAAGGCTGAAGCTGAACAGACAACAATAATGGTATGTATATGGATATGTCAATTGTTATGTTATGCATTTCACTGATACACCACGCCCAGCCTAGAGCCCCGCAGCTCATATCACTTCAGTCAATCGTCTGCAATGTACGTCAAAATCAAGCTGAGAAACGGACATTTTTGCTGGATGGGTTGATTTCCTCCACACATAAAAGGGTCTACAAGGGTTATTTTGTGTATGCTTGGGTCAATGTCAGAGTCCTGCAGTGGTGAAGGGACGCGCTATTGATGGGCTTTGAACGCACATCAATAGCGCAGACTAAATTGATAATGTCTTTTCTGATCAAATGTTGCAGGAAAGCAAAAAAAAAAAAGATAAATAAAAATGAAAAAATAAGAAAGACGTCGCCAGTCAAAGCCACATCTAAACCTCTGCTTTCCTTTCAAATGACTGGAGATCCTCAGGTCAGACTCGTCCCGTGGTAACTGAGCTTTTGAGATAATAAGATGTACTTAACGTGTAATTGATGAGCGTGCAGACGGTGCTCTGACCTGTAAAAGAAGGAAGCCTCCTCCAACAGCTGTTGCAGCGATCTTCCCAACTCTCTGGAACAGGTAACCTGCACACCTACGTGAGTGAGAGGCATGTTAGTTATGATGCGCATCACCGTTTGCATCTTTAGCTGGAAAATCTCATCAAACCATCAACTGTACTGCTAAGATTTCCTCAAATATAGTGGTAAGAGTTCATTCAGGTAGGTGTAACAGTGTCCTACCATCCAGTCACTCCACCCATCATGATCTGCGTAGCCACAGAATACTTCTCAGCAATCGGGCCAGAGTTGCTCCCGAACACCCGACTCCACCATTGGTGTCTGCGGGCATATTCTGTCAGGTCCACGACCTCGTACACTTCATCTTCACTCTCTGGGTCGTCCTGACCTGCTGGTTGATAAAAACAATGAAGATAAAAATTGATTACAAAAAAAGACATTTCACACTAACCTCATAAAAAAACATTCAGTTTATATACTAAATACTGATTCCCACCAAAAGTAAATCAGTACAAATGCATATAGGGCAGAAAAGAAAGATGCAAAAGGCTGATGTTAAAGCTCCTGTGAGGAAATTTTGATTTGTGTGAATGTAGCAGCCCCCTGATTTCACAGCAGTACCTCTGATCTCTTTATCGCATTATTTTACATGCAAAAATGATTCACTTATTGGAAACACTACCACAGTAAAAAACACTTTTGACCTTTCAACTAACTCTAAACCATCTGTCAGTTTTGACACTGTTTATCCAGTTTGCTTTTGTGTTAACACAGGAGCGTTATAGAAGAGCCTTAGATCCTTCATAATCGAGTTACTCCACTCCTTTTCTCAGCTATTATATGTAACAAACTTAAAAAATAAAACTGTTCAATATAATGAGTTTTGTATCTGACTTGAACAGCTTTCCTTTGAAGCAGATGAAGAAAAATAAAGATCCAGCTTTGTGGATATAACATTATCATGTTTATTCAGTTGAAAAATGTAAACTAATAAATCAAAACAAGAGCCAACCCCGTCTCTCCTCTATCACAAATCAATCATTCTTAGTTTTACTACTGCTTTGCTATGGGTGGGCCAATACATCTTTAATTCTATGTAATTTAATTGGTGTTTTATCTCCTTTATGAACACAGATGATCACGAACTTCAACTATATTCTTGTTTGAAATAAATATACAAATACAGAACTGTATCTGCCGCTTATATCAAACCTTAAAGGTGACTCCTCAAACCTATAAGCTTGTTATAACGGCAGTAAAGCTGACAGAGTCTCTGCTAACTCTTTATCCAATGTAAATTAATTCAGGAGCTAACATTAGCAGACCAGCGTCAAACGGCACAATCCATTATAGCGTTAAAATTAGAATTACATTTGGATGACTATTAAATTCTAAAGAGAGGCCGAGTCTGTATGTTGTTGTCAAAAGGTCAAACGCATGGAAATTAAAAGAGTTATAGCGGCGTGTTTCTATCAAACAAATCCACTCACCTTCCCTGTTATCCACCGTCGCCATTTTGGAGAGACTGGTTATGTCACCGGGATGTTGATAATATTAAGCCACGCCCACACGATGATGCTCGCCACGTCAGTTCAAACGCTTTTGATATCGCTTGATTAGACCCGAAAAAAATTGTTGTAATAATAATGAGGAAAAAAGAAAAGAATAAAATAATCACAAATTTTTGAAAATACATTTTAAAATAAATGATAATACATTTTAGAATAAATAAATAATAGACTTGAAAGAGAATGGGCATTACAAACATTAGAAAATTGACGATAAATAAAAAAAAAAAAGGAAAATTTAACAGATGTTTGGGCCCAGAAAAGTGATAAATGTATAAATAACAGATTCGAAAAATATATTACAATTGATTACAAGTATTAGACCCAGCAGTTCGGCAACCCTCTCCCTAAAACACTTATACTATTTCAAAATATAGAATGGCTAGTTACTTTTTACTGACTGAATTTGGCATTTTGGCTTGATTGATATTAGAAATTAAAATTAAGACACAACAATATAAAAAATATGGCAAAGGTACAATTAACAAATATATGTGATAAGTTAAATACTGTCTGGTGTCTGATTACAACTTAGTCCTAATAAGTAATGGTATGGGCATTAATGGTTGTTGGCAACCCTAAAGACTCTTATGAGTAAATGTGAAACAAGACTTTGCTGTATTTAATAAAGTTGTGTGAGATTTAAATTAAGAAGCACAGAAGCATAAGAACTGTAATAATAGTTTAACTAATTGCAAAATGATAAAAGCTGAAACATATACAAATGTAAAAACCAAAAGTTGCAAGTACTTGTTAGAGATAAATGTATAATGCAATGGCCGTGTAATGGAGGCCTGTTGTGCTGCAGAAATGTTCTGGCCCTGCTTTGCAAGAAATGTCACAATATCATAATTTTACAGTTTTTTATTAACATTTAAATTGGGATGCTAAATTTAATTGTTTACATTTATGATGAAGTTGGTTGTTATCACATATTCGGCCAAAAAACAATTGCCACAGAAGTTTTTGCACATTGTGGGCATACCCTAATACATTCACTGACATAAGAGGTGGCTTTGACAATTATTGACTGAGTTATGTGATGTTAAACGCAAGGAAATTATGCATTGCAGCCACCTCTGAACAAGTCTACCAAAGAAAACTGGTCCTTCATGTTTCGATACATATAACTAAGACATATTGTGTCGTGATGATTCCATTTGCAGTAAACAAAGGGGATATTTTGAATGCATTAAGGTTTTGAGTTTTCTTAGTAAAAACGAATTCAATATGATTCCATGAAAACAAAATGTAATGAAAAATAAGTGGTTTGCAAAGAGAAAATGAATGTTTGAGATAAAAGAATGATATAGCAGGGAAGTCATATGGTGGGTTTCAGGCTCTCCGGTTGGCTGAAAAGGGGGGAGAGGGCGTGGCTAGAGCGGCGCGTGGGTTCGCTTGGGTGACACAATTATAACAACTTTATCTTCGCGACCGAAACGCGTTTTATTGTCAAATACTCACATCTTGGATATTGTATTCAGTCATTCGCATTCATATAGCGGTGCAGTTTTACTTTGTGATGAAAAATGTGACGTTTTAGGAGCTACCCGGAGAGCGCTTCTGTCCCCCCGAAAGGATTTACTACATCGAATCGCATCTTTTCATCCTGGAAAAAAAGTTTTTGATCATTTTGTTTCCTTCAGTTTTTATTTTTTGATTCGGCGGAGAAAAGCGCTCTTCCCCGCGTCGCAATTTTCCATGCAATCGTGCGGTGTGTCTGTCGCCGTTGCTGCCTGCGCTGCTGCTCGGAGTCTCGGCTCGGCTTCTTCTGGTGGTGATGAGGGAAAGAAAATGGCGGCGGGAAAAGCGAGTGAAACAGAGGAGGACTTTCCGACACTGACAGCCCAGGAGAGGGACAGTTTGGTCGGGATCGACAGGTCGGAATAGTTACCCCGTGCACTCACACTTACGCACAGATTTAAACTGAATGCTTTTCTTTCCTTACACATCGAAAATGTTTCAAAACCGCCCTGCAAGTGGTTCTGAGCCGCCTATGTTGTCTTCTTGCTTGCAGCTCACTGTTTGGATTTCAGAAGCTTCATGAAGATGGCGCCAGAACGAAGGCCCTGTTGATGAAGGTATAGCACATTCAACCGGGTGTATTTTACAACTAAGCAGTACTCCACTTTATAGATCTAACTCCAAGCTCTTACTCATCATGCATGGCGGAGAATTTGCTCTCACTGTAGCGAGTCAGTCAGAATGCAAGTGGCCCGCTCCGCTCAGGAGACCAAGGCCAGCTAGCCGCAGCCTCTCTTGTACGGCACGGGCCCACCGAAAGCGAACTGCCGCGCGGCAAAACTCACTCTCATTCATTGTGTATTGCAAGCGACCGCTTCGCTTCTGAAAGCATGCTAGGATACCCAGCGGCGCGTCATTGACTGGTAGCGCCACTTTAACAGCCAGTCCTATTCACTATTGTCATTATAATCAAGTTAAAGGGAATACTGATGTACCGTCAAGTATTATGGCGTTAAATGACGCTTTTAGAATTGACAGAACTCTTAAATACGACGCCAACGTTACGGACCCACTGCGTGCGACCTATTCACCGAAGTAGCGTCCGTCCAGCTTCGTTGGTCACTTGTTGTCTTAAATTCAAACAGCTTCTCTCTGGGGCGTTTTACTTAACACAACACTGACGTTTTCTTCAAATTTGTGAAAATGAACTAGTGAGGGAGCACAGATGTTGTAAAGTAACACATCGAGCCTGGTTCGCGTCGCTAGGCATCCCAGCATGCTTTGAGTAGCGATTTAGTCGCTTGCAATACACAATGAATGGGGGGCGAATTTTCAACCGCGTCAGTTCGCCTTCAGTTAGTCCACATCGTTAGCCGCTGAGCTAGCTTTTTATCCAGCTACTCTCATCAGATGAACAGCGACTCTGCACCTGCTAATACGCTGTGTCGTTAGCCTAAAGAGCTGTCAAAAAACGACTGAATTCTAAATACACAAAACTGTCTTTTAAACGGTTATGTTTATTCCCGTCTGTTGGGCAACCGCCCTCCCTTGCTAGCTGCGAGCTAACGTTAGTCCATACAGCGTATTCTTGCAAGTGGACCACCAACAACATTACGTCGTCACCGTTTTGTGGAAGACATTTATAAATGCAAACACCGACTTTACTTATGGGAATTAAGCTTCTCTGTGAGATTGTAAAATCATAAATGTTCTAAGCCAACAACCACGTAGGAATCCGTATTTAGCCACGATGTTTGAAACGTTGGTGGAAGTAACGTTGTGGCTTTCGGGGTGCACCAAACACAGCGTACCTGTTTATGGCCAAAGTTAGCTTGCAGTTATACTAATGTGGGGCCTTTTTTGTCACGAGTACTCGTAACATCTTATTGCCTGACAAAACACACCCCAGGAGGTGTTGTGGTCGTGTTTCGTTTAGTTGACAAACGTTACAAGTAACGTTAATGGCTGGCTGCTCGTCCAAGATGGCGGGATATGGCGGAGTGACATCGATAGCCATATAACCAATTTGATAGGAATACATCGCCCTGTTTCTCAAGAGCTGCTGAAGTGTTTTTGAAGTTTCCCATCAGGTCTTAGCTCTTTGCAAAGATGTGTTCCTAATGTCGACCACAGTGTTGTCAGTGCCCTTTGTTTACAGTTTTCACCCCCCTGTTTGTCACTGCATGTGCTCACGGACTCGAAAGCTGCGTGTTAAACAGATTCTGTGAACCTGTAACAAAAGAGCAAAGCACCTGTACTGTGAGTTTATATTGAACCCTGCAGGAAATAGAGAAGATGGGGCTGTTGACAGCTTGTGGTGCGAGGGGCCATCCACAAATATGCTCGCTAGGTGGTGTGGGATACCTAGGAAGTGTGACTGCTCATTTAGCATTAGCTGCAGATAGCACTTTTGAACAGTTTTTGCTGGAAAATATGGAGACCGTGCATTGCAGAAAGAGGACTAAGCTTTGATGAGACAGGCGCAGTTCCTGTGTCCAGAGCAGAAGAAGCTCACTAATGTAATCTCTCCTTAAAAGTAGGATTCATGCAACAATTTTGCATGATCTATTTTCATTAAATCTCTCTATTTTGATGCCACGTTTTTCATAATGCCTTAAAAATTTTGATTTGCACAAGAGATGCTTCATATACTTTTTGATATGCTGGTAATTTTAGATGATTTTCGGCTGGCACTGATACCAATACATACACCCTTTTTGTTACAATAAATAACACTATGTCTTCCCTGTGTTAAAATTAACCTATTATCCTAATTGGTAGTGTATTTTTTCTAGAAGGAGGCATGAAAAGAAGAGATAAATAAGTGAATTGTCTTGGTTTGGTTCAGGGTGATAGTTTGGGATGCACACTTAAATTGATCGTGATAAAGAGGTGTTTTTTGTTGATGTTGCTTTTTGCATCTCACATGCCTCTAAAGCACTGCAAATAGCTACTCTGGAGTGTGTTTAATTGTACTTCTGATCCATAAGAGTTGTCACCCTGTGAAAAATGTTGATTAATACAGAATTAAATGGTTAGCAAGTCATTTAAACCCTGGATATAATTGAAAGTGGTGTAAAAGTAACATACCAAATATTAAAAATGAAAATCTATGCTCATTTTAACTCATCTCAGAGCAGATAGACTGGGGCATGTTTGCCATTGAATTGCATTACCTTTTCTTTCAATAACATTTTGTAAACACTTTTTTGATTCATCATTCATTCAGGACAATTTTTCCCTGCATGTGTGGATGCAGCAACAAACTGTTGTCATCATTTATGCATCACCAGAAAGGAAGAGCTTTCATGTCTTAAGAAGCGTATTTTGAAGCTTTTATCTATAGATGCTGCTACTTTTTTTATATCAGGCATCTATAGTATGCACTTTAAAATACTCGCAAAATGTTGTGTTTAAGTATTAAAACAGGTTACGTTGTGTCTAACATGAACAATCTGTGGATGGGCTAGTTGTCCTTATGGTAGCACAGCCAGCTCTTGCATCATAGACGGCGTCTGTTGCTAGACTTTCCTGTTGCTGTTGCAGCCCGGCTCTCGTGAATGCTTATAAAAACATGTACAGATGGGTGTCTAGTCAGGCTAATTTATGACCTTGCCTGGCTTTGTGTGTAACATTTTGTAGCCTGACTGCAGGATCCGAAAGATAACATGGCTTATGTCATGTCAGGTGAATTAGAATACTAAACTGAGAGGTGTGTCTTGTTACAGGTGCTGCGTTGGTATTCACAAAGATGCCAGATTTTAAATCTAGAGAGGAGAAAGATGGCTTGATTCTGAATATGCTGGTACCCAGAGGTTGTGTGTTAAAAAAGGGATGTTTTTTTTTTTGGGCATTAAGAAGCTAAAATAAGTTCCTTAAACATGAAATTGAAGTTAGAAATGGCTAATTTCTCCGTCTTGAAGTCAGATCAGCTTTATTGTTGTGCAGGTTTTCTTTTTTTTACTTTGAGTAACAAAGATGATTAGTTGTTGGTGTCTTAAGAACAGTAAGCCTGTCTTAAGTCTAGACACAATGCCATCCAGAGTTGAACCTCTTTCTCGATTCTTATTTCATTGATTTTTAATGTGTTGGCTTCCTGCTCATACATACTCTACCCTGTCTGGCACGTCGCAGCACCTACCTCTGCATGGCTGCACAGCACTGTTGCTCCATCTACATGCTGATAACGAATGGTTTAACAAACCTGACAGATCTAGGTCACTGTATCACCAATAGTTACGAGGTGGCGATGACGTAAACTTGGAAGACGAGCTTTGAAGTTGAGTTTCTTCTTGATAAACACATGGTGATGATTTTCATTTCAGCTCAGGAAGAGGGGTCTCCGGGTTTAATCCTGGGGCCATTTTGGGTGAAGTTTGCATTTTCGCCTTGTGTACGCATGGACTCCCTTCAGGTCAGGGAGGCATAGCTAAAGACATGAATATTAGCGATTAACACTGCTTGTGAATAAGTAATCCGCAGACCTTGAGCTGTAGGTGACCATTCTGGTAAAGTTAAGAGGTGGATTGCAGCAAACAGTCGTTCCCATGATTAAATAACTCAAATATTATTCACATTGAACCGTTTAGTTCAACAGCCTCAACAGGATCAGATATCCATCCACCACAGATATGAAATTAGCTGGAACGCAAACATAGAAATAGAAAACTTTCTTTCTTTCGCTTCACTTTGACCTGTTGAGGCTCACTATTTGAAGTGAAAGAAGTGTCCATACATCTCCATTCAAATGAGGAAGTTCTCCTCATCTCACTGTATGATGTACGCGGCGGATCAACAGTTTGACAACCTCTCCTGCAAAGAAGATGTGAGAAAGGGAACGCGAGGTCTGTGTGCCGCGATGGGCAGTCATGATAACCTCTGTCACTGATAAGCCACAGTGCAAGAATGTCTCTCCTTTCTCCTGGCTGAATCATTGAATGAAATATGTACTCCACAAAGGTTTAGGTTATCATTGCATCAGTTTGTACCTGAGCATGGTGGAGTGATACCTGTTTGTACAAAGGTTTTTCAGATTCTTATGCAATGATATCCAGCAAGCAGAGGCCTCCCAACAGTATTCACATCGTAGGAAGTTTATTAATTCAGGAGAAAGCATCTATGTGTCATTTCCTTTTAATGGGGGGTCCCAACGCATATGTTTGAACCTGTAAAGATTTGAAAAACTAATATTGTGCAACTTTTCCTCTCTGTTGTGCATATTGTGAAAAAAATGACACAAAAAAATGCAAGGAAATGTACACAACAACTAGAATTTTCTATATATGACACTGTCATTGGACACAAATTTGGAAAAAGCCCTCAAGTCTGTGGCTCTGCTTTTACACAAACAGCGGACCGAAATTTCAAACATGCCGGAAATTCATCCAGCTGGTCAGGAGCAGCTGAAGGGAGCATGTAGCCGAGCTGTAATTGTGTCCAATTCAATCAACAGTGTGTTTTGAAGGTCAGGCTTGTATCTGCACTGTCTATGATTGGCCGTACTGTATAGATAAGGGAACTAATCTATACTGAGGACCCGCAACCACTATGCCAGATGGCTATAGGTCCTTACACACCGGGAACGACGCAAATATCTGACACGAAATTACGAAATATTCAGAGGCGAATTTGACGTGCCTGACTATACACATCAAGCGCGATGCGATTTAGCGATTTGTTATACCGGTGAATCTGACGTCGCAACAACATGCAATCTGATTGGTCAGAAGTGGACACACTGTATTCAAAACCTTAGAAAAATGGACCGTGATACAAAAAAAAAAAAAAGCCGCAATATCGCAGGACGGGAAAACTTAGCTGATGTGAACGCTTGTATTGACAGGATACGGGTTCAAAAACGATTTTAACATCTGAAATAATCGCAGGAAAAAAGCGCTCCCATTATGTAAGGACCTTAAATCACCTGGTGAGTTCTTAATAGTTTGCTGAGTTTCATGTAGCTTTAAACGCAGCAAACCAAAGTCAACCAGAAACTTGACAATCACTGAATATGCTTTTTCACACTTTGTGAAAACTTTTCTTGAAAGTTAAAACCCAAACGAGACAGAAGATATCCATTTTTTGAAGTGATACTGCCTTTAACAATCTTTACCTTGAGATAGATAATGTAGAGGACATTTCTCTCATGTGGAATATGAGGAGGACTAAGCTGCAGCTCCGCAGAAACACTGCAGCGATAGAGCAGCCCAGGACACATCGCTGTAGTTTTTTGTCGACCACCAGGTTCTAATGAGAACCTGAACCAACTCGGGGAAAACACCAGCTCTGTTTTTGTGCATGGGTGTAAATAACTGATACACGAAACCGAAACAAGTGAAAGACAAATTCAAAACTCTCGTGTGTGTCGCATGAGTTTCACTCATTCATTCAGCTATGCCATGCCTTTGAATGACAGAAGAGCAGTCCGCTCTGCAGACCAGCTGAGCTCTCTGTGATGTGACGTCAGTGTGGAAACAGAGAAGTACCGGCGTAGGTCACTCAGGGGTTTATTTGCCTCGGTGTGGAAAGCGGCATGGACGATATGTGCCGGGTTTCTCTTTACAACTTGGACCACGTCGGTGGGCTCAGTGTATTGATGAGTCCTTCAGCTGGAAAAGGAAGAGCAGCATTAGCCTTTTTCTACATTACATCACTGCTGACTTGACCTGACTTTAATTTGGGATTGAGAAACTGAGATTTATGCATTTTATTAGATGAATAAATTAGCAGTGCGTGATTTCTACCTCCTCCAAAAGAAAGATTTCCATGACTGTTTACACCGAATTCAACTTTTAAGATTTACAATGAATGTAATTAGTACACTAATCTGAAATTGCCACTAATTTATATCACAGTGCTGAACCCTCAGTGGCTGCAACATCTCAACCAGCACAAATACTCCACCAGTACCCAGCTGCATCCCCCTCCTCTGTGAGTCACAGCCCTTTAAACCAGGAATGTCCTAACCTGACCCTTTAGTGAACTCTGTCGTGTTTTGTTCGCCTCACGCTGCCACAGTTCCTGCTCTTCATAACCATAACTTCTCTTTACCTGCACGCGTTTGGCTCCAGTGAAAATGTAACAGTGAGAATGTGCCACATCATAAGATCGCACTGGGGATGAACTCTTGTTTTTCTGCCTGAGTTGTGAAAGTGCGACGGATCACCGTTCATCCATGATCTGTATGAACGCTTCACATGCGATCCAGAGACTTTGCAGGCAATTACTCTGTGCAGAAATGAGCCGTTTTATGATCAAACTCTGAAACTCAAACTCCCTCATGTCTCTGAGTGTCTTACTGGATACCTTGTGTATATTTTCAGCTGCCAAACTATAATACCAACTATTTTAACCTCCTTTATTTTTGATCTGTATAGATTTTACAGGAAAACCGAGGATTTTGTTGCATTAGTTTAACCAAAAATGGACTTTAAAAATGTATTGTTCAATTGAAAAATGGCAAGCTGGGTAGGAAACAAAGCTTTGACAGAAGAAGAAGCGACGTAGATCAGACAAAGCTGACCTTAAAAAAAAAAAAAAGGTACAAGATGGCCATCTCTGTTAAATAAACTCGACTGTCTCTTGTTACTTCAATGTCTGATAACCTGCTGTGATTAAGGTGCATACGAACCTTCTGATACCGATCATCACGGGTGTGCGATACCGACAATATCTCTCTCTACTTTGGGGAATTTTGTAGAAAACTGACTGCTGATATTTTGCATAAAGTACTAGTAAAACTGGCTGTTGTTAAAACTATTCAAGTCGTTATTTATATGAATTAAAACAGCTTATTAAAAAACGTCTCAGTAACTTGAAGGTGAATGTGAGGGAGATGGACAGCATTCTCCTCACTGAGGTAGAAAAACCATACATAGATGCATATTGACTTATGAGTTTGTCCTGTTAGGGTGACCATAGTTACACAGCACACTTAAGTTTGAGGTTTGTCCTGGTAGACTTACCATAGTTGCAAAGTAAATTGCACAGAGCCATGTCAAAAGTTGAAGTTGAAGCACCGTAAGTTGTTTTATATCTAAAAAGTCGGAGAATAAAAATAAAACGCTAATAGCGCAAGCATCCCTATGGGTTTTTCAATGTAAATTAGCGTCATGCTAATTCGTGTGTTAATTCAGTTGTAGCTTAGCCTGCTTAAATGATTTACCTACATTTAGCCTATATGACTGCTGGATTTATGGTGTTTATGTAACTTCTGTTAAGTGTTACAGCTTTAGTTGTGATATGCACCTTATTTGTATGTTACAGTTTTTGTATTGTTGAACATATTGTTTATTGCAAATACGTTTTAAAGTAAATACCATTATGATTTCACTTGCGAGGGAGGAGAGGAGACTGCTGTAATTAAGGGGAATCAACTACACCTGCTGTAATCAAGCGGAATCAACTACACCTGCTGTAATTAAGGGGAGTCAGCTACACCTGGGGAGTGTGGCTGTCTACTAGGTGGTTGAGACTTAGTACCTTGTGTGTGAAGTGTGAGTGTAAATGAAAAGATACAGGCCAGAGCTCTGGAACCTGTTGTCTTGTGCTCTTTGTTCTGCCGTCCTGCTGTACACCCTCTCTGCCCTCCGTTCATCCCGTTTGTAGAGGAGTACCAACAGCTAAAACCCTACAGTGGGTTATTCAAGTTTATACAAAAACATAGAAATCACCAGAACAGATTAAACAGTGTGAGTAAAACATTTCAGAGTTGCAATGGAGTTCTTGATATCGACCGAAGCTGACCGAGTGTATGTTTGTTTCTGCGGTAACTTGGTCATGGTGGACCGCTGTTGGTCTCCCATAGCTTTTCATTTGCTTCATAATCCACGTGACGGTTAATTTGCAGTTAGAGAAACAAGCTAGTTAGTGAGATGTCTTAACTGCTATGACAAAGACCTAACCACCTTCATCCAGCAAGTAAATCTAACTACGATTCGGAGGCTGGTGGTGTTTATTGCCTTGTTTCAACTGCAGCCATGCAGGCAGCTGTGCTAGCTTAGCCTGTTGTAATGTGTGACCAATGCACATGTGTAGGAGTCTGTCCCACCAGGCTTGATTATTTTTAGTATGTTTAGTGTGTTGACTCTTAGGAGTGTTTTTTTGTATAATGAGTGGCATAATCAATGTTGTCTTTCCACTCATGTTAGATTTAACCTTGGATGATCCACAGTATATCGCACACCCCTATATCACACTTAATGTTACCTCTGCTGTCACTTTAAAGGTTCTCATGATCTTTAATTGACGTTAACCCACAAACAAACAAACTAGTAATGCACCTCCGTGATACTTTTTTTAACACGCCACAGTTCAGGAAAGATGCAAATGAGAAATGACGCCACATTAGAAAAAGCACAGACATTGTTGCAAAGCTGCAGGAAGAGGAAGCGTGCATTTCCAGGGAAGAACTGTATGATTACATGTACAAGAGTTCAAAGAACCGTCTAATATTTAGTTGTCTATTTTGCTCGCTTGGTGTTACCACAGTAGTGCATAATGTTTAACAACTTTTAAGAATATAAAGTATGCAGATAGTAAAACGCTTAGTGTGAATAAGTTTTTCTTATCTGTATCAGATACTGTAAATTGGTAATAAAAGTGTTTCAACGTTGGCAGGGCTCCCCACAGAGTTAAGCCAATTGCTTCTTAATAACAGCTCCAACACAGCGTGCTTCTTTAACTCTGTAGATTCTATAGTTTAACTTTGTATCTGTTTTTATCAAGACAGAAAGATTTATAATTGATGTCACAAAAGCTCTCCAAGCACAGGTCCTTATCTACAAACTCCATTCCAGTCAGTTAGTCGAGTGCTGATGTTTATCGGCTAGAAGAATGCGAGTCCACTTGGCCCAAATTTTGGAGCTGACGTCAGCCGTGCTGTGACTTTGAAAAGTTTGTTTGACTTCACTCTCTCTCACTCTCCTCTCCTGTAACAAACAGGGACTTTTTTTTTCTCAAGGAGCAAGACTGAGTGCAGATTTAACACACACACACTCTTTCACACACACACACACACACGCAGATGAACCAACATGTTTTTGTCTTCCTCCTCCAGGCTGTCCGCTGCTACGATTCGCTCATCCTGAAGGCCGAGGGCAAAGTGGAGCCTGAGTTATTCTGCCAGCTCGGTCACTTCAACCTCCTCTTGGAGGATTACCCAAAAGGTGAGTAACCCTCCTCTTTACCTGCACTCACATGGTGTGTAGAGTCATCAGTGACTGTTCAGAGTTGCTTCATCAAATGTGCTCTGTCAAGGGGATTTCCATTATTAGTACATTAAGGCCCTGTTTAATTATGTCAACATTTTGGGACGTAAATGATGTAAATGTGTGCAGCAAGTTTTGGAAGAGCTTGAGTGGATTGCTACAGGGGGCACTTTTGTCACTGATTTGGAGTATGAGAAGAACTTTTGTTGCTATTTCCTTGTTTTTCTTGCTGTAGTCTTAGCCTTTCTGATTCTTCACAGAATGTTTTCTCGGTGAACATTTAGAGACTTTTTAAAACGAATGGATGTCTACATTTTTGGAAGCTCTCTGATTAAGAATAAGAAGAACTTTATTTATCCCCGAAGTGAAATTTAGTACACTACTTATTACTTACACTACATATTGCCTCCCCGCATACTTGACGTTCACATGATACCTTCTTTGTCATCAAAAAAAGTGAGCTGTAATTTTAAAGTGACGGTATTTCACCCAGAAGGCGGCGATATAATTCAGCCCAAATAATTGTCATGGTTGCACGCCATCTTACTGATAGTTTAGCCACAAGCTGCTGCAATCACCCATGACGAAAAACAGCTTGTGCTGCAGTGTTGTTTTCGTTGACGATGATGTTGACGAAAACAACACTGTTGCGCTGGAGAGCTACACAGTCGCGCACAGTCAGGGTCGTGGAAAAAAAAAGGGGCGTTGACGAAATATTTTTGTCAACGCCCCTTTTTTCCACGACAAAGACGTGACGTTGACGAGCTTAACATAAGTCTTAGATGACTAAAATGTGATGAGACGAATGTGCGTTTACATAGATGAGACGAGACTAGACGAAAACGTTAGTGGTGGACGACGAACAGAGTTGCAAAATTCATGAGCATTTCGTCAGTCAAACGCTAAACATATATTCTGCAGTGTTGTTTTAGTTGACGATGACGTTGACGAAATATTTTCGTCATCATTAACGAAAACAACACTGTTGTGCTGGAGAGCTACACAGCTGCACATAAACTGCACATTGCTGAATGCAGAGAAAATATTCATGATGAAACCTTTGACCTCCAAACAGTGTTCTCTACTGTGTTTTGTTTTATTTTTATTTTTTTTATTTTTACTTTTTTAACTCCAGTTTTTACAGTTGCCTGTCAGGGCTGTGATCAGGGAGTGTATGATCAGATGCTTAATTCATACACAGCTGAGAAGTGGGGGAGGCACAGAGACACAATTTCAAAATAAAAGCATAGTGTAGAGGAGAATGAGTTTCAGATCAGGCTTTTGCTTTGAACACATGCCAGAAGTACGATCTTGGTACACTTTTGTGCTCGTGACAGAAACATGGATGATATCGAGTCAGCACAGTCCTCAGCGTATCTGTTTTTTTAAATTCTACTACCTGATGTACAGTTGGCTCGATTCCAGCTGCTCGAGGATTATCGCGTTGTTATTTCGACACAGATAAACTCATCCTCCCTCTTCTTTTTGTTCTCAGCATTATCGGCATACCAGAGGTACTACAGTTTACAGTCAGACTACTGGAAGGTAAGACGTACACAAACTCACACATGTGCTACCACTCACATGAACTTCTTGAACCCGGTCTACCACAAACGCCCTCTTCCTTACATATTCAAGCATTTGCTCGTACACAGGAAGCACGGTTTGGGCAGATTTTGGTGAGATACAGTAGTGAGAAGTGGTTTCAGGTTTCTTGTCAGAGTCATTTTGAGCATAAAGCTGATAATTTGTGGTTATTGGTTTTACTGGTTATGGGAATGCACCCGAGTAGCTACAAGAAAGACTAAATATACACAGATTCTGTTGATGAGATCACTCAAATGTTAACCACGTCCGAGTATCTAATCTGTTTGTCTGTTGATAAGTTTATGCTGGGTGTTTTTCTTGGATTTGAACATTTGTCTGCGTACATTTCTTTAAGTGCTTTTAATAATGCTCTTTCTCCATCTCCTTCAGAATGCTGCCTTTCTGTATGGCCTGGGAATGGTCTACTTCCACTATAATGCCTTTCAGTGGTGAGTCCCAGCCATCCTCATTTCATCAGCATGAAATACAGACCACTTTCAAGGCTCAGCTGTCGTTAAAGGTTGATCTTAATGTCTTTATGGTTGAATTGTTCCATTTAGATCAATTAAAATGGGACCACAAATGTGAATCACGCTCTTGTGTTACTGGTACTTTCCACTGATATCATGAAAATGGAAAAAAAAAACTCTGAGTTTGAAATAAAAGTCAAACAGCTTGATGACTTTTCAAACTGTTCTAGTATCGACTAGTCTGACTTTTAGCACTCTTCAGGTGGTCTTAGTTGGATGACAGTCATTGATTAACCAGGGTTTCTGCTGGGTATTAAAGTCTTAAAAGGTCCAAAATCCAATAATTTGAATTCAAGGTCTTAAATGCATTGATGTTACTTTCAAGTAAAGACTGATTTGAAGGTAATTTAAAATGTTCCGATTTCCCTTCATGCTTTTTGTACTTTTTCGCCAGTATGGATGTAAAATGGATCTTAAATTGTATTCATTATGGTCTTGAAAAAATCTTAAAGTCTTAAATTGGACTTGTTGAAACCTGCAGAAACCCTCTTAGCTTAGATAAAATTCCCTTCTTTTGATCCACTTTGCCCCCGACTATCACTGTGTCTCTCCATCTTTCGTCCCCTTGGTGCTGTACTTGTGAGCGACAGCTGGCCTCAGTTATGAGGGGCCTACTTGCTTCACACATAAACAGTGCTATCCATTCAAAAGTCTACACCAGGGGACAAGATGATTACACTTTTCCAGATGTATTTTAAGGAGCAAAGCTTGGTCTTATATTAGGGTAAATACAGTATGAATGTGATTGTCTATCACCGAACTACTGGTGTCAGGTTTCAGTCAAGTTTACGTCACTGCAGCATCCAATTAGTGAGTTATATTCAATGTAGACTTCTATGAAAGCTGCCATCATATCACCTCACATGTTGCCCTTCTGGTTTCCTTCCTCTCCCTTGACTCCTCTTATTGAAAGGAAATTATGTTCTAGAGCTTCGGGACAGGGGACAGCAATGTTAGGCTAGCATGAAGAGAAATGCGCAGATTCGCTAGGTTGGCAACACTGCAAGAAAATTTATTTTTTCCGCTCTGCAAAACCTAAAAAGCGCTTACTCCTCCTTCTACCGTGGTGATGTGAACGCATTGTGTCACCCTCAAAAGAATCCGTGTGAAACAGTGACGGTTTGAGCTTATAAACGAGGACTCCAGGCAGAGAAAATTCCTCAGTCATTATATGTCATCGAGGTATTGGAGGAATCGTTTCAGCCCTAGTTTCGACTGTTCAGTCTCTTGTGAAAATACCAGAAAATACCACAGCAGGAACGGCTTCTGAGACTGCTCTACATTCATTACAAATAGTCATGCAGTGCTTTTCTTTTTTATTTAAACGTCCTTTAAATGAGACAGAAAATGCGTCCTGTCAAAGACAGATCGCTCATCCATTAAAGAGTATCTCTGAAAGTTGAGAGATACCAGGATCAAACAGCTCAGCAGCTGTCTGTGTATGTTTTTCACTTTGTTGATACCGGCTGAAAAACAGCGCTCGTGAGTGAAACTGTCTTATGTTGTTTCCATGGGAACAACACAGCCAAGCAGATCCGGCTGAATTTCCAAGAGGGAACGGAGCTAACTAAAACCTCTGACAAGTAAAATTCATCAAGATGCAAGCGTCAGCAGAAACGGCTCCCGTCTCCATAGCTGCGGGAAAACAAGAGTCGATTTGTTGTCAGGAGGAAAATTCTTCGATTTGAAAGGACGCTTTGCTTTCCTGCGAGGTTCCTTATAGCAACAAAACATTTCTGCCTCCACAGAGGAGGGATAAGCGGAAAGAAATGCAGCGGGCCGACTTTCTGCTGCAGTGTCACTTCATTCAGCTGCAGTTTGACAATAACAACAAATAACTAATGGGTGCTTTCTCAGGTACTTTCGGGGAAGGTATTTAGTATGCAGTGCAACATGGCACACAGCAGCATGAGTGTCGTGTCTCACCAGCTGAATGCGCTGCATCGAAGGCGGTTTTCACCTTGAGAAGAGTTTAGTTTAACTGTAGCTCTGAGAAAAGAAAACATACAGCATCCAGACTGTTTGTATTAAATCAATGTTTTTATTCCTCCTGTCTATTTTTATTTTATGACTGCCTTCCTCCGCACACTCTTGGTGCTTCATCGTTCTCCCCTTTTGTCCCCACAGGGCGATCAAAGCATTCCAGGAGGTGCTGTACATTGACCCAGGGTTCTCCCGGGCCAAGGAGATCCACTTACGCTTGGGTCTCATGTTCAAGGTCAACACAGACTACGAGTCAAGCCTAAAGGTTGGCACATTCTCCGATCATAGCGTTAAACCACTAACAGATGAGCACTGACAGCATTAGTGAAGTATTTAGGTTTGATTTACAGACCAAGTGCCAAAAAAGTCGTGACTCTGTGTCAAATGTTTGTAAAAACAGATTTGGAAGGGTTGAAAATCATTTAACACTGACGAAGAAAATATCATATGTTAAAACAGATTTTCTAAAATGAAAAAGTGTTTGTAATGGGGGACAAGCCAGGACTGCAGTCAGGTCAGTTTAGCAGCAGGACCCTTCTTCTACAGAGCCATATGCAGAGTGGGGTTTGTCATCGTCTTGCTGAAAGATGAAGGTCCTCCCTGAGAAATCCTGGTCTGAAGACTTCACAGATGTAGAAGCTACCCATTAGGGCCCGACCGATTTGGATTTTTTGGGGCCGATACCGACTATTGGGGGGGGGGGGTGAAAATCTATACTGTAGATATCTAGATATCTAAAGTATACTATATACTGTAGGCTACTGCTCTTCCCGCCGGAAGACCGACTTATCAAACTTGGACCAGGAAAGCGTTTTGGACTACCCGTGCTGCGCCATCTACAGGATAAGTCGGGGAACTTTTCAAATGGTTTGACATTTTCAAAGTCAAACCGAATCTTATTCTCTGCATTTTATTTCTGAAAATATCTGCGAAAATCGGCGAGTTTTGGCCGATTACCGATAAGTCTCAAACGGGCTAAAGTTGGCCGATTTAATCGGCTCGCCAATACGTCGGTCGGGCCCTACTACCCATGACATGAGCTCTTAAGCTTCTCCAAACCATCACAGATGCTGATAGTTGATTATTTCTTTATACATTTTTGGATGCACCACTAAAATGTGATCTCAGATGATGGATTTGGAAGTAAATTTGAGCCCAGGCAGTGATTCCCACTACAGAGTCATCCCTTTTTAAAAGCAGTGGTGCCTTGGCCTTGAAGATAGTTCAGTATCAGTAATCGTGTTTCATTCTTTTATGCAAAGGTTTCTCCAGATTCTCTGAAAATGTGAGGCTTTTGTGCTCATTATCCCATTTCAACACCCAGACATGTAACCTCATTATTAAGGAGTTGCTGCTCCAAGTGTTTATTAGTTTACTTCTACATGATCTGCACACCATTCAAATCTGTTTTATCCATATTTTAGACAGAACCTTCATGTCATTGCAGTTGTATTTAAGCTAATGTATTTCATACAGTGTTTTCAGGTTTATTGCCAGTTTGTAATAATGTCAATAATGGCAAATACAGAGTTTACAGGGTACATAGAATAAAGTAAAACACTGTAATATTATTATTTTTCTTTTAAGTAAAGCTAAAGGTGAAAACATATGACAGGAAAAAAAGAGTGAAAGGTTGATGTGAGGTTAGTAGTTTTACAGGAAGTGATGATGAGCTGCTGTGATACATGATCAAAGGGACCGTTGCCCTCGTTGATTTCTTCTCATGTTCTCTTGCAGCATTTTCAGCTTGCTTTGATTGACTCCAACCCCTGCACTTTGTCCAAAGCTGAAAGTAAGCACTTCATTTTTTTCTTCTTTCAATGATGCAATGATGTGAGGCTCCTCCTTTTATTCTAAGACAGTTAGTCTAGTGATGTAAATATCTACAACGGCGCCGGTTTAATTCTGGCATGAGTTGATCCTGAGATATCAAAGTCTCGTCAGCCTGTAAAAGAAGCAGCATCAGGGGACGAGTCTTCACTGCCTCCTGCGCAGAGTGTTAGATTATGTTCGCCTGCCGGGGTTCAGCTTGGATAGAGCACCGGCTTTATTTGATATGCCGCTGCCATCTCATCTCTCCCACCCCAGCACCTGTTACCTTGACGACAGCAATATCCTTTTTTTTTTTAAAGCTGGGCGCCTCGCTGTTTGCCTTTGCCTCATTGTGTCCCCCTCATTCCTGCTCTCATTCTCTCACAGACACACACACACACAGCAAGGGCAGCCCCCGTCTTTCTTCCCCTCTCTCTCTCCCTCCCTCCTCTCTTCTCTCTCTCTCTCTCTCTCCCTCCATCTGCTGAGAGTCACTCAGGCAGCTTAGATCAGACACTGCAGCGCTCCAGACAAAGGAAGGTGCCGCCAGGAGCACAGCTACCTATCTGCTCTGTTACACTCAGTGTGGACAGGCAACCTTGAGCTCCTTGACATCTATTTATTGACACGGCAGCACTACTTTTCAAAGACTTGTGAGGAGGAGCAACTCTTAAAAAGGGTGGGAAAGCGTTCTGAACTGCTCAGTAACATCTACTTAACGTCTCTCTTTTTGTTTCTTTCCACAGTCCAGTTCCACATTGCTCATTTGTATGAGATTCAGGTAAGTGCTCGCTCTTTTTATTAAACTAGTTTTCAAGGATGCATTTGTTTTCCTCTCTGCCTGATTCACCTGTGACAGAAAAGAAGCGCTTCATGTGGATTTCACGGCAAATATCTCAGGCTATCGCAGTGGAAAATCAGCGCGGCCGAAAAGCAGGGATAGCCTGATTTATTTGTGTTTCGAACCAGGTGCTGACAAATTGAGGAGGGAGCAGGGTGCCTGAGTGGGTGGCACACAGGAGGGAGGGAGGGAAGGGAAGGGAAGGAGGGGGGGGAATAGGAGATTACTCTGAGTCGATCGACGGGGTTGCCACGGAAACAAGAAAAGTCTGTCTTCCCCCCTCTTTTGTATGCTGGTGGTTTCTCGCTCTTTATGTCGGTTTCAGTGGAGAAGTACAGTAGCTCCGGGAGATGCGGCGCTCACTTCACGACTAATGTGTTTTTTTGTGCTCTGTCAGAGCGCAGAGCTGCAGAGGTAGACCAGCTTAGGATGCAGAAGGAGGAGTGAGGAGTTAGGATTTCTGTTTTGATCAGAAGTGATGGAAAGACACACGAGTTGCTTTGAACACTTTTTGCAGCCAGTTGTTTTTTTTCTCTCCTCTTGATCTCCTTTGTTCAACTTTTTCTCTTTTCTTCTCTTATCCAGAAGAGATATCGGGCTGCTAAGGAGGCCTACGAGAGCCTCCTGCAGACGGAGGATCTTCCTGCACAGGTGAAGGCCACTACCCTGCAGCAGCTAGGTAAGAGCGTGCACAAACTCAGTCTGGTTAAGTTTTCTGGGGCAAATTTGAGGCTCTCAATCCCTCTTGAAACAGACATCAGATTTAGATGTTCTTCATGACGGAAAAAAAACAAAAACACTGATGGATGTTTGCGATGTTCTTCCAGGCTGGATGCATCACACGGTGGAGCAGCTCGGGGACAGAGCCAGCAGGGACAGCTATGCCATCCAGTGTCTGCAGAAATCTCTGGAGGCCGACCCAAACTCCGGACAGTCCTGGTACTTCCTGGGCAGGTACGTCACATGGCGCTGAGAGAACAATGACCACTTCTGTACGATGAAACCTCACAGTAGGCGGCGCTTTACTTGAAATCAAATCAAACAAAAATAGAAACAAGGAAGTGACAGTCCTGAAAAAACTGGTTAATTGAGGAACTGGTGACTCATCACCTGCCTGGTGAGGTTCAAATGAGGAAAATGTGTTCCTGATGGTTTGTGTCTCCTGCAGGTGCTACTCTAGTATTGGGAAAGTCCAGGACGCTTTCATCTCTTATCGGCAATCCATAGACAAATCAGAGGCCAGTGCAGATACCTGGTGCTCTATAGGGTAAGGACCCTCATGTTCAAATGAATCAAGTGTGTGAATAAAAACATAAACGCATGATCCTGTTTCTGACTCGTGTGTTTTTCATCTCTCTAATTCAATCCTTTCTTTATTCCGTTTATTTTCATGATCTTCTGCATGAAAAAAAAAAAAAAAAAACAACTCCTCCCCATCTGTCTCCTGTGCACCCTGTTCTCTTCCTCCTCTCGACCCCTCTCCTCAGGGTGCTGTACCAGCAGCAGAACCAGCCCATGGACGCCCTGCAGGCCTACATCTGCGCCGTGCAGCTGGACCACAGCCACGCCGCCGCCTGGATGGACCTGGGCACGTTGTACGAGTCCTGCAACCAGCCGCACGACGCCATCAAGTGCTACATCAACGCCACACGCAGCAAGGGCTGCACCAACACGCCCGCGCTGACCCACCGCATCAAATGCCTGCAGGTGGGTGGAATTTGGGTGTTGGAGCAGGGGGCATGGCTGCTTGAATACAGTGTAAATTTGCTAAGAACGCACATAAGCTTTAAATGCAGTTGTATAAAAACAACAGCATTTCACAGGTGTGGTGCACCTGCAGGATTGGGCCTCAAGATTGGATCAGATTTAGGGGTTTCCCTGCTCAGTTTTATGTCCTAGATCACCAAAGCTGTCATATTTGCAGAGTCAGCATCACCGTGCTTACTGAAACACTCATTCATAGAATTAATTGAAACCTCTGGCAGCTATTTATTCATTTTACGCGCTCTGCAGGTCACTTATTTACAAATCTGTTGACTTGTACTATTTTGGCACAGCTCAGCTGGCGCTCAATTTGACACCTGACGCACCCGGTCCAACAAACAAACAATCGTGCTGAGAACTGTGACAGGATTTAGAGAGCAGATACGGATACCTGGATCTGTTGAGGATGTCCCTGATTTGAAGCTGTAGGCCGCTCTTTTATTGTTAACTCTGCTCTGGGAGTCTTCAGAAACTGCAAAATGTCCTACAGGAGAACCATAAATGATTGAATACGTGTGATGAATTTAAAGGCACTGTGAGGAGGATTAACAGATTTTGATGCACAAGATAATAACTTGTTGGCACAGGATATTGATTTGAGAGCACAAGATTCGAATTTAGAAAAAAAATGCAAACTTAAGAGCAAAATACTTTCAGGGCACAAGATTCTGGCATGGAAGTACAAGATACTAGCTTGTGAGCGTATGATATTAACCTGTGAGGTCAAGATCTTAATTTGTTAGCACAAGATTTTCATTTTTTGAGAATAAGATATTAATTTTTAAGTGAGAAGTACTTGTGAGCACAGGAGATAAACTCAAAGAAACAAGATATTTACATGTGACCACAAGATACAAATTTGTGAGCACAAGATACTATTGAATATCGACTTTGAAGCGCAAGATACTAACTTGTGAACACGATTTTTTGAAATGTAGGCATCAGATCCAGGCCATGAGTGGAAGATACTAACTGATACTGATTTGTCAGTCCGAGATATAAATCTGTGCTAGCGATTATCTTGCGCACACATGTTCATGTCTTGATTCCATGAGGAAATAACTTTCGGTCATCTTGTGGGGACATGTTATTATCATCTGCACATGAGCGAGTTCCCTCAAAGGTTTTTACTGCTGGTAAGATATGAGTATCTAGATAGATAGATAGATAGATAGATAGACAGATAGATAGATAGATAGATAGATAGATAGATAGATACATAGATACATAGATAGATAGATAGATTCATCGATACATAGATAGATAGATAGATAGATAGATAGATAGATAGATAGATACATACATCGATACATACATCGATAGATAGATAGATAGATAGATAGATAGATAGATAGATAGATGGTTCTCACTGAACAATGAAAAGCTCTGTATTTCACTCATTTGCGGGAAACAGGGTTTTTTGAAGGGCGTCATTAGAAGCATCATGAAAACTCCTCACTGTGCCTTTAATGAAGAATACATATCTATTATATTTAACCTCAGAGAGGCACACAAAAGCTTAATCCAGGGTTCAGATTAAGTCTCTCACCTACCATTAGTACAAAGTCCAGACCTCAAAGACCACTTCTACTTCAGTGACCTTGTTTCACATTGACTGTGTGAATTATTTATAACATCATAAGCAACAGTAGCTTGTATCTATCCCAGCTCGAACCAAAGTCTTGACAGAAGTCTCTCCACTAGTCAGCCGTTGACACCTGAAAAACAAGAAAAACTCCCCATGTGGAATTCAAATGGAAACGCATGGATTCATTCTGAGGATAAAAGAAAGCGCCAGATCTCACCAGTTATTTTATTCATCTCTATTTTTTCCTTTACATATGCATGAAGGAATGTTACATTTCCACCTGTTATTTTAGCATAAACTCATGGCATTAAGACAAGCTCAGCTGCTTGTTTTAATGGAACTGTGTTTTGGTTTTACTGTTGCTGAATGTCACTCAAGAAGTTTGAAAACCCCCCTGTGTGGTTTTTTTTGATTGTACATGACGTTAGCCAGCAGAAACACAAGTGTAAAAAAAACAACAACTTTCCAAAGCAGCTTCACTTGTGTTTGAAAACGTTCTATCATTGCTGATCATTTTCTTGTTTTGAGGTCATCGTTCTTTTTCCAAAAGCAAACCTTGTGTTTTATTATTTTTTTTGTTTTTTCACGTCGTTTTCCATTCCCCTAGGCTCAGTTGAGTAACCCCCAGCTCAGTAGCCTTCAGGGTAAAAGTAAAATGCTCCCTCTTATTGAGGAGGCATGGAGTCTACCAATCCCAGCTGAGCTAACCTCCAGGCAGGGAGGCCTGAGCAGTGCACCACAGCAGGTGAGACACCAGATAGATACACCTCCCGCCTCCTTCCTCCCCCCTCCCCTCCCCCTTTTATTTTTGACTGAGTGCACACTCAGACACGGTAACATACAACCCCAAATCCAAAAACCGTTGGGATGCTGTGTAAACTCTTGATAGAAACAGATTTGATGGTTTGCAGGTCCTTTTTTAAACTGAAACATTTAAAAAAATTTGACTACAGCTCTTTGTACAGTTTTTTCATTATGCAGCAGGTTTTTTTAGTAGGTCACAAGCCAGCACTGCAGGCAGGCCAGCTTGGCAGCAGGACTCTTCTACTACAGAGACATGGCAGAATGTGGTTTGTCATTATCTTGCTGAAATATGAAGGTCTTCCATGCATGCTCTAGTGTTGGCACACTGGGTTTTGGGCCAAAAGTTGAATACCACGGATGCATTGCTGGTAGACAAACCTCAACAGACAAAGAAGGGTTTTAAAAAAAAGACTTAACGCCTCTATCATACGAGCAAACGGGGAGACGACCTGATAGTTAGGAGCTGGAAGGGGGCATGTCGCCACCTACCGTAGCAGAGATGAGCGTGCAGCTGTCAATAATTCGATTTTTACACTGGGGCGAGAACAGTAGTCCAGATAATTCTCCTTATCAAGCTATGACTGCAGCTTGACTTAACTGTGCATATTAACAGTGTTCACAGATGGTGGTTTTTGGAATTTACGTTGAGCTCTTGCAGTGATTTTCACTTCAGAGCCACATCAGATTTCGACTCTGCACTTCCTCTTAACGTTGATTGATTTCATGTCCTGTAGATGATGAAATCCCAGAATTCTTTGCAGTTTTTTTACATTTTGGTGAAATTCTTATTTCTTCATTCTTCAGATCCTTACACACCGGGGCCGACGCGAATGTAGAATGCGAAATTACGAAATAGTCGGAGGCGAATTTTGACGTGCCTGACTATACACATCAAGCCCGACAAGATTTTGCGACTATTCCGGGGGAAAGTCCCGCCTCCTTCGCCTCTGATTGGCTAGAAAAGCTGGAAACTTCATCACATGCTCATGTCAAACGGTCAGCACTTATAGCCAATCAGAGGCGATAAGATAAGCACATGAAACCATGGTAACAACCGTTAGCTTAAGTTAGCACAGATGAAAGTTTAAACAAAGACGATTAGCAAACTGTTAAAGCAAACAAACCATCGTCATATCAGAAATCCGACGCTATGACTCTCCACAAGTCGTCTTTCAGGTCGTTATCTTATAAACAATCAGCCGGGCGGCCATGTTGGATATACCGGTGAATCTGACATCGCAACAACACGAAATCTGATCGGTCAGACGTGGACACACAGTATGCGAAACTTTGGAAAAATCGTCCATGATCTGAAAAAATAAATGCCGCAATATCTTAGGACGGGAAAACATTGTTGATGTGAACGCTTGTATTGACAGGATATGGGTTCGAAAAAAAAATTTGACGTCCGAAATAATCGCACGACAAAAACGCTCCCGTGTGAAAGGACCTTTATTCTTATTCTTAATGGATCAACCCTTGACTCACGCAGTCTCTCACAAAGAGGCAGACCTCGCTTTTAAGAGACTCAGCCTCTATCCAATCCCTTTTTTTATTCTACGTCCTGTTGCCTCATTAGTTGGTGGGTTTGTCTCCATCTCAGCTGTTTTATCAAATTAAAGCTGAGTATGTATTTTAAGATTAAAAGAACAAATGTTTCAGTTTTAATAATCGATGTGTCTTTGCGCTATTTTCTCTTAATTACAGACGTCAAAGGATTTGCAAACCATCAAAATCTGCTTTATCCATATTTTGCACAGCGTCTCAACCTTTTTTTGAATTTGGGTTGTGCACACACACATTCACACACACCTTTTTTAGATGAATACGCATGCACTGTTTTACACACCAACTGATGGGTAACACTTGAGCTTAACTCCACCTGTTTGCAGATTTCATTCAAGCATGCTGCACAGAAATACTCCCGTTGGAAAGTTTCACGTTTGCCCTCACATTGGAGGTCTTTTTGCTTCATATATTTTTTATTAAAACGCCATTCGACGTCCCCATTTTCAAATTCACTCATGTCCTGGCTGCTCTCTTTTTTCCCCACATCTGCTTCAAACGAGGAGGGGTCCAGCCAAGTGTTACTCACCCCCTGCACTCCTTTTTCCTTCCTCCACAGCACAGTCGACGCTCGGCTTCACCCATCATACTCCATTAACGGCAACTACAACGAAAAAAGTCAACAAAGCACTTGTGTGCGGGCTTTTTGTTAATTCTCTCCCATTCAGTGTCGTCTTTTCTTTTAATCCTGATTTTAATCTAATGTGGTATTCAGGATTACACCCCTCCCACACACTCTTACTTACAGGCCTGGATTGTTATTAAAACTGTCGGGCGACATTATGTAAAGGATCCCTGCAGAGATTGACTCTTAAGTTAAGGTCAGAGACTTTGTTTTTTAACCAGAAACAGCTTTTAGTATCGCCCTCCTCAAAGCCACCAGACTCAATTAACAAAGATAGATAGTTAATCTCACGGCACACACAGGAGTTGCTGGTTAGTTTTTTTGTTTTTGTGTGAGTTTAGTGTTTTCAACGGTAAGTTTGTGTCCAAAACAGTATTGATTCAACTCAAAATATCTCCACAATCCTCCCAGTTTAGGCAGCGGTAAACAAACAGGTGGCATAAACTGCGGGGTTAAATGGCTGTTTTTGTGACTGGGGTTTGGTGGCTATGAGGAAAACTTTGAAGTACATAAAAACGAGTTTTTATGAATGAGTTTTTCTCTGCAGGGATCCCCTCTCAGACACCAAGAATGAAAATCTTGGCTTGCCCGACACTTTATTAGTTAATTTCCAAATCCAGTTTTAGGTGGTAAACTTCTTGAACCTGCACCCCGCCTCTGTTTGCTCTTAATCTGCTTTGACTGCGAGCCCATTCTGAAGAGATTAAAGTGCTTTAATTCTTAAAAAATCAAGTGGTTGTGTTTGTAATCCTCACACTCATTCAGTCTTTTTGGGCTTTTGACCCCTTCACCCCCCACCAGTCAGTGTGATCGGTGAGGTCGTGCTGCCGTGGAGAGTAGACACCCAGGCTTCCCATTGGCTCTGTCCATCTCCCCTCCCCTTTCTCCCCCCCCTCCACTAGTTGACCTTAAATGTCCTGCAGCTGCTTGCAGGACACCAGCACCAGTGACGCCCCCTAGTGTTTCATTACCACCTCACTCATTCATGCCCATTAGACCTGTAGGTGTGAGTTGTTCTGTCTTGTCCGTATGAGTGGGGATCTTGTGTTGTTGCCTTACAGCCCTAAAATGTCTTAATTTTTCATCTTTGACTCTGTAAGAGAGAATATCCTGAGACATTTTCACTGAGGGTGATTGGATCAGAAACCACGTTACAACCCTGCAGATGAACAGAACTTGAAACTAATCAAAATACATGTCAGAAAGTATTCAAATTACGGTTGATTTTTACGCCTTTCCCCACAATGAATTGTTTATTGATTTATTTTTTTGAAGGGGTTTTGCATAAAGGAAAATAAACAAATCATAAAAGGTTGTTACCATTTTATGACCACACTTCTATAAAAGTTGGGACGCTGAACAGATGCTGATGGTTTGCAATCAAGACAACATATCAATTATTAAAACTTTTAATATGTTTCCCAAAAATTGGTTTCACTTTGGGAACTAAGAAAAACAGTTTTTGGAGTCCCTGTTTTTCCTTGACGTAGGATTGAAGCTGTTCAACAGTTTTGGGTGTCTTTTTTTTGTGTAATTTTGTGACATGATGCGCCAAATAATCCAGTTCAAGACGAGTCAGGACGACAGGCAAGCCAGTTAAGCACCCAGACCTTTTCATCAAAACGTGCATGTCGACCACATGAGGTCCGGTGGTTCCAAAAAGAATCTCAAACTCTGATTTGTCCCAACACTAGATAGCTATTACTTCATTTTCCTCTGTCTTGAATGGATCACTGACATGTCTGAATCAAGTTTTTTTGTTATTTGTGGAGCCCATCCTGTGATTTCCACTACAGGGTCATGTCTTTTTTTTTTATGCAGTTGTGAGACACTGAGATTCTTCCAAACTTTGTTGATGTTATGGCCTGAAAAGACCAACTTTTTAAGAGTTTAGTTGTCCCTGTCCAAACATCTGTTGCGGGCGTTTGCAGTATTTTTAATAGAATATAAGATTGAAGTGATTCGCAAACCATCAGATCCTGTTTTTATCAACATTATAAGCAGCATCCCGGTTCAAGTGGGAGTGGGGTTGTAAATACAGGTGTGATTGATTGATTGATCACAGGTCATTCAAACCTTGTTTTGTTGTTTGTTTTTAATTGTTGAGCAATTTAATGAAAATGCGCTGAATTTCAATCATCGAAATCAGAACCATGATTGGTCAAAATCAAATCCTGACCCTCAAAATGACACCAGACTGAATTTTATTGGATCACATTGGGGGGGAAAAAAAAAACAGTTCACGCTAACGTCTAACCCAGCGTGGTTTGATGTTTACAGTTTGCGCGTAGGCTCACTCTGGGACAGGTGAGGTCAGTCTGTCAGTGAGTCGAAGCTGCAGCTGTTCTGTGTTGAATCAAAACCAGATTCAGTCTTTGGATTCAGAGATTTCAGAGCGACATCTCTGAGTGCTGCAGGTGTTTCTGTGAAGCTGTAGTGCTCATGCCGAGATACAGGAGTGTTTGCTTCTACGTGTTCTTGTTTGTTTCGACACACTTTGACAGTATTTGCTCTCCATTTTCTCTTCTCCTTGTTCTCCATCCCTCGCTTTGCTTCGCTTTTTAACCTCCTCTTTACGTTTTTAATTTTTACTTTGCTACTTTCAAAAATTCCTTCACTTTCTCTTATTGCTCTCGTTTCCTCGTTGCAATCTCATTTATTTCCTTTCATTTACGTGTCTTTTTCTTTTTCCTCCTTACGTTTCTTTTGCTGCCCTTCTGCCTGCGCCCCCTTGCAATCCCCGCTTCCCCCCCCTTCTCCCTCCAGGCTTGCAAGCCCAATCACAGCGCAGACGGTGGGGGCTCGGGTCAGTCTCTGCCCCCTCACGTGGGCTCGCTGGGCTCACCAGAAGACTGCCCAGCCAAAAGGAGGAGAGCCTCCAGCCCTGGGAAGGTAGATAAGAGCACCTTAAATATGCATTTTCATCATCTCTCTGTGTTCTTGTTAAGGTTTTACACTCTACATGTGTATGTCTGTCTCTGTGTGTGTGTGTTTCAGGCTGATTCCTGGGCCGGTAACCCAGCACAGCAGCCCGTACCCAGCTGGTACCTCTCCCCACAGAAACTGCAGGTTTGTAAAACACTCCACATCATATTTTTCTGCACCTCTGACGTCAGATTGAAGGTAAACCCAGCTCTAAATCTTGGCCGCCTCTTTGTCCGCAGGTGCTGGAACAGTTGCGGAGTAACCGGGCCAGCCTGAAGCCCCCGCAGCTCCAGATGTTGGGGCAGCTGGAGGCTCAGCTCACGATGATGCAGCAGCACCAGCACCAGGTAAAAACACAGACTTCCAAGAGGACCAATACAGCATGTGCACAGTTTTCCTCATGTGTAGGTGTATGTTTCCGTCTGCACACATGCTTCAGCGACTATAGGGTTAACTCTTGATATGACTGTAAACAAACCTCCTTACCTAGACTGTGTAAACAGTCACTGTAAGATTTCTGATCCTTCTGTGGTACTTAAAATCCGACCCGTGCTAGTCCGGTCATGCATTGTTGAGGCATGTGCAGGCATTAGATCTGTGTGCTTTGGCATATACTACAACAACAAAAGTGAGTGCAGGAGAGTTCAAACAGTGACAGGTAAGGACGTGAACGTCGCTGAGAGCTCGCCAATCAGGTTCTCCATCCGAGGTTAACCCTTCAAGCTGTCCGTACATCTATGTTTAGAAGTTAGTTACCTTATCGAACTATCTGATCAACTCGTCGTTACAAACTGAACGCAAAGACAAAGGTTGAAGTGCAAACATCTCCCTCTCTAAGATTTCAAAATGGAGTTTGGTTTCCTGTTTCTTTCCTTTGCAGATGAGACAGAACGCCTCAGGAGGTCAGGTGCGCCCCTCTCTCCCCAACGGCCCCACCACCAACTCCCTCCCTTCCCCCAACCCCAGCCTCCACCCCGCCCGCCCCCACCTGGGACCCCACCGGCTCTTGTGCCCGCCTCAGCCGCTGGCCAACGGTCCGGTAGGCCCCGGGCCACTCGGACACTCAGACCCCCTCCCCGTGGGCAGTAACAGTAGTAATAATCAGTCAGGGCCCGCGGCCACAGGACCCAACGGAGACGTGCCTTACCTGCAACCTGCCGGCAGCGGCGACGCAGCACTGCTACCTCACACCTGCACAAGCACGCAAACACAGGACGCTGCGCCGTGCCAGGCCCTGCACCTAAACTCCTCTCAGGTCAGACGTCACACACACTGCTCGTTGTCAGGAAGGCGGAGGATGTCTCCGCTCTGTTACAGGAGCTGAAATTAAATTTAAAGAAACTCCCTCTGGCTATGTTCAGCTTCTCAGCTAAGAAATGGATATAATTCAGTTTTATCCCACTGACCTACTTGGCTCTGTTGTAAAAAAAACTGTCAGAAAGAATTGAGCAAAGCCGTCAAGTGGTTTCATGAAACAGGCTGTGAAATCCCTCTCTTGAGACTGTGAATTATAGTATGCAGGAATGAATTCATGAGCACAGAGTGGAATCAGGTACTGAGCTTAAAGGTGGATGTAACCCACGCGATGAGAATAGAGATTACAGCGCATGGTGGGGAATCTGTTCAACTCAGAATAGGCTGCATCTTAATCAGTGTTAGCCCAGAAATGAAGAGTTCCTTTGACTAAGAGCAGTGGTTCTCAAGTCCAGTCCTCGACACACCTGATTCAAATCATCAGCTCGTTATCAAGCTCTGTAATGACTTACTAACGAGCTGATGATTTGAATCAGGTGTGTTGGAGCAGGGAAACATCCAAAACATGCAGGACTTGGAGCAAGATGTCAAAAAGGTGATACTGTAACTTAAAAGCTCTTAAAAAGGTTTATTAAGTGATTTTAAAATAGTATAGAGGAGAATAATTGAACAGTATGTCTCTCTATCTTTTGTAAAACACGAGCTGACTAACAGTTTTCATTTTCCACCCTCAGGGGCTTCAGAAGGGGTCTGCTCCACATGCAACGAGCTCCAGTGAGGGGACCCCATCTCAACCCCAGACCCCCAACTCCACCGCCCCCGCCCTCCCCAACAGTCAGGTTGGACATTCCACTAACGCCCCATCGCCGCCGCAGCAGCAGGCCCACAACCACCTCCCCTCCCCGCCCTCCCTGCCCCCCTCCTCTACCTCAGGTGGAGCAGCACCTGGTGCGTCCGCTACCAAAGATAGCAACACAACCACCGCCCTTGCCACGGCAAACGCGTCCCTCGGCAACGGAGGCACGGACGGGAAGACGCCGTCGCCGCTTGCGCCGCTGCCTTCAACTGATGGGAAAGCGGCGCAGGCGGATGGCCTAGCGAATCACGTGCACTCAGAGGATGGCAGCAAGACGGCAGAGGGCGGCGAGAAGCCGAGCCTTAGCGCAGACAATCCTAGACTATCTGCCCTGCTGGCGGGGGGGAAGAACCCGGAGGAGGGCGAGGGGCCCTCAGAAGGGACCCCATCCACAGCGTCCACCACGCCAGAGTCCCACAAGAAAGTAAACAACATCCACCCAGCTGTTCTGCCCTCCACCCCCCACGCCCAGGGCAGCTCTGCCGCCTCCTCGCCCATCTCTGCCATGTCCACCGCCACGCCCTCGCCCAAATCCTCAGAACACACACAAACAGGCGCCCACAGCCCGGCCACCGCCACCACCACTAACACCACCGCCACCACCACCACCACCATGTCTGCTGCGCCCGCGGTGAACGGTAACGGCAAAGGAGGAATCTCTGAGGACTCACAAAGCCCGCTGAAGGCCGAGCCGCCCACCGTCGCCAGTCTGAAAGCCACGCCTCCACACGGACACGGCTCCTCCTCTTCCTCATCCTCATCTTCAATATCCATCTACCCCAGCTCCACAGACGTGCTAAAAGCCTGCAGGTCAGACTCAAAGCCCACCATATTGTTTTTTGTCATTGTTTTGAAATTTAGATCTTTCTTGTCGTCTTTTTTTTGGGTGTAAATTGTGGAAATTTTCCACTTGAAGTTTTTAAGAGTGGCTCCTGTAAACCCTGGAAATGTCTTTGTTTCGGGTCAGTTGTATTACCCACAATGCTTGTTTTGTGAAAAAGATTTTACTCTGCATGTTCAACGGTGCAGATCAGACGTGGATCTATTGATCTGCACTGTTTCTTTTGAAGATGTCTCCCCCTGGTGGATTTTCAAAGTAACTGCAGCAGCAGAGCCCTATAATTATGTAACTGTAAACAACACCGAAGACGACTGGGTGGCCTTGTTGCCATGCAGACATTATTCATCCTGGATCAGTTATTTGTTTATCACATTTAGATTATATTTACCCCGGTTAGATTGTGAGAAACGAGTCGTCACAACTTTCTACTTTGGCTGTATTTCACTGCTGTACTCTGGATGTCGTATTTCTCTCGTTGACATTTGTTTCTGCGTCACGTGTACGCAGGAACCTCGGGAGGAACGGCCTCTCCAACAGCAGCATCCTCCTCGACAAGTGCCCCCCGCCCCGGCTCCCCCCTCCACCCTCACCAGCCTTGCCCAAAGACAAGCTCAACCCCCCAACACCCAGCATCTACGTGAGTATCAAACAGAAATAAACACAATTTTACAACACAAATGCATTGACGTACTTTTGTTTAAATGCACTTTGCGCAACAGCAGAAATATAAAAATTGACGCTTGACCCAGGATGTGGTAAATTTCTCGTTCCACAGTGAGGAAATGACAGTATTGTGGTTGTTAGTGGGATCTTATCATGATCAATATAGAGGTTTGGAGGAACTTTGATGAAGATCACAGTGTGCGCACATCACCCTGCTTGTATAGTTAATAAGAGACTGAGAGAGCGTGGAGATAACAATACCATCATAATTATACTGTAAGGCTATGCATCTCTTTAGAAGAACATTGGGTGTCTGGATCCGGCTGGCATCGTCACATCCCTTCATTTCTTTCTCATTATATTCGTCTGCCTCTCCTACTCCTTCCAACATGAGTTAGTTTTAAAAAAGCCGCTCCAAATTTCCTTTTTCCTGTCGCAAAAACAGGCTTAAATACCCGGACAGTGATGAATATACCTGAGTGGCCTGCCCAGGTATCACTTATGTAGGGGTGCGCCGAAAAATCGATTCACACAAGAATCGCGACTCTAATTTACTACGATTCAGAATCTATTTAAAACGTCCCAAAATCGATTTTAAAAGATTAAATATCCGCTGCCTGTCCGCATCCATTTTGGAACTATGCTGGACGCCCTGGTGTCATCACGCAGCCGGTTCTGGAACGCACGCATGCGCAGAAGGCACCAAAACAAAAGCAACTACAAAGATGGAGGAAAAGGAGATCCAGCCGGCCCCGTCTTTACGAAAAGCTAAAGTTTGGCGTCATTTCGGATTTTACCGAATGCCCGGACACACTGAGCTGGACATGAGGCACGCAGTGTGCTGACATTGTAAAACTAGAATCAAGCATTTCGGCAACACGACAAATGCGCGGGCTCACATGCAGCATGTTTAACTGCACTATTTTTGATATAAAGAGGTACTTTTAGTTTTATTACCGCAGCAGTGTGTGACATTGCTTGTAAAAATTCCTTCTGAGCATAGATACATACTTAAAGCTTAATAAATGTGAAAAAGACACTTAAATGTCTTCATTTGTCATTCTGTCTTGCACAGCAGATGGGAGTAGATCATGATCAGAAATCAGGTCAGAAATCAGTATGATTTAAAATCATTTTAAATCGAATCGTGGCTCCAGAAATCTGAATTGAATCGTGACACAGTAAAAGATTCCCGCCCCTACACTTGTGTGTGAAAGCTCTTTTGATGACGTTATGACTCCTGCTTTTCTGTCTGTAACCCAGCTGGAGAACAAGAGGGATGCTTTCTTCCCCCCACTGCACCAGTTCTGCACAAATCCCTCCAACCCTGTCACTGTCATCAGAGGACTGGCTGGAGCTCTCAAACTGGGTAAGTTCTTGATGATGTGTGTGTTTCTTTCTCCTGGTACATCAAACAGAGATACATCAGCGGTGTAATCATGAGTGCGGTGTGCATTTCCCTGTAGACTTGGGTCTGTTCTCCACAAAGACGTTGGTGGAAGCTAACCCAGAGCACCTTGTGGAGGTCTGGACTCAGCTCTCTCAGCCGGCAGATGAGAACTGGGACCCCAGCGGGACCAAGAAAATGTGGCGTTGCGAGAGCGCCCGCGCCCACACCACTATCGCCAAATACGCCCAGTACCAGGCTGCTTCCTTCCAAGAGTCTCTACGGGTCAGCTGGACTTTAATCTGTCCTTTTGCTTCCCCTTAGACAGCTTTGGAGTTAAAAAAGTTGAAGTGGTGTTGAACTTTTTCTTTCTTTTGTTTCAGGAGGAAAATGAGAAGAAGGCGTTAAAGGAGCCGTCAGACACAGAGCCAGCCTCTGCAGAGAGGTAGCGTGGATTTTTTTCCCTTTATAACTTACTTAGTCTGATTGTTTGGGGCCCTTTTAGAAAGCTCCAGACTCTTGGATTTTATTTGGCTCAGTAGTGAATATAGTTTTGTTTATCTGTATTGTTTCAAGTTTAGAGTAATGGGTTTGAAATAACATTAAAAGCCAGATGATATCCAGCCTCAGTTTGGGGGTTTTGGGAGCCGCTGCCCACATAATTAACTCTCAGACACTATGTCATGATCATAGGCAGACATTTTTCTCTGCTACACCCTCATCTCTTAACTGGACTGTAATTCACTGTGTGGCTGATTATGTGTCTGTGTTTCAGCGCTGCACGCAAAAGGAGAGGACCCTTAAAGCACATCAAGTTCGGAACCAACATCGATGTGTCGGATGAAAAAAAGTGAGCCCGGATTTCATGTTTACCTCGTGTTTGATGTTTATTTTGTCTGTTTTCAGTATGTACTATATTTTATTACAATTTACTACCAACAGTACTCAACTGGTCGAAGTCTCACGCAAAGGAAAGAGAAAACTTTACATTTAAGCAGATGAAAAAAACAGGCGGAGTTCCCCAGGGCGCCATACTGGGGCCTCTTTAGTTTAACATCTACTTGCTCCCTCTGGCTCAGATTGTAAGAATAAACTTAATAAAATACTAGAACAACAGAGATGACACACTGATCAACAGATAATTCATATCAACACATAATTTGATCATTTTGAATAAAGACAAAACAGAGGTAGTTGTTTCTGCGTTGTGGACTTTGGTCAGATCTCATAATGACCACTTTTTTTTTCTCCCCAATCAGGTGGAAGCAGCAGCTGCAGGAGCTCAGCAAACTTCCAGCCTTCGCTCGGGTCGTATCGGCTGGTAACCTTCTCAGCCATGTCGGTCACACAATCCTGGGAATGAACACCGTCCAGCTCTACATGAAGGTCCCTGGCAGCAGGATACCAGGTTGATACCCGCTCTCAGACCCTCACTTTGTTCAATCTTTTACTGATGGATTAGTACATTAAGGGGATTTTTTTGTGTCTGCTCCAGGTCACCAGGAACACAATAACTTCTGCGCGGTCAACATCAACATCGGACCAGGAGACTGTGAGTGGTTTGCAGTACCAGAGCCATACTGGGGAGTGATGAGCAACTTCTGTGAAAAGTAAGAATCCCCGGAAACGAGAGTCGGAACGTGTTGAAAAAAAGGTCATAAAGAGACAAACTGACGCTGTATTTTCTCTCTAGAAACAACATCAACTTCCTGATGGGCTCGTGGTGGCCCAACCTGGAGGATCTGTACGAGGCCGATGTGCCCGTCTATCGGTTCATCCAGCGACCAGGTGACCTGGTGTGGCTCAACACGGGCACCGTGCACTGGGTGCAGGCCATCGGCTGGTGCAACAACATCGCCTGGAACGTTGGACCTCTTACTGGTACGGCTTTAACACTGATGGTTGTTCAGCGGCTAAAACACATGCGTGGTTCCATCATCCTGATCGTGTTTTATGTCTGTTTCTGAAGTGTTGAGATTTTTCTGATTTGAGATGCATACATTTGAATATTATAGTTTCCAGTAGCTAACAAATCACAGCAGATCAATTCATTTATAAAATATATTTGTTACTTTCAATAGAATTGTAAATCTCAATTCCACAAAAACCTCATTTGAATATTAAAGGTCAAAGGTGTTTGTTTTTTTCCGCCCAGAAAAGTTGGAATTTTGTCTCGTTATGTTCCTCAAATCGCTGCTCCCGTTCACATTGTTCTGTAAAAGCATTTAGAGTAAAAGGAGGCTAAATATTCACTTTTTTTAGGTCTGAAAGCAGCTTCAAATCCAGAGTTAAAATTCACAGCCTGTCATAGATGAATTATAGCTGATAAGATGACCTTTCCTGTTTTGTATAAAAGGCTCTTTTCGCTGATTGGTGACCTTTTTAGCAGAAAACTGAGCTGATTAGAGCAGGATCTCATATTCTGTCTGCAGCGGATGCATTTTTCACTGACAGCATAAATCCACATCCATATTTACACCTGCTCTCAGCGTCGACAAAACACTCTCACGGTTGCTCTGTGATGCAAAGTATTTTCTTCCTCTGCCTTCCCAGCCCATCAGTACAAGCTTGCAGTGGAGCGTTACGAGTGGAACAAACTCCAGAGCGTCAAGTCGATGGTTCCCATGGTGCACCTCTCCTGGAACATGGCTCGCAACATCAAAGTGTCCGACCACAAGCTGTTCGAGATGATCAAGTGAGTCACCGAGTCCTTCACTGTCAACACTTCCCCGCCCGCACCAGCTGCGGTCTTTTATTTTTATCTGACACGCTGCGTCGGTGTGTGTCGCAGGTACTGCCTGCTGCGGACGCTGAAGCAGTGCCAGTGGGTGAAGGAGGCCTTAGCGTCAGCCGGCAAGGAGACGGTGCTGAGGCCCAGGACCAGGGACGAGCCAGCCCACTACTGCACCATCTGTGAGGTCAGTACACACACCGGGAAACACTTCAGCGTCGGGGGTGTGATTTTTAACACAGTTTTGCATTTCAGGGGAAGGAGATCACACTTCTTTTTCGAGTTTGTAGGAAAAAAAAAACGTCTGAATGTGCGATTAAGTGCTAGGATTCAGAAGCATACTTCCACTCTACATGCTAGATAAGATTCGGGTGTAAATGTACAACCACAAAAAATGCCAAAAAGTAACGTGTTCATGATTTGCACCAGTGAAGATCAATTTAAATTTAAACATTTATTTATCCTGCTTTAGTTTTGTCCCTTTTAGTGTATTGTTAAAGTTAAAGTTGTACAGAGTTTCCCGTCAGTTTTCATTCCCACTCTGAGCAGCGTCACACGTGTGATCGGTGGGTAGATTGAGGATAAATTAAAGGCTGACTCAGTTTTTGTCAGGGCTAATTAATGGAAGTGCTAATGGCTTTATTTGAAAGCGAGGCTTTTATGTGGGCTGTTCAGCAGAAATGTGCCCATATCCCATTAAACGTCTGCTGTCATTGTGTCTCCGTAATTGTCTCATTATTCTCTGTCTGTGGAGCGGCTGCAGGACTCGTCTCCGCGTGACATCATTCAGTTTTATTTGGACTCATAAACAGAAGCTCAGGGTTACAAAACAAAAACGCCAAAAAAACGACGAGGAAATTAGAGGCTTTCATGCTGCTCCCTCATGTGTGTGTGTGTGTGTCTGTTTGTGCGCCGTCCAGGTGGAGGTGTTCAACCTGCTGTTTGTGCGTCGGGAGCTCCTGTCCAAGAAGCAGTACGTGGTCCACTGTCAGGACTGCGCCCGGAAAGGAAGCGCCACACTGGACGACTTCGTGGTGCTGGAGCAGCACAGGATGGAGGACCTGATGCAGGTCTACGACCAGTTCACATTAGTAAGTGACCAACATGGAGAGGGGCGTGGACTCAGGAGGCTTTATTTTGAACACGTGAAATAAGAATAAAACAAAAGTAGTCGAAAGAAAATAAAGGAGAAGGAAGGAGGATCAAGTCTGACACCTTTTATCTGATTTTTTTTATCCAATCACTAAGTGGCTCCTCAGATGGAAAGAAAATGTAGCATTTAGCATGTGCCAATCAGGTCTGAAGACAAACAGCACTGAAGTCGAGTCTGAATCTTTAAGTTTGTATTTTTTAAAATATAAAAAGTTCGACATTAAAAAAGTTATTTTAGAAAGTGACAAAACCAAACAGCAAAACACAGGGTGGGTACACTTAAAAAAAAGAAAAGAAAAAAGAGGTTTTCGGAAACACAAACAACAATCATCTCAAGTGTGAAAGTTTTATTTTGCATATCTTGTCTCTGTGTTTTTAATCTAAATTTGCATTTCCAATGTCCTCCTCCTCCTCCTCCTCCTCTCTCCGGCTCATGCTTTAGGTTTATTCTTCTTTTCAAGCATTTACTGGCTCTCGGATGATGTAGGTTCGGTGAAGTATTCAGACATGTCCAATCAAAGGTTTAAGAAGTGGAATAAGTAACAGGTTGATCTCAGACTTTACGAGATTCTCTGTGACCTTTTTAGATTTCCAAATCTAAAGTGAAGCTTGTCAAGGATCCTCAGGAGCAGCAGCTTAACCATTTTCAAACTAAAAGGAGTTTTATCCTTGAGTCCATCTTGGTCCGCAGGAGTTTTCAGAGCAAATTTAATTTAGTTGTCTGTACACTCATGTACACAAAGTTGTTTACCGTTTATTGAAAGATTGTTTTGGTGAGTATTCTTACAGAGAAGCTTCATAAGTACCTGAGATTCAAGGTTTTCTGTCCCTGTATGAAATGTTTGAACTACACCGTCTAATTGGTTGTGTTTCCTATCTTCCCAGGCTCCTCCTCTTCACTCATCTTCATCTTGACATTAGGCGTCACCTCCTCCTCCTTCTTCTTCTTCTTCTGCTGTGGAGCCATGAAGCCAGTTTTACAGGAACTTGTATTAAGATTTTAAAACCAAGAACAAACATGAAACATACGCGGACCATTTCTGATATTCAGGAAAGCCAAGGCCGTCTCCTCCCCCCCCCCCATCCTTCACCCTCCCCTCACCACATGGCTGGTCTCCATAGCGACGGCCGGAGGCTGTGGCGGCCGAGCGTGTCTGTCTATGCAACCTGTTTTTGAAGTGCTGGAGCCTCGCCCTTCCAGAGGGGGGCGTCGGCGAGCTCGCTAACAGGACTTATATTTTTTTTTCCCCTGTCGCTCCTCTCCCTCCCCTCCCGGCCCCCTCTTATGACAATGGTTCCACCCTGTTTTAATGGAGGACTTAATCAGAAACGGTTGGGAACAGGGGGGACGAGGGGGAGGAGGAGGATGAGGAGGATTCTTAACGCGTGATAAAAACGTTTTGTAGATACTTGTTAACTGTCACAACTGGCAACACCACCCGTAAAAGACTACTGACTTGACAACCTGTCCCTCTTCTTCCCCTTTCTCCTTTTTTATTCTGGTAACAGGATGAAATGTCGACTTTGTTTTCTAGAAATTTCTCCTCGATTTTTCTTCTTCTGTTTTTTCCTTCCAAGGAGCACTAGCCTAACTGGTCTTTTTCTATGGTAGATAGTAATTTTAAGACTCTTTCGACAGCAAAATCTCCAAAAAAATTTGTAATGTGAAGAGTTTAGGTGATTTTTCTTTCCTTTTTGTTTGTTTCTTTATTTTTTTTTTTACAGCTTTTACGTTTTATCTTTGTCTCGTTCTTTTCATGACGTTTTTTTGTTTGTTTCTTAGGTAAAAAAAGGAAAAATTTAGGAAAAAAAACTTACTAGCCAAGTCACAAAGAGAATGGGTTGCACATAGACTTACAGAATAAAAAGTTTAATTTGTGATTTTTTTTTTTTGTTTTTGTTTTGTTGTTTCTAATCTTGATGTAAATTTACACTATTTATAAATACATATTTATTGCTTGAAAATATTTGTTGATGGAATGCTGTTATTTTTTCCAGAGTACCTGCCATTAAATTTGAAGGAGTTTTGTCATTTTAACACGACTCCTCTTACATTTTCTATATATAAATAAAATTGCTTAGCAAGCATTGTACAGAAACGGACATTTAAAATTGTTTTATTGTTTGAAGAATGTTTTATGATGAGTCAATAAACACAAAGTTGTCAAATTACACCTTTTCTGGTTCCTTGAACACACCGCCACACTTTTATTTAGTCTTTCAGTGACATAAACAGCAGAAAATAATAACAACTTTATGAATTGAATTGAAGGCCAATTTGATTTTTCATAAGAAACCCAGACAATACAAGAACCCTACAACATATAATGAGACCATGAGGACCAAAAAAAAATTACAAAAAGCAGGAAACAGGACAGTAAGTATAAAAGAGGATATTAATTATTAAAGAGACAGAAATGCTTTAAAAAATACAGAAACGTGAACGAGTACAGGCCTGAAACCCAGCAGACAATGTAGCTGTAGACTGACACACACAGAATCCTACACTGTATGCCAGGTCCAGGACTTACCCTTATCCATGTTTGTCACCCAAACTACAAATACAGTTTTTGATTTATTATGCTAAAAGCTTTTAAGAGATTTCAAGTCTTTATTTACACCAGGAGACTTAAATTCAGTGAAACAGTCAGCTTTTACGCCGTCCCGGAAACAAGCCGCCAGCAGAGACCCAGTAGCCAGATGTAGCTGCTGCCAGCCCCACAGGATCTACACTGACTACTGAGCAACTACTAAGCACCCCGTGGCTCTTCAGCTCCATTTTGAGCCAAAATGGCCGCCACAGCTGCTGCACTGCAGCCAAGAGTGGAAGTGAGGAGGAGGAAACAGCTTCACGCAGAGGGAAACGGTGAACAAGCAGGTTTCCAGGTGTAACGATGCAGGTGTGGAGACAGAGCGTAAACAATAGAGTCAATAAAAAATACAACATACTATTACAGAGGAGGGAAGGTTGATACAAGCACACTTGCACTTCTAAAAAGACTAAAAGTTCTCAATGAGTAACAGGGCATGTGTAGGTGGAGGTGCATGTGATAAAATAGCTCAAGTCCTGAAGCTCCAACATTGATGTCAAGATGGCTGTCCGATCCCAACAGACGCCGTGTCCTCTCCGACGGGAACAGATGGATGCAGGAGGACTTTCTGTCGCCTTTCCTGGTGGGTTCATCTGACAGGAGCCCTGCAAAGAGAAAGAAGCCATGGTGAGACTCACTTCATAACGTACGAGTTTATGCAAGAAGTTCGACTGTGAAACTGCAAACAAAGACAACAAAATGGCAGAGTTTACCGCTGTGGGAAATCAAGACCCAAACATTTAATATGCAATATTTGAAACAAGAAGAGGAGCTGAAGTCTCTGGTGGTGCAAACAAGTGCTGATATGTGCTTATGTATTTCGTTGCTGCTGAGCATCATCTCTCGAAGACCTCGACTCTCCACCTACACCTCATCTACTTTGTGGACGTGGGCTGAAAACGGGTGATTCTAGGAAATGAGAGGCCTGTTTTAGCACAGGAAGCATGCATCAGTTAAAGAGAAGTCTGAGGCTACAAAGGCAGGAAACTCAAGTTGTGTGGCAATTGTGACATATGTTGAAAAAAAAAAAAGACGGTGGAGCGTGGCTGTGAATTTGTAAGCATGGGAAACAGATCCAAGAACTGATATGTACAAGTCTCAGGAGGACTAGACTTGAATGTGAATGAGTGAAGCTCTCAAAGTTTGTTTTTTAACTGAGAAATTAAAATCATGATGAAAAAAAAAGAGGAAAAGGTGTGAATACTCCTTCACTTTCCTCTGCTTGTACTCTCCACCTATATCCTCTGTGTAATCTGGCAATAATCCAGCAGAGAGGTATGTGAACTCTGTTTGCACCGCACCACAAACCGGCCCCCCCTTTGACCAATCCAGAGCTCCTAACAATGTCCGCCTGTGTCACACTGGGGGGACACAAGAGAAAAGAGTGAGAAAGAAGGGGTTAAACCAGCACTGTGATCCCTCACCCCTCTTTCTCCCCCTCTCCTTCCTTCCTGTTCCCGGCGCATTGGCGTTTCCGCTTTTGTGAGAAACAGACAGGTGGCCATGACTGCTAATTTTACTCGTCCCGACTGTCTGCCTGCGTTTCCCACAGCTATGTATAGACTCCTGCAATAAACCAAGTAGGTCAGTGTGTGAGGCACAAACACACAACTGCACACACACACACACACACACACACACACACACACATGCATCAGGCCCTGACCTCTAAAAATGTCTGACTCCTCCATTCACTTAATCCCGCCTCTGTTGCAAATGATCCTCCCTGATTTGCTCTCAGTCTCAGCCAATAGGAGAGCTTCCTGCTGCCCATTCATAAAACCAGTCATTGATAATAATGCAGGAAGAGTGCAGCTTTCAGTTTAACTTCACTGCATGTTTTAGTAGGACAAGATCCAGTAAAACATCTCAAATGAACATTTATGAGACAGTTTTTTACTCTTTAAATAAGCTCCTTAGGTATCTTTAAAGACTGTTACTTAGATTTGATTACAGGTTCTGTCTCTTTATACTTCAAACTAGAATTAGCAGCATTAAAAAGCATTTTAACTGACTACTCAGTTATAATTTTAATCATCAGTTTACAGTATAAAAATCACATATTCCTTAAGATGGTGTATTTCTCATAACTTGAATCAAACTGAGTCATTTCAGTCGTCTAGCAATTCTGCTACATCCCAGATATACAACTAGAATGAAACTAAATAGTTTACTTTAATATTTCTGTTTTTATATGAAGTAAATCTAATCTCCATCTGGCTGATTTTGTCAAGTAAATAATACTTTTTTACCTAATTTTCAGGCTTAGATTAAACACATTTTCCTGTTTATTGAGAACATAATCTTTTAATCTTTTCTTTAATTACAAAAATAAATATGTATTTCTTTAAATCTGTTTTTTTTCACCTGCATGATCTTCTTGGGTTTAGAAATAAATGTTCAATATTTGCTTCAACACATGGCAGTACCTCTTCACAGAGGAAATGTACCCTTCACAAGATATGGTCTGTAAATAGAAGGTGGGAAACAATGAAATGCAAATAAAGCAGGGTTCAGCACAGCAGACGTAGCTGAATTCAACATAAACTCAGTAGTTTAGATCAGTGGTTCTCAAGTCCAGTCCTCGAAGCCCACACACCTGATCCAAATGATCAGCTCGTTATCAAGCTCTGTAATGGCTTACTAACGAGCTGATCATTTGAATCAGGTGTGTTGGAGCAGGGAAACATCCAAAACATGCAGGACAGTGGGCCTTGAGGACTGGACTTAAGAACTACTGGTTTAGACCATTTCAGAGGCATCTGTGTTTACCATTTAAAAATACTTTGATTGTTTAAAAACAATTTCAGTGATATTTTTGTTATTTTCTTAACAAAAAAAATTGCTTAAGTCGTCTTGTCTTATTTTTGGCCTTTTATTTTGAAAGGACAAAACAGTGGCAGGAACAGGGGACAGGAGACTGAATTGAACCTGGACCACCTAAGGAAACCCTCATTGTATGATGCACACTTAGAGGCAAGTGACAGCCATTTTTCATAGTTGTGTTGATTTTTTACTTGTATTAATGTTTAAATAATGTGCACTAATATCAATGAGCGTAACAGTATACTATGGTAATGTGCGACAGTGCATGTGCAAAACCTTCACATGCAATAACTAGTAACAAAACATGCAGCAGAAACTACATGCAACATTGCTGCACATGCACATGGCCTTTGATTTTTAAGTGTTGTTTAAAGTGTTTTATCTCTTAATTTAGTCTAAAATTTCTGCAGCTGTTTTTATATATTTTTATATATATTAGACTTGGGAAATACCATCGCTCTTTTCTCACAAATCAGTATAAAAAGCCGTTAAACCACTTGAATTTTCTGTACAAATCACTGATTACATCTTCATTCGCCTATCTTTGCACTTTCCTGGTAATGCACACAAACGCTAATGTAACCATGCTGTCCTGACTATAAAACATCCTTTATTCTGGTGTCTTCATGCATCTGTAGTTGTGTTAGTTTGTTTGCAGTCATTTGCACGGAGCTCCCTCCTGTTTCAAATCCTTTGCATTCAAACACGTCCCTCCAGTGTGTCATACATCAAGTCCAACACAGAGTCGACATTCCTGAGTGTTTAATAAGTAATGAGCAGAGGGCCAGGCTCTGATAATCTCCTCTTGTTTTGTAAGACTCTCTCTCAGGTCGGTCTCAGAGGCGCTAAAACTCGCGCTCCTTGAATCTGCGGCAGTGTTGTTTCTCCCCCCCCCCCCCCACCTCTGTAATTAGCGCCCCTGCTAACTTTCTGACCCGCTCCAGTGTTGAGTTACACGTTTATATTTAGGGACGTGTGACTGTGTCAAAGTGGCTCACTCACACGGGGCCTAATGTGTGACATCCAGAGCGCAGACCTTTAGCACTCATTCATTCACGCTGAATGGATCCTTTTATAGAAAGTGGGGGAAATGTCCCCGCTGAATAAACCACTGATGAACTTATTTATAGTCATTTATCAGGATTCAGATTTTCCATCTGCCCTGCTGGAAGACCAATAAATACAAATCCAAGGAAATAACTCTTCATAGCTCTGTAAAAACTTATATGGTATTGTAAATGACTGTTTACAAGATTATGATGGAGTATAATAAGAAGAAAGTCATAGTGAAGTCAATATATGACAAGAAAAATGTCAGAAATAATTTATTGAAGTCTGTTTTTCTTGGTGATGGGGCTGAATTTATAAGCATAACTAAAATGTTAAATTTGATGAACTGCTTATTAGTTTTATAAATAAGTGCTTTTTAAGTCAATCAAAGGGGTCCTGCTCACCCTGTCAGAGTCCCAATTTGCATAACCTCCTGTTCACTATAGGTTAGATTAGATTAGATAAAACTAAATTAAAAGTTATGTTATACCTTAGGTTAATTGTCTTAATGTAGTTATTGAGAGTTAAAGCTTATGCTGCGTTCGAGTCATGAAAGTAATTTTTTTGCGCTTGCATTTTTCCGGCAAGCGTTAAAATAACTTTAGTAGATGTAGCCATCTTGTTTCAGGCCTCCGATTTTGCTTTTTTTCCAACTTGGTAACTGAAACTCAGGTGTGACGTCATTTTCAGCTCCGACATCTGACTTCCGAGGTAACTCGAACGCAGCATTAGAGTTTCAGTTCTCTGTCACTCTTTCCTGATTGGTTAAGAGAAACAGAGCCCCGCCCACTTCAAACAAGTGGGAGGAACACAAGCAAACACACAAAAATGTGGTAAATTGTCTAAAACTAATCCAAATTGTCCCAGTTATGGACAGAATCACACATTTATGAAAAAATAAAACATTCTTAAAGCTTGATTAAAAAATAGTTCACAGGTGAATTTAGCCATAATGAGCTCAAAATGTGCTATGGTGTCACCAGGTCTCAGAGGGCATGCTGGGATTTGCAGGAAATGAAAAGGTCAGACTGCAACACCTTTGGGTCAAAAACAATTCACAGAATCACCCCCTGGTGTTCATGTTAATTCACAGATTGTAAATTTGTAGATGAGGTGTTTTCGTCTTTGAGGGTTTAGAAAAAAAAATGTCTGATGTCTTTCTGTAAGTTCCGGAGGATTTGATGAATGACGAATGCTGCTTTTATAAAATCTATCCAAAGCGGAGTGGTTTGATATGGGGCATGTTGTGAATAAGCCATCCAAGATAACAAAAAAGAGAGAGGTGCTACCCATTGCTATGGAAACGGGGGGTAATTAGCACAGAGTGCTGTTCAGAGAAAAGGAGAGAGTGAGAGGCAGCGTGATTTTTGTATGTGTGGGATGTTGGCCTGCTTTCAAGAGATGAGCAAAATGTGAGGAGGAAGAGGAGGAGGAGGAGGAGAAGATGAAGTAACAGACGACCCCGAGCAGGTTTCAGGTAACGTTACACAGAAGCAGAGACAATAACTTCCTCCGTGCTGACTCAATTTTCAGGACTGAATCTGATTAAGAAATTAGCGGTTTTTCAGGGGGACAGATCCGCTCTGATTTCCTCGCTGCATGTTTAAACAAGGACTAGCAGAAAATCTGGGTTCAGCTGTTGATCTGGCTCACGCTGCTTCGGTCCCCCGTGTCCTACGGATGTCTGTCCATCTGTTGGTCATGTGACGCGAGTTTCACTGATTTGATTTCTGATGATGGCTGTGCTGCAGGATTGATGCCTCACATTGTGTTCCCGCTTTTAACAAAGACTTGAACTGAAATAACAAAAGTGTTTATCAGGTCAAAGTGCTTTTTTTAATTTCATGAATTATATTAAAAAGGCCCCCTACTTTCGATCAACCCTTAAAAGCACAGTCACAGAAGTGCATCTGAGGCGGGCCCTCAGCCTCACTGCCAACAGCTACAATGCATCTGTCTGAGTTACATTTCAAAGTTTAAATAAGAGCGACAGCGATAATTAGGTTCCATTTTTTTCAGCTTTTATGCTTTTACTTAGAGTATGGGATTGTTAAATACAGCAAATTTAAGTGTGAAATGTACCTTTAAAATGATCGTAACAAATGTCTAACAGATAGACACCCTCTTTACAGTGTGTATAGAAATGTAAGAGAGCTACACACCCAAAAAAGTGTTTTATACCAGGCTGTAAACATGTTCAAATCTGCTTCAAAGATGAGTATCTTAGTATGGGTTCTAATGGGGATTGACTCGCTTTTGGGGCCAGCCTCAAGTGGACAGTCGTGGAACTACAGTTTTTAACACTTCCAAATTGGCCTCTTTTTTTCCCACCTGAAGACCACCGCTTTACCATTATCTGGCACTGTACCTGGACCGTCTATGCTTACGGTTTTGCCTTGTGGCCACACAGGGTACTGCAGTACGAAATCCATGTCGAAGCCTAAAAAGCACCTTTGCCAAATGGACAGCTGTTATGAAAGACATGTCCAAGAGACTGCCTAAATGCAAAATAAAACTCTTACTTCTGACTTTTTCCTTTGCTAAATTTTTATCCTAACAAAACTTTCCGAAAGTTTTGAAATTTTTCGTCAGTGTCAGAAAAATAAGTCCATGAAACTAAAATGTCCAACTGGTGTTTTTACCAAAGTGTTGTTATTTATTTATACAAACACTTGGTGCCAATACTGTCTGTACTCATACTTGCTTCTGATTTTGCCTAGTGGTCACTTGCGGTATTGCAGCGACAAAGCATTATCTCAGTTAGCTTGTATGTGTTTAAGAGGACATATTAACCTGGAAGCATTGCCTGATTTTACTCTCATACTGGTTAAACAAAAACCTGTGGCATCATCCCTACTCAGAGTCTGCTGGTCAAGGAAGTAAGCACCGAACTCTTTTCATTGAAAATACAAATAAAAAAATCTTTATTTGACTCCATGAGCACCATCTTCATGCCTTGTATCGTCATCTTAAATTTGCATGCATGTATAATCTCTATTTCCGCTGCATTCTAAAGTAGATTCGACTTGGCAGGACGCCGTTTGCTCATCTTATTCAGCTCAAAATGAATGCATTTCTTCTAATTGGTATTCTAGCACAAGCAGCAGGCTTCCAAGCTGAAGGTTACCAGTTCAATCCTCTGCTTCAGGGCCCTAAGCTGACCCCTTCAAGTCCTCCACGATCCGCCCCCTCACCCAGCTGCTCTGTCCCCCTGCATCAGTCAACATTAAAAAAAATCTAATCCAACAACAATCCTGACAATGCTCGGTACATTTTCATAATCGCGCACACTCCAAACACCCACACATGCAGTTGGCACACAATTTGCCGCTGTTCTTCAAGCATCAAGCGGCCCCTCAATCACTCTCTCCTCCACAACAGCTAATGGCAGCCAGGAGCCCACGGGTGCGTATATGCTAAGAACAATTATGCAGATGTGCGCTAAAACCACTTTGGTGGTATAATCCAACAATCAGTCCATTACAGTAATTGTCATTAGCGAGTGGGCGATTACAGCTCCGACAGAGACGCTGAAGAACAGGCAGAGCTCGGCTGGTTTTATGCAAATGTGGCAAGCCCCATTTAATATGTCAGATGTAATGTGGCTGTATTTCTGAAGTTAACGGCAAACTGGAGAGTGTGTGGGACCACCTGAGGGGTTTACAGACAGGTGCTGCTAACGGTAGAAAAGAGCTTGAGAGACATTATAAACTGGGTTCAGGATTTTAAGGGACTGTAGACTCATTTTTAAAGGGGAATAAGGATCAGAAAAGCAGGAGGGATGGGGCTGTAAAATGTTCAGGAGACCAGGAAGACCTTTAACTTTTCTACACTGCATCGTTACAGCCTCCTTTATCATTCTGTAGCATAGAGGGAATCATGTTTTTTATCAGTGGAGTCTGGTGGTTTTACCATCATGAAATACTCCTTTGTGAGGATCCTTTCCAACAACAAGTGTCTGACACTTTGAAGACAAATCTAAACCCGCCTCAGCTCCACCCCTCAGCTTGTGTCTGGGTCTTCAGAGCTTTTGGTCGAGTCAGCATTTCCATTATGGTGATTTCCATTAGCTTCAGGACACCTTTTAAGAAACTGAAGGGAGGCGTCACTGAGACTACATCCATGTTTTGGGATTGCAGGCTGCAGCAATAGACTGGAAAAAGTCCCAATTTTTTTCCAGATCTGTTTGCCGTTAGGCCTCCAAGACATGCAGAAATAGGCTGTGCTTAAAATTAGGGGAATAACCCTTTAACAAAGGTTCGTTTAAAAGCCTGATTGCCAAAAGTCTGTTTTTTTTAGCCGTCTTTTCATGCTCATAACATCTCCTGAGATCCCGTGCTCATGTCTGGTAACGTGAAACATGTTTCACCACCACTTTAAAGATTATTCAGACCCCAAAGAATCTGAAAACAGGGTCTAGGTTTTAAAACACCCAAAATAGCATATGAATAAACACTGAGAGAGTCAAAGTCCTTAGAAACATCAGGGTTAGTCTGATTAGTTTCGCATAGTCTCTAATTTAAGGACTGATTGACAGGATATAACTCATCATGCATGAACCACAGTTTGAACTTAAGTTTAAAGTATTTTTGGACTTAATTTTTTTCTTCTTCTGTAGTACTAAAATACTGATTTTATTGGTACTTGTAGTTCCTCTGCAGTATCTTAGTGTCAGGCTTTAAGTGCTGAGGTCAAACTGACCACTTTGTTCAGTCCTAATGCATCAGCTGGCAGCTTATGGCCGTCATGTGAGGAGGCGGCATGTCAGCAGCTCCAATAATGTGGTTAACTTAAAGAGGAAGGCGAGGAATGTATCCTAAACTCAACCCCAGCCAACCCCCCCCCCCCTCTCCTCCTCCCCTCTCCTCCTCCCCTCTCCTCCTCCCCTCTCCTCCTCCTCCTCCTCCCCCCGTTCAGTCATGGGTTCTCCGCTGGGTAATGGCATACCAAAAACACAAGAATTTCCCCCTTGCTCCTCTCCAGGCTGGGGCTACCCCCCCTTTCTCTACAGCGTCAAGCTCAACCCTGTTCACAAGGGAAAAACAGAAGTATAAGAGATTCAAAATAAAAGCATTTAATCTCTCAGATTCACCCGTTCATGGAATATTTCATGATTTTCCACTTTCTTCATCCTCTCACCACCAATTTGATTCAATCCATTTCATAGACTTAGTTTTCTTACTATAAATTTCGACCAATTTTCTGGATCTTGGGTTATTTTTCTCATTATCTTGGAATAACTCTCAAAGTATAACCAATCTAGACAGTCAAACAACAGACCACTATTACCTTCAAGAATTAGGAAAGATACAACGCTCTTTACGCTTGTTTTGGCGATCACAAAGCCCTAAATTTGTTGCGTGACTTGACCAAAAAACATGATGCTTTATGGTGATACCCGGCAAATAACCAAGACCAACATGATGGCATTGGAAGGAAGAGAAGTTGGGTTAGACAACACCTGAAAAGAAGAGTGTTATCAAATACATGGGTGTCCCAGATGTGGCCTCAATTGGCGTTTACTGTGACTCACTAAACATGGGGAAAAAAATGACTTTTGAGCCCATATGTTGCTGGAGTCAGGAAGTCTGAGTTCTGCAGACACTGAGAGTCTGACAAGAAACAACAGGAGAGTTGTTGAAATAGTTGAAATATGACGCCATGGTGGAAGCGCCAACAATGCAGTTCCTTGAGTGTCCACTAGAGGCTGGCTCTAAAATCAGAGAAAACCCCATTAAGATCCATAAGAAATTTTTTTATTTTAACAGGAAATTTGAACGTATTATCTTTCTCAGCTGCTTATCAAACTATCCTTCGATTCACTTGCGTTGTGTTGATTTTGCGACTTTCCGGGGGGAAAAAGACGTATCCCAGGTGGAGGCGAGAAGACTAACACGACAGCAGACTGACTGTTTTTCAGTTCTGATTAGACACTAGTGATGAGATGTCTGTCTGTCATGATAGCACGTACTGAGTCGGGGCCTGTACCAGATAAGAACATTAAGCTATAATCCATAAACGTAAGGCAACTACCGAGACATAATGGTGCTGTGACAGCAACGCGACTGAGTTTGAGACAGTGAAAATACATATGGTATGTTGTATCTGAACAGGTTAGCTTACGAGCTAAAGTTATGTTAGCACAGATGAAAGTTAAAACAAAGACATTTAGCAAACTGTCGTCATATCATCGTCATATGAGAAATCTGACGCTATGACTCTCCACAAGTTGTCCTTCAGGTCATTATCTTTGTAAAGTTTGTGTCTTTTATCCAAAAGCACTCTGTTCTCCGACACGTAAACAATTAGCAGGTCGGCCATGTTGGATATACTGGTGAATCAGACGTTGCAACAACATGAAATCTGATTGGTCAGAAGTGGACACACAGTGTGCGAAACTTAAGAAAAAATCGACCATGATCCAAAATAATACCAGAATATCACAGGACAGGAAACATCGCTGATGTGAACGCTTGTATTGACAGGATGCGAGTTTGAAAAAAAATATTGACGTCCAAAATAATAGCATGAAAAAAACGCTCCCGGTGTGTAGGGACGTTTGAGGTGCTGGGTTACAATTTTTGCATAAGTAGCTAGGTGTCTCTTAAGGTGTAGCTGGTTTGACTGATAGGTGTGCAGATTGTAAGCTGAAGTCTGATAACTCTCCGCCTCATGTTAGGTCAACCAAAAGTAAGGTGGACGCCATCTTTCTGAGGGCAACCACTTGGACCAGACCTCTACTGTCTCTTTAAAAACGAATGCATGATGTTCCCAAGACTATATCCATGTTTCATCCACTTGTTGATTGACAAAATTGATTACTATGAGAAAACAACCAAATATATGAAACGTAGTTTTATCAGGAGAAAATTTTTGATCTCGTTTTTGTGCCAAAGATGACTTTTCTCCTTTAACTGTTGCAATAAGTTGACTTTTATTGTGAAATACGTAACCGGAAGTGCAAGTTTTCCTCCCGCTTGCTTGCCTCTGGTGGCAGCGGTTCAGAGAGCGGCTTTGAGAGCGGTTCCCAAACTGCTCCTAATGTGAAAAATACAGAGAAAACGCCGGGCGCATTCCTAAGACCCAGAGACATCCATGCCCGAGCGTGACAGACACACGGAGCTGTGAGAGAATGTGTATGTGTGCGTGTGCGCGATTCCTCTATGAGTGTGTGTGTGCGCGCAAGTCGTGCGTCTCTGCGGGGGTGGAGAGCTTGGAGACCACACACTTTGCGCATTGCCCCCCCTCACATTCACGGGACCAGGCAGCACACTTTGCCCTTAAAGTAGCGAAAAAGCATGAAAGTGAAGAAAAAGAAAAAGACGAGGGGAAGCTCGACAGCGCTCTAGATGAGCGTTTAGGTTTGGAGAAAAGGCAGTTTGCTGCGTGAAAATCTTTGAAACCAAGCGAAGGAGCTGAAGTGTGCTCCGTGGATGAGCCCCGCATGGCCAAAGGAAAGCTCAAATGAGGTGATGAGACCGATTTTCGTCAAAGACAGCGATTAGTATCGACCTGAATGTTGGGTAATAAGCGAAATACCGGATTGTTTTGACGTTTTTCTGAGCGATCACACGCCGCGTTGCGCAATCTGCACAGACAAGCTCCGGAATGTTGCCGAAAAAACTCTGTCAAACTTCCCTTTTCCAACACGAGCAACTACAACAACCACTCTCCAGAGCTGGGGGAAACTTGCCTTCTCCTCTCCTGAGAGATAAAACGCCGTATGAAAAGTGTCTCCACTTACCGTGGCTGCGTCTGCTGGCCGCAAGTCCCCCATGAGAGCGCTGATCTGTGCTCTGCTCTGCCCGTGTGTGTGTGTGCGCACAGGACGCATACCGATACTAGAGGTCGGAAGCGCAGCGCGACACGTCAACGCGTGTTGCTTCCATATCATAAAAGAGGAGGGGGGGATGCTTGAAGCTGCTGGCTGCACAAACTGGGGGGTGCGGGGACCTCAGAGGGAGCTACAAGTGAATGTGGTCGAAAGTGATGAAGAGGAGCTGAGAGGAAATGTTGCGTGAAATGAGTGTCAGCTCATTAAAGATCCAATCCGTGCGTCTAAGAGGTTGTTGTTAAAGCTGGATCTTCTAATATCCAGGCGCAAAGAAGGGGATTGATCTGAAAGATGATTTGCAGTGTTTCCCCTCCTTTTTACCCCCATAAAGTGCTGAATCCCACCTTTGCATGTTTATGCACACTTTTTAAAATACCACCCTTCCTTTGGATCATTTGACATCCTCCTAAAAGCAGCTTTAAATCTCACAAAATCAGTTGCATGAGTGGTGCTTTTAGTGTCACCCTTCTCTTATAACCACTGACAATTATCCTGAAAGCATATTGAAATTCTTGCATGAGTGCTGCATTTCCCCACCGCTGCGTATGGTTTTTCTTGTTGCACATGTGTCCACAAATCAGGAATAATCACGCCCTGAATTTTGCTTGTTTATCGTTTCGAATCTTCAAACTGCACAAGCGAGCGCCTTTGTTTTATTGGTGGAAAAAAAATGGCAACAAAATAAGCAGAATTAAAAAAAAAAAACAGGCAAAATCCTAAATGAGGTTCTGAATGGTGGTTTTGGAGGGTCATCTTGTGGTTTGGTGCTTCACCTTAACAACAGACTGCATCATCACCGACTGCAGCAGCACCTATTTTATGCTCAATATTAAACGGTGCAACCTTCGTTAGAAAGAGCAAACCCTTAGAAATATTGTCATTATTTAAAAAAAAGGCACAAAGTCTGTGTTTTGTGATTTACTTTGGAATCATCCTGTTTTTGCGTTTTCAGAATAGCCTGCAGCACAAGCGAAATAAAGGCGTTAATGTCCCATATGGGGGGGTTTATTCAGCATGTATGCATGTGATGGAACAACGCAAAGCCTCCACTCAGTCTGTCAATCCCTCCTACAACATCACACTAAGCTGACATTCATAGAAAACGCCAAATCACGCTCAAACACGCGCACACACACACTCACTCTCACGCATGCACAAGCATCATCTGTGGTGTATGTCTCCTCTTTTTTCCTCCCAGGCGACAACTTGAAAATGCAAAGCAAAGTCTGTGTGTGATTTTTTTTTCCCACCCTGACACCTTCTCAAAAACACACACTGGAACAGTCTGAATGAATCCTGCAGCAGCAGCAGCAGCAGCAGAAGCAGCAGTCCAGAGCGCGCTGCTGTTTTTAATTGAACAGATAACAGACTGAATGGTTTTGTCTGCAGTGGACGGGAAGCCTAGAAGATTTGTGCTGCTGCTGCTGCTGCTGCTGCACTGTGGAGACAAACGCCCGGTATCCCCCTAGCTCTGCAGTGGCTCGAAAAACACCAAAGCATGGGCAGCACGAGACCAGGACAGGCATACAAATGGGCACAGAAGCGTCAGGCTATGTGCACATACAAGGCACGTAGTAAGAACACAGAAAACATGAAGCGCTTACCAGCAGGCTTCCTCCAGACTGTTAAAAGCCAGGGCAACCCCAGACATGCCGTGATCTGCCTCTTTATTTCACCCTCGCCTCTTTTTCTCCTCTCACTTTCTCTAGCTCTCTCTTCCTCTCTATCCTACAGGTATCCTCATCTCCATCCCTCTCTCTGCTCTCCACCAGTCCCTACACTGATCTTTTAAGTCTACCAACCTCTCCTCTGATCAATGGGCAGCCGGTGAAAGCGAGCGCTGCTGCCTCCACCTCCCCCAGCTTTCCGTGCGTGCATGTGTGTTTGTGCGTGTGTGTGTGTGTGTTTTACAGCGAGGAGAAGAAGAGGCTCCCAACCCACACAGCACTCTCCAGAGCTCTCAGCCTCCACAGTGCCTCATCAGTTGACCACTCCACACCCCTACGCATCAATTGTGTGCATGTGTGTGCACGCCTACACAGACAAACACAGCAAGGGGCTGTTAAAAGCACAAAAAAAAAAAAAAACCCACATCTCCCCGTCACCTGAAGTTAATTTTTCAGGGGGCATTTCTTAAGAAAAGGCAGAGCATCCTTAGCAAACATCTCTGAACACCTGTGACTCATCTTGACTCTCACAGAGGAGCATGTAATGACAGTAGTTAGAGCTATTATATGCATAAGCAGGTGGCTTAGCCGTTGAATGGACAGCTTCAGGCCATGCGGCAACTTCGGTGCACAGCTTGTCTTGTTGCAACACCTTGGGTACAACTGAAAACCTGTGATATCTATGATCTAAAACGTGTACATTTTTATATATATTTTCACTCCACGCACAGGCAAGATTTTTCAAGATTTTTCAAGATACAATGTGTGAATTGTTTAAGAAGAAAGCAAGGGTGTCTAGATTGTCTTAATCTCTTTGCATGTTACAGCTTTAAGGTCTTTACACACCAGGAACGACGCAAATACACGACGCCAAATTACGATGCAAAATTACGAAATATTCAGAGGCGAATTTTGACGCGCCTGACTATACACATCAAGCGCGATCCAAGGAAATGGGGGGAAAAAAGACGCAAAGACGAAAAAAGACTGACACAACAGCAGACTGAGTGTTTTTCAGTTCTGATTAGACTCTAGTGTTGAGATGTCTGTCTGTCATGATAGTCGGGGCCAGTACCAGATAAGAACATTAAACTATAATCCATAAATGTAAGGTAACAACCGAGACCTAATGGTGCTGTGACAGCAACGTGATTGAGTTTGAGACCGTGAAAACACATGTGGTATGTTGTATCTGAACAGGTTAGCTTATGAGCTAAAGTTACTTAGCACAGATGAAAGTTCAAACAAAGACGTTTAGCAAACTGTTAAAGCACAATAACTATCGTCATATGAGAAATCCGACGCTATGACTCTCCACAAGTTGTCCTTCAGGTTGTTATCTTTGTAATGTTTGTGTTTTTTTATCAAAAATCACTCTGTACTCCGACACGTAAACAATCAGCCGGTCGGCCATGTTGAATCTGATGTTGCAACAACACGAAATCTGATTGGTCAGAAGTGGACACACAGTATGCGAAACTTAAGAAAATTTGACCGTGATACGAAAAAATAAATGCCGCAATATCACAGGATGGGAAAATGTCGCTGATGTGAATGTTTGTATTGACAGGATATGGGTTAAAAAAAAAAAATATTGACGTCCAAAATGATCGCACATAAAAAACACTCCCTGTGTGTGAGGACCTTTAAACTGAGTAAGTGGACACAGCAACAAACTGTATTCACAGTAGGCTTGTCTTTGCAAGTGAGCGCACTGTAACGACGGGTCAGGGACAGGTCACAGGAACTGTACATGCAGTGAGACTCGACAAAAACCGTCCATGGCACACGCAGAGAGAGATGGCGGGATGTTTGGAGCCAAACTCGGAGAGAGCAGTCTGGACTCCAACGAACTTAAGAAGCTCAGTTTGGAAATTCTTCAGATTTTTGGGCAGACACGGTAGACGGAAAAAATGCTGAGTGAGATAAAGTTATATGCAAGCTGTGTTAGCTAGATATTCGAATATGTTCAAACCTAGGTGTTATTTTTTCAACAAATATTCAAACGTCATTTTGGAGCAATTTTCACAGCTGTAATTCACAGACTGTAGTTTGTAGATGTGATTTGAGCCCATGCAGTGATTTCCACTACAGAGTTAGTGCTGTTCTTAATGTAGTGCTGCATCAGGTCCCCAGGATCATGCCTGTCCAACATTAATTTATGATATTTACGTAGTTCTGTAGATGATGAAATCAACACTTGCTGAACTTTTGTTGAACTTTTTGCTCACTCAGTCTCTCACAAAGTTGTTAACTCCTCTCCCTCCCCTTTTGAAATTCAAAACATGCATATATTTGATTTTATTTGTTGTTTTTACATTATTTTGAATCAAAGACACAGTTCCAACGGTTTGCAGTCTATCTAATTTGATTACGATCAACATTTTACGCAGCGTCCCAGCTTGTTCGGAATAGGGGCTGTAAAAAATAAGATTCGATACAGTGACTGATTTTATTTGAAGAGAATCTGTGCAACCTGCTCTGCAACACGTTTATAAATAGTGTTCTAAATGCATCCTGTCCTGCCTGCTGTGTGAGGCGGAGTAGCTATCAGATGAGAAAAAAATCCAACAGAGACATCACGATGGGGTTAAATCTAATAACAGCAAAGAAATTACCGGTTTGAGGTCCCTGAGTGCCACGCTTCTCCCGGACGCCATCGTGCTTGGAGAAACAGCATTTCAGAGCTTCAAAAAAGAGCTATAATTTTTAATATTCACTTGGACAAGTTGGACTTCATGTTTTATGCCGCAGCTGAAAATGTGAGGAGCAGTTAGGGATGATTGGCATCATGGTGGACCATGAAAAGAAGGCTGAGTGACGGCTGACAGATGCCCATTGAAAATAAACCAATATTGGCCAATTTGCAGCAAAGATGGAGGTAGAGCTGAAGCAGAAAATGAACTGAAAGCTACTTTTAATTAATAGAGTGTTATATCAGAACCTTCCCGTGCAAAACAGACTGAGAAAAAAAGTGTTTCCAGGATGGTCAGAACACTGTGGAGGCTGAGAGTCGCCACCAGCGTCACCTTGTTTGTGACGTGGGTGTCGGTATGAGACGTGGGGTCCAATCAATCACAGCGACTTGTCTGGATATTTGCAACCTGATTCTCAGCACAGCACCTCACAAATTACCTCGTTTGTACCACAAATGAACTCCAGCAGTGTTGAAGGAAACAATATCTCTGACTAAATAATGTTCACTGGCAGTGTTTTCTACATTCAGGGAAGTGCGACATCCTCTTTGGGAGGGGGTCCTGGTGGGTGTTGGAGTTGTAGTTGTTGTTGTAAATTCTTGGCAATTAAGATCTTTGATAAGAGTGTGATGCTGTAAGGATGCCAGGGTTGGATTTTCATTAAAATGTTGTTTCGGGGTTACAATTCTTCTACTTTTTTAGCACAAAAAAACACATTTTCAAACTATTAATTGTTGGAAATCATTCAGTTTCAGAAATTTCACACAGTTAACACACACAGACATAAAAGAAAACCATTGACCAAATAAAACATGAATGTAGTCCTGGTGGCACAACTGGTTTCTCACAAAAATGGTGTTAGTTATATTATTAGAAATGTTGATTTAAAGGTGGGGTAGGCAGGATCTGAGGAAGTGCCAGTTTTTGGGGTGAAATCTTGAATTTAAACTCTACCCCTCCCAACCAGTTTTCCCCTGAGCTCCTCCTCTCCCCTCCCTCTCTGCTCCAGCAAGCCCCGCCCACAAACAGACGCTCCTGCTCGCTCGTATTGTTCTAATTAAATTCAGATATAATGCAGATAAATACTTCAGATAATTACAAATGGGGACCAGTCAATGTGAAAGCATTGGTGCTACTGTAGATGCCAACAGGCTATCAGCAAACACAATGTTTGCAGGACTTCTAAAACCAGGATAAAGTGACATAGTCCAGGACCCGAGGTAAACAGTTTAGCGCCACTACAACACGCAGCAGGTCCCGTTTGACAAGAAACACTTCTGTTACAGACACTTGGCTTACTTTGTTAAAGCGGTTTACCTGTTCAGCAGAAAGGTTAAATCCTGAAGCGTCCCCCATCGTTTATGTTGACCCGGCTTTTTAGCTCTTGTCCGTTCTACCTCCGTTTTAAGCGTCCATTATTCCGCCAGAGTCTCCGGTATTTAATTTGTGTTTTCCATACTTTCTGGTTGGTTTCTCCTGTCCAGTATTGTAGCATGCTAACTTTCTTTGGGCTTGTGCATGTTATTCAAGGATGTGGAGTGTGCCTCACAACCAATCAGCGCTAAGGAGCAGTGTCCGCCTCACAACCAATCAGGTTGGGGGAGGCGGAGAACAGCTTTGTTTACAGTCAGAAAGAGCGGGCCGCTCAAAAAAATTAAAATGTTGACTACACAGGCATGACAAAACACAGCGATATTGTTATATTACCACGTCATCAATAACTAACAGCTATTGACTGATATTAAAAGCTTTTTTGTATATACACCACAAAAAAAAAATGCTTCTTAAACAAAATCCTGCCTACCCCACCTTTAAACCAACTTCTGAATCAAAAAGTTGCACAACAGAACAATTGAAGCCAAGTTTTTAATATCAGCGTTTCCATGGTAGCTAATTGCAAACCAATATTTTTAGGTTTCTTGTGTCATATTCTAAAAAGGACCTGTTGGGAATAAAAGTAGAAGTCTTTTTGTCCTCATAGGCCACCGTAGCTTCGTTAACGGGAGGGGTGAGCAGGGGAGCATCCCAGTCTTGAATCTTGCTGATAGATATTGATAAATATTCAGAATCCTACACACTGTACCTTTTATTTTTATCCAATCTATTCTTGGAGTTTGCTTCTCTTTTGGGTCCAGGTCATGTGACACCAGAGCAAGGGGAAAAAATCAGCAGTCTCTGTGCAGAAAAAGAGGATGTGCTCTTGTAAAACACAGCAGATTGTAGTATTTATTATTGTTGTGACATGTACTGCTGACCTCTTGGCCAAGTCACCCTTGAAAAGGAGATCTTAATGGGTTGTTACCTGGTTAAATAAAGGTTAAATAAAAAAATACATACATTTATTTCATAGATGACTTTAGTTTTATTTTCACGCATTCTGAAGCTGCTGGACATCTGCATCCCGGTACGGATACTTCCCAAACAGGGGCTGCAGATTAACAGTAGACCAGTCCATTTCACAGAATCTGAGGCAGCACACCGACATGTTTTAGTAGTTTCATTAGCGCATTTATCACATGCACTGTCACGCAAATAAGAATACCTGACCATGAGACAGAAGAAGAGAGACGTTGACTGACAGCATCAGTTTTCCCTTTGAGGCAAGTGGATGTAAACAAATGTGAACAAAGAGCAAGGACGCTGTGAAAAAGCCGCAGTAGGTAGCAGGTAGTTGGTGGTGCGTGGGCAGCTTTCCTCCAAGCTGAAAACAATTTCAAGCTGCAGGAGAGCAAGTATGGAAAAAAACACTCCTGTGGTTTTTTCTCCAGGTGTTGGTCTGATGAGCGGGTCGAACCAACAAATTAGACTGTTCACATTACAGTACTCAGCGGGGAGGGGGAGCATGTCTTATGTCATTTGCTGTAAGACGACTTAAGAGTACAGCTGCTTGAAAGATATGACAGAAAGAGTTTAGCTGGACCTTTTTTTTCTTTGAAATAAATCAAAAATGTGTGATTGTCTTGAAATCAGAGTCTGGGACCACTTATTTATAAAGCAGGTGTACCCATCCTGCAGGAGACCACCTGTCACTCATAACCTGCACCACCAGGGGGATGAAAGATGAAGAGGCGCGTTGATTGTAAGAGTTAACGTCCTTACTCATCGGGAATGACACAAATATACGACGCGAAATTACAAAATATTCAGAGGCAAATTTTGACGCGCCTTACTACACACATCAAGCGCAATGCGATTTTGC